TGAAGAAGATAAGTTTAAGACGGCCTTCCGAACACCATCTGGCTTGTACGAGTTTAATCGGATGCCGTTCGGTCTGCGAACTGCTCCAAGCACCTTTCAGCGTGCCATGAACACAGTGTTAGGCACACTGATAGACCGTGCCTGCGTCGTGTACCTCGATGACGTTCTAGTCATCGGGGAAACAGAAAAACAACATCTACAAAATCTCGACACGGTTCTGCAGAGGCTATACAACACCGGCTTTCGACTTAACCGCGAGAAGTGCCAGTTGGGTTGACGACAATATCTTATCTTGGTTATCAGATATCTCATAATGGCGTACGACCCTTGCCTGAACGCATAGACGCCGTTGCCAAATACCCTGCACCAACATCTATAAAACAGCTCCAGGTATTCCTAGGAATGGCGTCATACTTGCGCAAGTTTGTACCGAGCTTTGCGTCAACTGCTGCTCCACTCACGGACTTACTGAAGAAAAACGCCCAATTTCAGTGGGGTCCTTTGCAGGATAACGCCTTCCAAACCCTCAAACACCAGCTTACACATAGCCCGGTGCTCTGCCACTTTAATGAAGATTGGATGACAGAAGTCCATACTGATGCGAGTCAGATTGGCCTGGGGGCGGTTTTACTTCAACGTGACTCGAGTGGGCGTGGGCACGTCATCTGCTACGCCAGTCGTAAACTATCGGACGCAGAACGGCATTATCATTCGAATGAACTGGAGTGTTTGGCTGTAGTATGGAGTGTGGATGAAAAGTTCCGCCACTACTTGTTTGGCCGACACTTCACGGTAGTAACAGACAACTCCGCGATTGCGTGGATGTTCCAGAAGCAGCACCTCAAGCACAAGTTTGCCCGATGGATTGTTCGGCTCCAAGACTATACGTACGACATCCGTCACCGTGCTGGAGCACAAAATCAGCTTGCGGACGCTTTATCGCGAAATCCGATCGAGGAGTTCTCCACACGAAATCGAGAAACCTGGATCCTGTTTCTCAACAGGACGTGACCAAGGCTCAGCAAGCCGATGGAAGACTCGCATCCGTTATAGACTCCATTGGCGATGCGGGACGCAATGCCAAGTTTGTCTTACGTAATGGAACGCTGTATCGGCGTCACTGGGCCGATAAAAGCACCGAGTGTCATCTCCTGGTCATTCCTGACACCTTAAGATCGAGCGTACTACGCGCCATCCATGACACTCCCGAGGGAGGCCATGTTGGCTACAGAGCCACCTTACGCAAGGCACAAGAACGTTTTTGGTGGCCGAAAATGGATAAAAGCGTGCGTTCATACGTTGCCAGTTGCGAGATTTGTCAGCAACACAAACGACGTCCTGGAGCTCGACATGGACTTCTTACGCCGATCAAGCCTCCAGAGACAATTTTCCACACGTTGGGCATAGATCACATCGGGCCTCTTCCAATGACGACAGCGGGCAATCGTTACATTATACTCGCTGTGGACTACTTGTCCAAGTTCGTAGAGGTCGCGGCCGTGCCTTCGCTTGCTGCTAGCCATGTCATCCGATTCCTGAAAGATCGCTTCGAATGGCGACACGGTCTTCCTAACAAGTTGATCTCCGACCGGTCGACCACCTTTCGCAGTCGCGAGCTCCGCACTTACCTACAACAAGCTGGAGTGGACCATCACTTCGCGTCGGCATACCATCCGCAGGCGAACGGACTGACCGAAAGGTCGAACCAGACTATCCAGGCTAGACTCGCACCGTACTGTAAGAATCACAAACGAGGTGAGGCCGACTGGGATGATCATCTCCAAGCAGCTGCGTACGCAGTGAACACGGCGGCACACAGCTCCACAGGAATTTGCCCCTACGAGATTGTCTATGGTCAGCTCCCGCAACTGAATGCTACGTTCGGTTTGGACACTCCCGTTAAAGTAGGGCGTTCCGCTGCACGCCAGAGACTTTGTCGCGATATCCGTGTGGAGGCGCGTAGGAGGATTGTGCATGCTCAACAGGCACAAAAGCGATACTACGACCGACGCCACCGTCCCGCGCCGAAATACAGTGTAGGTGATGAGGTGTGGCTACAGCGAGGTGCGCCATCGTCTTCAAACAAACTGCACCCAAAGTACGACGGCCCTTACATTATTTCTGAGCGCTTGGGAGATAACACTTGGCGAGTACGATCCACAGCTTCTGATACGCGCAGAGACAAGAGAAAACGGAATAACTTTGCGGTGCATGTGTCGCGGATGAAGAACTGCATACGGCGGCAAACGTGACATTGGTTTGTGTTTTTCTTACAGGAGTAGACCAGCTGCAGCGTGGCCGAGTGTAATGATGACAAAGCGGCGATCGTGCTCGGCGCATACCTGGGAGAGACGGAAGACGAGGAAGACGAAGTGAGAATAAGAACAGCCGGCCTGCAGCAAAGGCGTTGTCTCTTATTTCTCGTCGTTACAATATAGATGATAGAGTAAAAAAAAAAAAGGAGGCGGACTGCTAAAGGCCTGTGCGCTTAAATTTAGCCAGCACTGGATGGTCAATGGCACCGGAGCCCTCCGCAATCTTATCATGGTGTTGGGACGTAAAAAGTCAGCAATTATTATTAAGAAAAAACAGGGTAACGAGTCAATTGATTTCAAATAAGTCAATTGGTGACAAAGCTCAATCTGGACCAGAAGGTCAAGTTTTTCTGCGCGGTGCTATTCGAAAAAAAAAAAAAAGAACTAACTCAGCTGTAAGCAAAAAACGTGAAAAGCGCTTTGAAGTTATTCACGACGTCATAAGATTACGAGAGACGCTGTAGTGGAGGGCTCCGAAAATATCGACCACCTTGGGTTCTTCCACGGGCACCCGAATCTGAGCACACGGGCCTACATAATTTTCGCCTCCATGGAAAATGCAGCCGCCGCAGCCGGTATTCGATCCCACGACCTGCAGGTCAGCAGCGCCGAGAATCGTAGCCACTAGACCACCGCGGCTGGGCTGTGGATAAGCTATTATAGTGCGACAAACTAGCTGGGTCTTATCACTGGCTATCTTCATTCTCGACTGCTAACCCTTTAACCAGATTCTCCACCCCAGTCCTTAAACAAAGAACCACGCGTGACTTGAGTCATCTGCGTCCTGGCCGCCAACCAACTTATTTCTTTTAACTTAAATGCTCGAAGTATAAATAACAATGGGAAGACTTGTTTTCAAAGCAATAGTTTCAAATGCTGCCCAACATTGGAAGCATATTACAATCATAAGCATATTGTATTGAGTGTGTGTCCGTTCTCATTCTCAAGCACTGTATTTATGGAGATCCTCTGGCTCGGACAATATGCGATTCCACAACTAAACGCAACAGGTAATAAGTTCGAAATTGGCGCTGCTAGGCGATTTTAACCTCGATGATTGTAAACAGCTTGCGAAACACTTAGGCACGTGTTCCAGGCAATCAATGCTGTAAGAAGTCACGTACGCCAAGAAACACACATCAACAACGTGGAGGAAGAGATGAGATGGTGGAACAGCTATATAAATACCGACCATGATCAGTTTACCGCGCTCTCGACAGTGTTACGTTTCCGCAAAAATGTAGAAGACATCCACTGAAGTTCGACGACTTTGAGGTTCAAGAATATTTGTAAACAGACGTCTCGTGAACATGCTTAGCATGAAACATGACGTGCCGCACGATGCGTTCAGAACTTTCAGCGACGCCTAAACCGCAACTCGAGGAGCAGCATATGCGTAGCGCACTTTAGTCCAAGGCGCTCACCGCGACGCCACCAATTGACTGCGTATATTCGGAGATTCGTGCTACAGGCTTCGCGACTGTATGCGAGACAGTCGTACGCCCGCAGCCTCTGCAGAGGCCTCCTTGAATGTACGCATCTTCCTTGGCTATGAAACACGCAAATTGCGACAAGCTCCACAAACCGCTAATGCTATACTATTTTCCTTTTTGCTTAACGTTCACATTTCACCAGTGCGAAGTATATTCCAAATGTTTCATTTGAAACCCATTCCTCATCCTGCTCTGCCGTTAGCAGACAACTTCGCAGACTGATTTGAAATGGCGAGCCTGAAAGGTGAAGTGGAATGCTGAACATTTTGTCAGTTACCTTGCAACAGAACAACCTCATGCTACGCGAAAGAACGTGAACAAGTTTCCGTACTGTCCATCTCTAGAGGGCTAGAAAGGTAGTACATTCACGCGCTGGCTGAAGCACCATACGGTGCAGCTCCTAGGCACTAGCGCCAGTTTATTCGTAGACTACGGATAGGTTTAGAGTGCCGCCATAATGACCTTTCATAGAGGACATGGTAACACTTCAAAGAGGTCGTGGGTCGAAATCCAAGCACTGCGCATCTACGATGTGGTGCACAAGGTGCTGCCACGTTAAAATCGAAGTGTGCCATCTTCAGCTAATAGAAGCTCATCTCTTTCATACATCTCTTGGGATATACGTAAAACCACTCCGCAGCCCTAAAGAGAACGAAGCTGCAGCGCCAACAAAATTTTAAGTGAACGAGATGCAGAAGCCCCGTTAAACCTACCAGCTTCCTCCGACATGCAAGCTAGAGTGGTTGAGTTATTTTCAGTTAAAATTTTCCTAAACGTCAATGTAATCTTGCTTTTATATTGCCTTTGTTGGGGCTATAACAATCATTTAAACATGTTACTTTGTTTCCTGCAACATGTATCTGCAAGCATCTTGGCACAGATTCTAGCAATAACTAATCTGCATGGAGCAATGTTCAGTGTCAGTTATAATACAACATTGATTGCAGTTTTACTATAATGTATTAATCAGCAAACAAACTAAATCACGATGGGGGAACACTAGCACATACATTGCGAATCAAAGTCTCTGGAAATCTTAGTCCGTGTTGGCACGCCAGCGAGTTTAGACAAGTATACATACCAAGGGTTAAGTCAGTATCTGTGTGCACATCGATCTCCATAGTCATTTGCAGCTACCAACACAAGGCAGTTATGGCAAAGTGCCTGTGAACTAACAACAACGCAACTCGGCAGTTTCAATTCAAGAATTTATTGCAAAACAAGTTCCTCTGTAAGGACTTCTAGATGATGACCCACCCCTTTCCCTATCTACCAGTGACGTGTTGATGTTTTTTTGCTTTTGAGAAGTCCATGCGTTGAGAGGAAACTTGAGAACAGTTCAGTTCTTGGTTGAATTTACAGAGTTCGCTTTCAGGTCACAGACTGCGGGGCCGCGAAGGCCCGCAATCTACATGGCACCCACTAGAAATCTTCCACTTCGCTGGGCAGCGACTTCTTCACTTCAGACCACTGATTGCACCGACGAAACAGGCCATAACACTTCACACAGACGCACAAGCACAGCACCGCGGCTCCAGGGAGTGCGGCTGTACCACCGAAAATGAAAAACACTCCGCGAGAAAAAAAAACGCACAAACCGTTGAACACCACACGGCACTGAACACTTTCGATGACGCGGACCTCTTGACCTTGATGATGTAGACTTGACCTTCAAGAGCTTCATTTACAAGTGGGTGCCATATAGATGCAGCCTGTGCCTGATGCATCTTTAGATGTCTTCAGGACCTTGAATAGTTCAATTCAGATGACGCTTGGCAGCTTTCGTTGTGCTGGAGTCTTCTTGTCTGTAACAACCAAAAAGGCTTTAATGGTCTCAGCAATTACAAACAGTGGCTTGCGCTGGCAGAGTAAGCTGAAAAAAGCAGGCTTTTCTTAACTAGCGCAAACTAAGCACAGAAAAATGTGCATTCTAGCCTGTGTGCCATGGGCAGTTATGCAATCCTGACAGTTTCAAATCCTCGCACTGAACATTTATTTAGCAGAGCAATTTGAATTTGCCACGAATATAGGCCAGCATATATTGTGCATTATGCAGCTTGTGGAAACAAGCTGCCTCGAAGTTGGCCCTCTGGAATGCACAGAAAATTTTGAGGCACACTGCAAAGAAAAGAAAGAGAACTTACCAGTCATAAAGGCCTCTTCGAGCTAAGTGTGTAGGCTCCTTGTGCACTTGTCCTGCTGTCTGTGATTTAATGTCGTGTTGTGACAACACCCAGTGTACCTTTAGTGTCGTGCGCTGCTAGGGCAACAGCACGGCAGCTACCCTCCAAAGCATGTTGGCCCACTGCCCACGGCGGCACAGTGAACAGCCCAGTGACAACTACCCGAGCTAGGCACAGTGTAGCCAGCCGACACGCCCGACAAAGAAATGGTTAAAAAAAAGCGTGCACTAAAGCCCCCCACGACAGCCCCAGTCGGCCCCGTAGCCCAAGGTGGACTCAACGTTTTTTTGAATATGCGAAGCAAGCCAGGGCCCATCGCGACACGACAACCCCACGGGTAACCTCGCCCTCGGGTCAGGCAAACGGGTCCTAGCGAGAACGGCACTTGCAACAGCCAGGCCCTGTTTGTTAACACCCGCGCACTTCACAGTACCCCTTGCTGGGGTGCCCCTGGCTGGGGGGCTTCGCGCACACACACACACACGAGCGCAGAGCTTGATCTTCGTCTTCTTTCGATGTGCTTGCAGCTGAAGGCATCCGCTAATGACACGATGAAAACACCACACACCACCTAACGCTACCGCCGAAGAAAAACAGGAGCCTGAAACCGGAGCAACCGCACAAACCAGCGAGGGTTTAAACCCGTGCCGAAATTCCCGAGAACCAAGCGACGCGACGGAGCGCCGCGCACGCGAGCAGTAGTATCCCCAGTCTGGCTAGGCCCATGTTAAAAAGAGTGAGCTAAGCAGCTCTGAGATGCAGTCAAATGTCTTAGGGCCCGGAACGTCCGAGAGGTGCACGCAGTGGTTTAAGGTGCCAATGGTGGTCATCAGCCGGACCGCTCTATCCACTGGCCAGGGGGCGGACGTCTTCAGCACTCCACGAATCAGCTGGGCAACACTGGATCGTGTCATGAGAACGGCGCCCAAGACAGTGACCCCCGCAAGACCACGGTGAGCGGCCTCGGCCAAACGTGCCCCATGGCTGGCCACAGGCCCAGCTCAAGTCGCAGTATCGGCCATCCCCAGGTCGCACAGTGCAGCTAGCACTCACGTGCGAGGAGAGCGTGTGCAATGCACACCTGACGCAGCTTTCTCACCTATACACTACATACCCACTGGCCCACGTGTTCCACACCACTGAAGCGTGTGCGACCAAGCTACACGCATGCTCTGAGAGGTATGCCACAAGTTTATGTGCCGCGGCTACTTTATGCAGGGAAGCTGCTTCTGTGGCGACCGTCAGCGGAGAGCCCAACAAGTTGGGCGGCTCGTCCACTCAAGCTCGATGCCAAAGCCACCAGAGGTTCACAGCCGAAGACGGAGGGCGTCTGACCTCAAATACCTCCGCCAAACAACAGGAGCCCACCAGCGGCCGAACCACCGGGCCAGAGAGGAACTGCGCGCCCCTACTGGGTGCCCGCTGCCAAAGTTGGGCGCCACAGGAAGTGCGGCACAAATTCTGTGAGTAGTGCACACCGCGAACCCGACGGGAAGCAGTCCTGAAACGCTCGGAGGCTAGGTAAACAACGTATCACAATCAGAGTCGGAGGGCGTCTGACCTCAAAAACCTCCGCCTACAGACAGTATCCGCCACCCACCGAACCTCCGGGCGAATCGGGCGCAGCTACCATGGGCACATACATCCATAGGGCCTTGCTGCTCTTTCGGCATTAGGGCTCAGGCGGGAACTCCAGATAGCCGGGACGACCGCAAACGCTCGGAGCTTAGAGAACCAACAGTTTGCCGCCAGAGTCGAAGGGCGTCTGACCTCAAAAACCTCCGCCTACAAGCAGAACCCACCAGCCCCCAAAGCTCCGGGCGAGTCCGGCCGCAAACCCCGAGAGAGAACCACAGCCTTCGACGAGCCATCATGGACGTCTACTAGAGACGACGACCAAAACCCAGAGCCGTCTTCCTTGATGGGCGGGAAGACTCCACGTGAGCTCGGCGGCTATAGGCAACAGCCGGTTTACCACCAAAGTCCAAGGGCGTCTGACCTCAAAAACCTCGGCCTGAAGCAGAACCCGAAAGCCGCCAAACCGCCGGGCACGCCTGGCCGCCAACCCTGTGGAAGTGGCGACTCCAAATGGGTTGAACAACGATTTATCCACAGCCCGACCAACAACTTTCAAGGTCGGCTTTATGAAGGCCTCTCAGAACATGCACTGCTGGCCTTACAGGGACGCCCCTTTGTGTTTATGTTCCCTGCACACTGACAGCTGATGTGCCTTATCTGGAGCGTCCCTTGACTGCTTGGAGCCAGGTCTCCCAGTGCCGGTAGATAGCTGAAAAAAAAAAAAAAAGAAAAATCTGCATTACACGTGAGCGGGTACACTGCCAGAAAACGATACCTAAAGAATGAGTGAGCGCATGCCCGTGGCAACATTATGCAGCTCCCGACCACACATTCACGACGCGGTGAAGCCCTATTTGTGAAGAGTGAGTTTCTCTAGCTGACAATTATGAATTCCAAGCCAAGTGCTGTACAAAGTTCAGCCCGCTCTCAGAGCCTCGACTGTCTTTGGGCAAATTTCTGGGCATGTTGACAATAGCATTGCAGGGCACCCTTGAAAAGAAAAGGCGAGTATAGCACAGCTGTTCAGAAGCACAAGTTTCAACAAGTGCACTTTACAGCACTAGCCAGCAGAGATCACGAGGTGCAGGCTAGTGCTGAGCCTGAAGTCTAAAGCTCAAAATTCTCAAGGAATACTAGGGAACGACACTTATAAGTCTAAATCTGAATATGAAATGCCACCACTGAAAGCAAAACACTGAAAAGGAAAGCAGGCATGATTGATCACAGAACTGGTTACGCCAATGAACAAAGGCAACAGTTTTATTGCGATAACAATCAGACACACTGCTGGACTTTAGCTGCCGGTGTCAATCATCGTGTATGTGAGTGAGTATGTATGTGTGTGTATATATATATAATGCAAGAAAAATTATGTTAAGACGTGCACGGAATCAAACATTGGACCTTTGAAGTGTGAGGCATTTGCCACTGCACCACAAAGGAGCACCTCTCTATGTTCAAATCTACCACGTACGGACTTAAGGGCATGAGAGAAATGGTGCAACGAGTTCGCGTCGCCACATCGCCCTGACGCTGCGCTGTACACTCATCTCCCATGCGTGCTTTGCCCCATGGATAGGGAACAGGATGGACACTAACGCATGCACTTATCTCGCAGTGGGGACAATGGTACATCTTGGCTGTCCTTGGGCTTCCAGAGGAACGATTCTGTTACCGGACGCACAACGGTCATTGCAATCGTTCCACAGTGTCCGTTTGGGAAAATGGCATTTAACATTAGTGTATCTGTACCTGTGAGTACGTTTCGTGCATCATTTCCAACGCAGGGCACGTTTTGATGTGCTTGCCTTTCTAAACATAACCTAAATGGTTGCTATCACATTCATTCCTTAGCCATTTTGGCAAAGCTGCGACTTGGTGAACGCTGGTAAAGGAAGCGGCCCTCTCCTGGCGGCATGGCAAGATGACAGTTCAGTTTCGAAATTCTTTCAAACTTCTTTCAATAAAATGTACCCCAGACGCCACCTTAAGACTTAGTGTGCAAAGAAAATTCATTGTGGGGTCCCTTGAGAGTGCCACCAAAACAACAAACTAGCAGCAGCCTACAAAACTTTCTAACACAGTAAAACTTTCTAACACAGTAAATAGCACAGTTCATACAATTCATTTATGAAACAAATCAAGACTTCCGATACTGCAGGATGGCAAGATCATATTAATCACCTTGCCTTCCTCAAATGTAGCCTAGCGTTCTCTGGAACAAGTTCACAAAACAAAGACTAAGTAATACAAGATCAACCTATGGTAAACAGCAGTTAAATCAACACAATTTGATGAAGACAACGATAGGCTAAGAAAGCCCCTGGTCATTTATACAAGGAGCGTTCTTGCATACCAAAGGTATTTATGAGACTGAAGCCAACTAGTGCAGCAAAATGAACCAATCGTAATTAAAATAACCATAGGTACACGCTCAATCCTTGGCAACAGTGAAATGCAGTCCATAAAGTAGATTCTTCAAACACGCATTCTTAAGCAGACATTTAGGATTCAATTCTGGGCTCCATCTTTTTTCGTGCTTTGCATAAGCCACCATACTAGACATTGTTAACGTGGAGACTCTGAAGCCAGTTTGCAGCTGGCATGAGAGCATGTGCGCATCATGCCACCTCAGGCCCTATTGCAAGAACACTGAGAATCTCAAGGAGGCGTTTGGTTTACTCCAGAAAAAAATGGACATATTAGAAACTGAACTGTCCGGTTACTATGTTTCGCTCAAGATGAACTGCACTACTAACGTAGATGTTTCCTGCTTTTTAAGGAAGGCCCCCCAAAGCCTTTTTCCTTGTGGCCTTCGTTTTGTTTCTCTTCACATAGCAACGGCAATACGCGTTTTGCATTGGATGAAGAACCGATGTCACATGCACCCCTCCCCCAAACTTCAGACCTGTTGAAAAAAAAAAAAAACATAAGTGGTGGTCTACGCTTTCTAACTGCTCTGGCACCACGCCAACACAACTACCAACTGATCGACCGAAGCACTGCGCATGTGTGCAACAACCTTTTGAGTAAGTTTTAATTGCGAATTCTTTAATGAACAGAGCGCAAGTTTCAGCCTTCGGAGGAGGTGCAAGTCAGAAAATGAGTTAGGATGCAGCAACGTCAGTTCCTTACAGTATTTCCACTTGAGAAATTATCGCAGTTTTTGTATATTGATACTTCTGTGCCTGTATTACTGCGAGGCTAAATGCAGACAAAGGTAGTTGGGCATACAAGGCTGACAAAAAATATGAAGGATAGCCATGAAGGATAGCGATGACTGCTATTGGTGCTTTAGGAGCAAACGATTTTCCACACAGAAGTGCTACCAAGGCATTTTAAGGGGGGGGGGGGGGGGCAGCTTGAAATAACAGACAGGGGCGTGGTAATGACATTTTGTCTTTACTAGACAAAAAAATTCATAGCATAAAAATACTGTTGACGTGTGCTCACAGTGGCTCCACTCATTTGTCCTAATTGTGGATAGGTGGACTACAAGCACTGAAGTGAGGGGGTGCTAACAAAGGCTATGGGGGGGGGGGATCACTCTTACTGCCCCCCCCCCTCCCCTGGATCCGCTGTTGGGTACAACAGCCGAAATACAATTCGGAGCTATTTTGGGAGCAGCAAAATGTTACTTTGCTGAAATGCACAAATGCATCCTCACTTAACACTGAAGGATTGAGAGGCAGCCCTGACAATGTGCTCATACTTTCGGGTCCAGAGAGCCAATCTGGCTGCTTGGACTAATGGGGTCTCGGACTAGGCCCAGCTTTACAACTCACACCGAGGGGGGCACCCCCCACACCTTGAAAAAGAGGGGAAGGGTATCCCCCCCCCCCACTTTGGACAGTGGTCACTGTTGGCTGCACACTGGGGAAGCTAACAAGGCAAACTTCTGTCACAACAGTAATCACTATATTCTCACGGGAGCATGATAATGTTACGAAGCTATGTTACAACATAAGAGGAGTTTCGCTAACATGTTCGCTGTGATGACTTTCCTCGTAGCCTTTTTGCGGTGCAGGTCGCCTATGCAGCCCTTTCGAGTCTTGTGCTTACAGAGCAGGCAAGCATTGAACAGGGGCCCTATAAAATGGCATCACTTGGTTATGCTGCGACTTCATGCAGTTATGAATGGGAACAACTAAACTTTTCATGGACCGGTCAAAGCATAGGCTGCTTCTAAAAAATCTTTTTCAAAAAGGACAAATCATTGCTGCTCTGTCGAAGCTGTTGCAAAATGAACGATGAATCGCTTTTGATAAGTTTTTCCGTACGCCAAAAAGTGTTTCCACTTTATAGTCTACGATAATAAACATGAGCAGCCTTGGTAACTTAACGAGCCATAACGGCAGCTTGCAAAATGGCCACGAATAAAGCAGTGGGCTCAATGGCAAGCTAAGATTGCCCCAACGCGATACCAAACCAGGGAGAAGGCAGTCTTTGTATAAGGGGTGGGCTAGTTGGTGTGTTCACTCGACACATGCAGCCCCACTTATTCCTCTTTCTCAAGGCAAGTATGAGCTCTCGAGATGTATACACACACACAAAATACTAAACACTTATGCTGCAAGTGGAAATGTTTATTCAACTCCTAATCCATCTCGCCAGCTTGCATGTACTGCTGCTTATGCGATTATTACATGTAAAAGATGCTCTCCAGCTTTGTGACAAGTAGGAGATTTTGTGGCTAAACACTGAACCAATGGCAAGCAATATGTGGGAAATGGTTCATTCTCTTATTTTTTATGTGGTCATTACATAATGGGTATTTTTTGCATTATTGGCTAGTGCTGTGTGCATAACAGACTACACTAATTATACAGCTAACGACCATTTTGAAAGGAAGCAACGAGGAATAGTAAAAAATAATTGCCCACTTTTTGTTCACGCTGTCTTGGCATATTTGGGGGACCGTTGAGAAATTCTAATACAAATACGAGTGTAAACAATACTATGCCCCTGACACCACAAATTATACAAGAAAAGGGTAATATAGCAATATCAATAGTAACTGCACACTATATACAGTGTCCAGACTTCACAAATAAGGCAAATTATACACATGCCTGAATATATGCAATAAAGTGTACTCCTGAGAATGTAGCAGCAATTATTCCTTGAAACAACATTATTTGTTGCTCCCTCTGTCAGGAATCTGCATATAACACGCAAGTAGAACGCGCTTGTACAGAGTTAAATGTTTACTGTACACTGGTAAAGGAGGGTTTCCCGAATGTATGTTTCGGTGTTTGGCAGCTATAGTCCCGTTCAACGTGGATGTATGCTGATTGACACTTGGTACATCTCCATCCCAATGACTGACATTCATGGTTAATAAACTTTTGTGGTATCTGTAGATGTTAGCCACGAAAGCATAATCTGAGAAGGAGGCGTGATAGCAAGACTAGTGCCGCATATTCGACGTGGAAATTGGGCTAAGGGCCATTGCCTAGGCCTGTTAAAGTGATTGAACTTCATGGTATCTAAGAAAGCGCGTCCTGTCACCTGTTTATGCAAATTCATATCGAAGTGCGAGCGCGTTGATAAAAAAGTTCTCATATATACATCCCGGCTGATGACGGTTTGCCCCCCCCCCCCCCCCACCCGAACCGAAAGTTTTGAGGTACGTCACTGGGGCCAGAGTAGGCATCTCTAGAATGCTGTTTAGTCTGCTAGTGGGAAGTCAAAGAAAACTTGCGAAAAAAAAAATAAAGACCGGCGAACGAAATACCGGCAGCTGTGCAGTCGCGCTCAAAATGACACTCCCGCGTAGCCTCACGAATTCACTAGCCCTCATTTCCTTTACTAAACGCGTTTTTCTCACTTGGTCCCGAATAAATAGTTGAAATAAAATCAAGTTGAAGCGATGCGCAACTGTCGGAACTCGTGAGGCCACGCGCTCCCGAGTTGCAAATCACATTGAGCGCGCCTCTCAGAAACCCAAACGCCCTCCATTTTGCAGACAGGCGGCTTAGGAAAAATCTTGCTTCAATCGCCGCCCAACAGCCAGGACAACGATATTCTGCTCTTTATTCCCGAGTAGCCGCATCTCTTCCAAGAGGCACGTTTTGGGCGCGTTCTGAGGGGTGTCGCTATTCTCATTATTTAATGGAGTTGCACGTGTTCACCGTAAAGCGCAACAGGAGAAAACAGCGGGCCTAACGTACGCACAAGGTTCGACTCGCAGCTCCCCACGACTGCATTCAGCAAATGTTCAAAAGGTCTTTTGATGCAAACACTAGTGCAGGCAACTGCCGGGAGAATGTCATTGCCAATACGCCGCGATTTCCCCCCATTAACATACCCATCACAACCATTTCTCAACACGAAAGTCGAACACCGTAAACGACGTCCCCCGAAATTCAGCCAGCCAACACTCCCGTCGGAGCGAGTATACTTTTGCCTTACGGGGTCGCTGGACGACAAAAACACGGCATTCGGGATTGCATACGCATAATTTCTTCAACAATGCTACAATTCAGCGGCACGTCCAAATTATATGCCACGGTGGTGTAGCGAGTGTTGACCTGCAGATCGCGAGATAGAATCCCGGCCGCGGCGGTTGCACTTTTCAATAATATCTGAAGTTTTAACGTCCTAAACCCAACTCTCTGCGGCTTCTATTTTCTCGCAGCTACAACTTGTCTTTATATTTTTCGTAGTTTGATATGTAGGGTTTTACGTCCCAAAACCACCACATGATTATGAGAGACGCCGTAGTGCAGGGCTCCGGAAATTCACACCACCTGGGGTTCTTTAACGTGCACCTAAATCTAATACATGGGCCTACAGCATTTTCACCTCCATCAAAAACGCAGCCGCCACAGCCGGGATTCGATCCAGCGACCTGCGGGTCAGCAGCCGAGTGTCTTAGCCACTAACCAACGTGGGTGGTGGTCGCAGTTTCGATGTAAGCGAAAACGCTTTGAGGCTCGTGTGCTTAACCTACAGGTGGCCGAAATTACGAGAGCCCTTCACTACGGCGTCTCTCAAATAACGGTTTGTGAGGTCAATCCACAGATATAACGTCTAGAAATGGCCAAGTCACCGAAGGTCGATTTGACGAGTACCAAAATAAGCATAGCAAGTTTTCACTGTGCCATCACAAAGATCTTTAGCTCGTTAAAAAACGTTTAGGAGTAACGGGGCAGTTGAAAAAAACGCTCTTTTCAGAGTGAGCAAGCTGCTGTCTTAGCACCGCACCAAAAAAACACGTTTGGGTAGTAAAAAACCTATGAAAATGCAGCCCGCAAAGCCACCCTCAAGTTTGCGCATCAATTTGCTGCGACGTAAATTCCGACTGTCTGCTGGGGACGACACTGACGTCGGCCGGGAAAAAAACACGATCCTTTGAGAGCCAGAGAAATGCCAAACTGAAGAAAATTTTGTTTAACCAGTATGGCTATACACAAAAGACCATATAGTAAATCTGAAAATGCGCTATTACAATAAAATTTTAGAATAAAGACTGACCATTTTAAACGAACGAATGAAGCAACTTTAGACATTGAATGTCCCATCAAGTAGTTTAAAAAAGCCTCTTGCAGCAGAAATAGGCGCATAGCAGCAGAGGCATTACCGGGACATTTCACTGTGCTTGCACGACAACGAACTGCATTAGGGAAGTCCATTCTTAACTCAGCTCGGCGCAACTAAACGTAAGTAAACGGCTGCATCTAATTAAGACATTACGCTATCACCAGTTGACTGCACGAGTACTTCGCTTAAGGCAATGCGATAACAGCAGCTACTACTCGCACTAGAAGAAAAAAAAAAAATGTCGCGCCTAGAAATTTCGTTCAAAGGTCACTCACCGTACGGCGCTTGGGTGACCGCAGATAATGTTGCTGAATAAACGGGCTTTGGAGACTTGAAGCCTAAAATACAACAAACGTTTCTTTTTAACATCGAACGAAAGAACATGTGGGAAGCGGAAGAAAGCAAGAAATCGCGCTGCATTTTAGTGCACAATCAACCGATGGCCTGCAGGTCTAGCTTTTATCAAAGTAATTCAATTGAGCCTCTTTACACATACCGCTACCGTCGAAGACCACTATTCGCAAGGCTTAATTCTGTATTATGAAAGAGGGTACGAAGGAAAAAAAAAACATGGCTACCCCGACAGTCATCGGTCTCGCACCCCGATTGAGCTAGTCCAAAAATGGCTAACATGGCATGCGCCGCCATTGGCGTACTCTTTAAAATTCCCAGGCAAGCATTGGCTTACTTATGGTGCGCATATACGACACTAAATATCCATACGCAACCGCTCCCAACCGGCGACCACCAAAGACGGTCGGGAATGGCGCCAAATGCCCCCGCCGGAAACAAGCGCCATGATGCCAAGAAGAGGATGCCGCGAGTGCCGCCGGCCGCCATCTTGGGAACGCCGGCACCCGCCATTCCGCAAGGCCTAACAAATCTGCCTCGTGCCAAACATAAAGAACACCACCACGACACAATTTCGCGTTTAAACTGACATGCTCGTCTTGCAAGAGCCAACACTCTGGTTGGTTTGTCGAAGTGAGAACGTCGCTAAGCCCAACCGCCATTCCGCGCCCATCTGCGCCATTGTCTATTGTTGCCGCCATGGCACTCGATCCATAAGATCTAGCAAAGTCACCCGTTTTTCAGTATAAAACAACGCGCCCACCTGCGCGCAAGTCCATGGTCAGCAATTACGTCTCATCCAATGCATTGCGGCCCCTCCATTCAGTTTTCTTGATTATACGCCAACAGAAAACTGGAATGTTCCCGCTCAGCAAAGGAATCGCAAAATGTCGATTAATAAAATAAAGACTGCGTGAGCGCGAATGCAGAAGAGACACTTCGAATTGGCTGCTCGTGAACAGCGCCGGGGTAAAAGAAAAAAAAAATTATACGCACCACCATTTTGACTGCTGAGGCTCCTTGGCATGGTCGAGAAGTCGTAGCGTAGAATGACTTTTGGTTAGTTTGCTTTAACATAAGATTCCATAAAGCCCGTCTGGAAAAGGCAGCACGCAGTTAAGTGCCGCGCAAACAGTTAAGGCCTTTGTTAGCAACTACAGTTCCAGCACGAGACAGCACGTCCGACCTCCACGACGGCAAGGCAGCAACTGACGTTGCCTCGCTTGCCGCGCGAACAAAACTCCCCCATAGTTAGGGAATGTCCCTGGTCGTCCGAGGACACTTAGGACAAGCAAGGAAAAGTCGCTATCAAATGATGACCGTAGAACAGTCACACTTTCCTTCCTTATAGTCGTCTAAGAAATGTTATTAATCCCATAAAAAGCTTGAAATTGTTACTCACTACCCTGCGTACACCATTTGCTTCACTCCAGCCACAATATGGCCACTCAACTGGAAAGTACCTGAAAGGGCCGTTTGATTTCAGGAATGTCCCTAAGCGCAGGGATTTCTAGAATATTCTCGAATCGAATGACGTTGAAGGCAATTTCGTGATAGTGGCCATGTCTGAGCAAACGGTCAGGTTTGTGGGAGTGCGATACACAGTCGTGTGATCGCAATAAACGACACGGTTCAGACAACCGCATATCATCGGTCAGTTCCAAGCAAATGTAAGCCTGTTTTTCGCGAACAGCAGGGCGCTGAAGGCTCTGCACTGTGGGACAGACAAAGCAAGCTGCTTTTCGCGGCTTCTTTTTCTTCCTACAACCAAGTGGTGACGCTGCCATATGGGACATTCTTTGTCCTATATCGCACGGCACTTTTAAGCTCCGCGATCGAGTGAATACACGGCGACGAGCATTTATATGCGTCCCGAAAGCAGTTGGAACAGAAGTGTACATAGTATTCCGCAGTGAAATATACTGTGTGCTTTTCTGTATGGAACGTCGTATGAAATATTGTTATAACCATAAATACTTCCTGTTCATTATGTTCCTCTCAAGGTGCAACGTGCGAGGCAGCATGCATCTATTGCGGGATATAGAACGATTTCGGCGGTGAAACTTGCGATATGCTGGTTTTTACGTGTACGGTCGCTGGATGCGCGATAGATAGAAGGGGAAGGGAGGTTGACTGCCGAAAGAGGAAATCTGTGAATTTCGTGGCCACATTTCCATAGGGGTGGAATGGCAAGAACAAACGAAAGATGCCAGCGTGTCGACCATGAGTGTATGTTCAAAATGGTAAGTGGCCAAACTAATCGTGCGGTGCGTAGACACAACGGTGTCGCTCACAGCCATCATTAGGGTGGCCACTGACCCACGTCTTTATCAATAAGGGCTTTCAAATTCCATCACGTATTGAACCCACTCACACGTACGTACGTACGTTCCATTCGTATGCATGGGACAAACCTTCGAACGTAAGTAGTCGCGCAGATATATCAAATGCAGCATCAAGGGCGTTAAGCGCCGTTTCGGGGGGCACCTCGCATGACGCACTTCGCAAGGCTTCATTAAACATACCCTAATTATGTGTTTCCTTCAAGCGCTTCAATTCGTAAAGCTACGGGAAGACACACACTTCAGATGAGGGCGAACTGTTTGATGCACGCGTAAGAAAACGCAATGCAGTTGTACAGTTCGTGTTTTTTTTTTGGGGGGGGGGGGGGGGCATGCTTAGGGCTAGGTGCGTGACACACTTTGCGGGCGAGTTTGAAGTTACCTGAACTACGATTCGTCTGCGCGTGTTGATCAGGCCGTTTATATTCGCTGACTATGCTCCCGGCTTGCTGTATAGCAGTCAAGCGCCGTAATACACACTGCCATCGCAGGAGCTGAACGCTCGACCAATATTATTTCCTTAAGTTATGTGCACAGTAAATAGTGTGCAAACTACGACATACGTAGTAATAAATGTGCACATGTAGTTCAAGGAAGAAAAAAAAAGTTCGGGGGCCCCGAGTGTAGGCCTCGTGATTGCGTCGAATGGGCTCCAATGATTTCAACGCAGTGGCAGACATTTGCCGGGTTTCCAGCCGGCTTCCCGCCCGTTCGCCATGTTGTGCCAATTCTTATTTGTTTCTTGTCAATGTAAGCCTTCCCCAGACCAGCAAACCGGTTTTTCTCCCTGGGTACCGCTTGTTTCTAGCTTTCCACGCCCAACCTGGGGAAAGAGAAGTTACATGCAGGGGACATAGGGATCAAAAGCGGCGCCTATATGACCGAAGTGGCGCTGCATAGTGCTTGTCCGGCTTCTCCGTTTAGGCACCGGTTTTTTTCCATGCCACCACACACAAACAAAACAAAACAAAAAGAAAACATGAAACGGTCGTGAGGACACAGAAAAAAAAAAAAAGAAGGGACGCCGGCCCTGGGCACACGCGTTCCTACGTATACGTACGCCGTAGTTATCGCATAGCCTGCATACACGACGTGCTTCTTCCATTTATAGCGGCTGAAAAATAAATAAATAAAAGCAGACACGTAGAGGTCACGCCGTCGTTGCTGTACACAGACACACAAGGGGGAAAAAAGCGGGAGGAATGTAGGAAGTGAGGCACACATCAGTGCTAAATGTGTTGTACTTCAACAGTTACTATTTCGCGACTTGTCAACATATGATCTGACGGGGACATGCTGCGCGATTATTCCACCCACAGCATGTTCTCGGCAGCTCGTACTTGCTTGCGACGATGCTCTAACCTTTTCGGAACCGGAGTTGTCAGGACTAATAGCTGAAATGTGTGTTATTCTTGTGACAGCAGCTACAAATGCACTTGCGCCAAACATGAAAACCGTTGAGAGAAAAATGCGTAATACGATAGCACACTCGCACACTTTTGACAGCTCGGGACCTATATATAATGACTGCAACGCTGTGTTCTTGAGGCAGCAGCTACGAAACGTTGAGAAAATGTAACGTGTATGCACATTCGTATTTGCTTGCGACTACTTCAACAGTTGCTATTTCGCGACTTGTCAATATATGATCTGACGAGGACATTCTGCGCGATTATTCCATCCACAGCATGTGCTCGGCAGCTCGTACTTGCTTGTGACGATGCTCTAACCTTTTCGGAACCGGAGTTGTCAGGACTAATGGCTGAAATGTGTGTTATTCTTGTGACAGCAGCTACAAATGCACTTGCGCCAAACATGAAAACCGTTGAGAGAAAAATGCGTAATACGACAGCACACTCGCACACTTTTGGCAGCTCGGGATCCTATATATAATGACCGCAACGCTGTATTCTTGAGGCAGCAGCTACGAAACGTTGAGAAAATGTAACGTGTATGCACACTCGCACATTTCTTACAGCAAAATGCACAGCACGCCGGTTGGGCGCCGATGCGAACATCGAAACAGCGATTCTTTTGTGCACGTTGGTTGCACAAAAGGCCGTCCAGAAGTAACTGTACGGATGCACCATACAGTCATGGTCGGCATATCGCCATTTTCACCTGAAAGGCCGGTCATGTACAGACGGAATCACATTTGTCTATAGCATTAGTGCGTCGCCGTGTACGCTGTTGTACGCAGCTACTTTTTCAAGTTAGCTACGTCCGGTTAACTATGTTAGGCGTCATTACGGCATTGGTATTTACACGTTCAACAGAAAACGGCAGCTAAAGTGGCCGACTGAGCGCTTTAGGCAAGTGTGAGGCCGTCTGTACGTTTCTATAGCAACTCCCGCAAACAAGTTTTCGGATCATGGTGCATTTAACACGGGACGGTAGTACCTTGTTAGGGCTAACTTTCACAACTGCCACTTTTGAAACCCTTGCTTCGCCTACGGCGATATTAGAAGCAGTATTGGAAAGAAAAAAAAAAAAATGTCATGTCGAAGCTCTGAATGTGTGATAACGACAGATAAAGCTGATGCACACGTTTATGGAGCATACGGTACTTTCAGAGCTGTTTCAATATTGCTGGCAGACCACGTACACGAGCTACTAAATTCGGCGAGATTGTTCATGCCTATTCAAATGCGTAGCGCGACTGAGACAGGGCACTAAGAAACACCGATATCTCGGTCGCGCCGAGCTTCTGAATTTCCGCGGATTCTCTCCTTGTTTAGCAGGCGCTCGCGCCAATCGTCCGGCGAGGCGCTCAATTGTTCACAGCCATCACTATCTAGGATCCATTCATAAAGCTTGGCTGCAAGTAGTTACCTATATTGGAAATTGTCGCTATGCCATTGTAGTGATTATTTTGCACTGCACGTAAGCTTCCCTGTGCAGTGTAACACTTTTGAGACCTAAAACGTTGTCAATCCACAAAAACAAGTAAATTGTGACTCAAACCTGCACTTTCCAATTGGAGGGGAAAAAAAAGAACACGTAGTTTCAAAGGAGTTCTAAAAATCTACTAACAACTTTGCCTAGCTACTAGTCTCCTTTCCCAGGTTTCCACGTGCTGCACATAGCTGCTACACTACGAGATTATTTCAGCTCTGCGACTGAACAAAGAATTTGTTCACATTCTGCATCTGCAACTATGCATGCAAGCATTCTACATATGAAATCTAGACTAATTATTGCATTGGCTCAATAACTGGCTGTGTGTGTTGGGCAAAGGAAAACAAAATAGTGTATTGCAAGATCACCAGATTGCATAAGCACACAGGAGATTTAACTGTACAGTCACACTAAATACGTGTTGCAACATGCTGGCTGTGGTTAAAGTGACCCCAAGCTTGAACAATGACAGCTACAATGTTAAATTGGTTCAGACGATACTGCTAATTCAGATGGTTTACTTCAATTTCTTTTTCTCTATGTAGGTACAACTTTGCAGTTTTGGCACCATTTTGAGTACAGACAGCGTGTTGCAACTCTTATTGAGTGTGACTACACTGTGGCAAGCACGGCAATCAAGCCATTCAAGCACAAAGAACACAAACACTTTCAATTTTTATTCACAGTTTTGTAGGCTGAAAAAAAAAAAAAAGCTGCTCCAGAGCTTTCTTGAAATAGGTACGCCTTTCAGCTACACTGCGTTCCAGGAGAAGACAACAGAAGCAGCCAGAAATGTCTGAACGACCATCACACCTCCATCTTGCAACACCTGGCATGAGACCCAGCAAACGTTCCTGGCTACAGAACAAACACGAGGTTGGATGGGCAAGCACATGTCTCCAATGATAGAGCAACACAAAACAGGGGCAAGCACCACAACAGACCAACTTTGAGACAGGCTGTGGTAAACAGCACACACAAACACACACACACTATAAGATGGGGGGGAAACAAGGGCACAGGAAACAACAAATGGTGCATGTGCACACGAGTCCCAGGCTATGCCAAAACACTGCACTTAGCCGGTGACTGCCATGGCGGCCACCGCTAGACATGGGCCCAAGCAAGCAAGAGGGGCAACAAACACCCTGCTAGGTCTAGCACCTAGCACGTGCTAGGGTCATGGTGCCACCTCGCACATAGACTGGGTCTCTCCCAACAGCATCGCAATATGTACACTTCCTGCATGTGGAGTTGCATGCAAACAAGGCTCTGGGCAAATAAGCTAATCAAGCATCTCCCAAGTGAATAAATAAACATAGTAATGGCTGGAAGTGCTCTTCAATTGGCAGTTGACGAGCCATCTAAGAAATGTGGCCACCCTTTGAGCTTAATAACCTTTCTTCAAACACCCCGTCTGGACAGACAACAAAAAGTAAGAACAGAACAACTGTTTTTTATTTATTTTTGCTATTGCAGTTACAGTTCCCTTTGGAACCCTCAACATGCGTCTAAAATTCAAAATGCCACAAAATGACACGATAAAAGCACTAAGTATGCATACTTTTTAGGTGTATATATATATATAATGTTTGTATATATATATATATAGATATTTATATATAAAGAAAGAGAGATAGAGAAAGATTTTTATTACACATATTAAAGAATGAGACAAACATACTGTCATGTCTAACTGCGCAGAACTGCACAACAAAGACAACCATTGCTTTGGCTAGCCTCAACATTAACACCAACTGATGTACACCAGCCTCAGTTTATATAGAACAAAATCTGCTTGGTGCTCTCGTCAAGACGTAAAACAATATAAAGCTTGCTGCTCCCTCCAGTCACAGCATTATAAATGTTCCACAAAATAAAAGCTGTTCATCCAGCACTGCTCGGCAAACCAACTGCAACAAAGGTACAGTTGAACGTTTACACAACTGCTCGACCCAATATTCCTGCATCTTGCAAGAAATTTCAAGAGCAGCAACTAAAAATGCAAAAGTTTGCTTGAAATAAAAATTGGATAAAAAAAGAAAGCAAAAAAGGAACACTCATAGTTCCCACCGAAAAGGATGTCCTCAAGCATTTGCAACAATATAGACAAGAAAACTAGAGAGCTCTTGAAGCGTTGTCATCTGCCATTGCAGTTCATTTTTCTTTAAACCAGCCATAGTTTGGTGGCAGTGCCTGCATCAGTCCTGGGAAGAATGAGCTTGGGTGCCTGGCAGTTTTTCTTCAGCAGAGCGTCACACCTGCACACGGCAAAATAAACATAAAACAGCACACTTAGCCACACACATCTGTCACAACAGGTACAAAAAAAAAAAAAATACAATTTTGCGTTTTGCAAGACGTGAATCATGACAGAAAAAAACAAAAATTTATTTCTTAAGACTAACAGCAATGTTGAGATTTCCCATTCAGTCCGTACTGGTGTGAACATGTACCGTCAACTCTTTGCCCAGTAGCATCCAGCGTATTTTACAATGTACACATCATTTTTCGCGAATAGAAAATACACAATCCAATGTTCTGATCTTGCTGATGAGCATTTTTGAAGCAAGAGGTTGGAGTAACATACTCCTACTCTCGCATATTGACTAGGGTCTTTATTTTCTAGGCTAAAGTTGGTAAACTTTCCAAAAAAGAGTGCACATTGAATGCACATGATGCAAACGTTTTCTAAACCGCCAAACCTCATCAGCAGCTCATCAACTTGCCCACTTGGCAGGGCATAAGACACAATAGTGAATTACACAGAGTGCCCTCAAGCTACTCTGAAATTGCCTCAAAACCAGTTCAGGAACCAGCTGCGATGAAGCATGGAGTTGTGCAACCCCCAAGAAGAGAACTGCTTTAACCACCATCTCCTTGCATCACTGTCTGAAAAACGTGACAATTTATTGATGGTTATGGCACGTAGCACAATACCTATCAGCTGTTGCCATTCTTATTGGCCATGACTATTGATGCCAAGAGTTTGTACAGTTGTGTATATAAACCACAATGCTTTCTGGGATGGCATTACGGTGCATTGAATACTTTCTTTGAGCAAGAATAGTTACGCAAAAATTAGACCTTAGTGGAGCAATCAGCATTTGCTCGATTTGTGGTTGCTCCAGCCAGGAGCCATTTTGCACATCTTGGGCAGCATACAGAGAAGAAAATCTCTGGCATATGTCATGCAATTGCAGAAAAAATTTGAGAAAAGTATGCCGTGTATGGTCTCCAGCTGGCACCACACTGTAAGTGTTCACTACAGAAACCATTGTATCTGGAGTCCACGCAGTTGCTGTGCTGTAATCCACACTGTAAGTGTTCACTACAGAAACCATTGTATCTGGAGTCCTCGCAGTTGCTGTGCTGTCATCCAAAGAAGTTTGGTGAACAGCTGAAGGCAGTACACATTCTTTTATGGCACTAAATCATCTTCAAACTAACAGCCATGAGCCTCCTCATTAAAATGCTTTGGCAGAAAATATTAAAGCCCTGTCAGCCTTTGAAAAACTAACAGCCATGAGCTTCCTCAATAAAATGCTTCGGCAGAAAATATTAAAGACCTGTCAGCCTTTGAAGTCACAAACTAGATGTGAAAACCCTTCCAAATGCTTCCAACAAAGTGCTGTCCCAATCTGGAAACAGTGAACGCTGCACCTAGCTGTTGTAGAAGTTACCAAAAAATGCGACTATGCGTGCATGTCAGACACTTCAGGGATATGAATTGGGCCAATATTTGTCCATGGCAGGATGGGCCAAACACGTCAACAAAGGGTCGACTCAAAGAGCGTAAGAAACAATAGGCCAAAGAGGACCAACAGAAAACAGCAGTATTAGGGTTTAACGTCCCAAAATCACCATATGATTACGAGAGACTGAGACATATGATTATGTTTTTTGTAGTAATTATGATGTGAATGTAAAGACAGTAAAGTGGACGAAAAGATAACTTGCTGCAGGCAGGTACGAAACCGGCAACCTTCAAATAAAAGCAACGGTCTGATGCTCTACCAATTGAGCTACAGCAATGGTCATCTTTCCATCCACTTTATGATATATACGTCCATTTGACCCCCTGAGTGTTATCAGGGCTGCTAGTAGGCATGAGTGCGAGCGTGGAACACTTTTTTGGCCTGCTGGCATCACGAGGAGTGAGCTCCTGACCACTTTATCTTGAATGGAAAGAACATGGAGTAAGTTCGCTACTGCTGTACAATGGTAACTTTTCAGTACAAGTACTACTGTCATCCTGATGTCAGTGACATTCTCCTCTGTACATATAACTTCACTGAGACAGCAATAAGCTGAAAAGCAAACTTTGCAATGAATGTCTGATAAAAAATTTTAAATAGTATGTTGCCCCCCCCCCCCCCCCCCCTTCCCCCCCAGTGTCTTAGCGATAAAGAGAAATCACAGGTCAACCATGGCAAAAAGTACACCATTCTCTATAAAGCCAGCCCAAGGACCATGCGCAGTACGATTCAAATACAGACAGATAACTTTCTTAGTTTCACGCCTATTTGAAGCAAACTCGCACCAAGCAACCGAGGGCACCACAAAAACAAAAATTGTGGAGAAAACGAATAGGCCGTGGCTAGGTGACAGATGAGCAGCTGACTCACTTGCAAATAGATGGGGGTTACTGGCTTCGATTCTGCCACTCGGAGGCAGCCTTCTCTTTGTCCTCTTTCTCCTTACGGTGCTTCTTCTTCTTGAGAAACGAAGGTGTCCGCAATCCCCCCTTCTTCTTCTTCTTGTCCTTCTTGGGTGACTCACCCTCGACGTCCTTCACTGGCGAGCTCTGCTGATAAAGACCAGAATGCCACAGGCATGTTCGTCAGGACTAACTAGCTTATAAGCCATTTTTTTTAACGATAAAAACCCAACACAGTTCACCTCACAGCATATGAACATAATTACACTGCTTCATAATGACACGTCAGTAGCTTTCAACTCCATAGTCTCTCTGAGAACCTGCATAAAAAAACCTAGGCCAGCAAATTTTTTGCCAATATGTTAGGATACATACTAGGGCTATGTACTGTCGCAATAGAAAGAAATGCAAACAACGGAACACTTGACTTCCCACACAGTCAGCGCAACCTAGCACAAGTCCACTAATCCTAGAGTGCGTGTCCACTGCCAACATGCCCTGGCAGTTGGTGAATGGATCTTTGCTTTCAGTTGGTCCAACCGTTGCGCTAGAATCTTTTTTTCGGTTGGGGCTCTCGCACCACACAAGTTCTGATGTTCGCCATGACTTGCAGGTAATAAGCTTTCATCTACTGTGGCATTGCTCCTCACCTAACGTCATACGCACACGATGCGTACTGCAGGTGATGGAGAGCCCAGAGAGCCCTACTCAGCTCTGAGCATCCGAGTACCTGTGAAATAAATTATTTTTATAAACAGCAAGTCCTGTGAAGAGGGGGCTTTTTTCTGTGAATTTTTTATTATTTGCCAAGCAGACCTGAGTGAATGCCGACCAAGCTGGCACTAAATATTTGTAATCTTATGTGCGCAATCATTATGATGGCATGAAAGCTTCCTGCATTATGCTTGCTGGGCATATTGAGAAGGCAAGCTTATTTGCCAGTCATGTCTGTCACTCTGAACACACGCGTGGTACGATAGAGTCGACCGAAACAAGATTTTTGTGCTACGGTGGAGCTGATAGGAAGCACAAGTTTGTCCACCTACAGCCACAACATATCGGAGCTGGACACACACTCTCGGACTAACGGACCTATGCTAGGTGACACTGACTGCAAAAAGCGGTGTGTTCCGCTATTTGCATTTCTTTCCATAGCAACAAAGTGATTATATCTCCAAGAGCGCGAGAACACACATACTGAAGATCCATAAAAGGTTGATATAAGAAAGCAGGCTTCACACAATGATTCGGAATGTAAGAAGTCCAAGCCCTGTGTATCCTACCAACATCGGAAATTAGCACTACCTTTCATAGAAAGCAAGCAAATCACTATAACTGGGCAATCTTCAGTGAAAGTGATGAGAGGTCAGATTTCATCTTTCGTTCCTTGTAACTTGAAGTAAGGCTATACTAAAATAACAGCTTACAGGGCATACAAATACTAACTGCAATGCACCATTTAGTGGCCTCAGGCTGCACTGTCAGGCAATACTTGATATCTATGATATACTTGAAGGGGCTGTTTATATGAAAACAGACAAGACCGAATCTATCACCAAGACAAAAAGATTTGAAGTGATGAAAAGTTGCTGAACAACGAATGCTGTCGCAGCCAACATCTGGGCAAGAAGAGTCATATTCATCAGGGACAGCAATGAATGCGCAGTTAATTTGACATGATAACACGAGTGTTGCTCAATGCAAAGCTAAGCGCTAGTATGCACAACTGCATGATGTTGAATGATAACCGAAGACAGACACAAAGATTGAACAATGGCATGGCGGTAACAGCCTTGTCGAGGTATTGCTAATACAGCCTTCACCCAATTTTCTTTATATAGTCGATACCTCCACAAGTTTACAGGTAGTCTCTTCCTGGTTTCTCCCTAGAATACTTTATCACTTGGAAATACAATTGACAGGCAGAGCCTTTCCAGTGTACAGGCAAGTGCACCAGTTTATTTTTCTTAACATTTAATGCGAGAGCGTTGCAAGAGCTCGCTTCGCAAAAATTGCGGCGTCGGCAGTGGAATCGTTGGTTGTGAGCAAAACATCATTTTGTGAGTGACCGAAAAATCGAGAAACATGCAAATAGAGTAAATGAAAATTTTGGGGTTTCTGTAAGGCTCGAACTCGGGCAGTTTGCATGGCAAGCAGGTGCTCTCTCCAACAGCCAGACGCCTGCTTGGAAATGCAGTGAAAAGAACTTCCTCTGCTTGGAAATGCAGTGAGAACAACATTCAAACTTTACAAACACACGCATCCTGAATAGAGGCTTCACAATACGTGTAATCATGCAGTCATATTGCGTGGTACAAGTGTACATTGCCATTGGGCATTCAGAAAAGTGATTATCATAACTTCGTCGGCCACCCATTACGAAAGGCACACGCATTACTGCGCGTATTCTGTTAAGACCACGTAGCAGGTGTAGTGCAAGTGTGAAGACATTTCACGTGAATGATTGGTCATGGTTTAAAACATGCTACACATTACACAGAATACAGCCAAATAAATGCAAAAGCTACACTGACACAAGCCACTTTCAACTTCATCGTAGTAATCCCCAATTTAAACTTCTCGAGCAACATCATGCAATAAAAAGTATGTACCAAGTGGTTGAAGTACGCACTAGGGACAGAATATCGCTATTACGTTCAATTCTTAAAGAGAAAGCTTACGCATCCCCAATTTTACTCTTCTCTGGCGTGAAATCACTCGGAGCGGATTTGACAATATTAGCAATTTTGGCTTTTAGAGGTGCCCTATTTATTTGATTATTAACTACAGTATCCCCCCTCCTTGGTGCCCCCCCCCCCCAAAGGCACCACAGTAAAATGTACGAAGGCTACATCCTAAATAGCTGGAAGATTGAAATTATTTACCATTTTAGGGAAATGAAAAGGAAAAAAAAGCAGGAAAAAAAAAGCAAGACTGCATCTTCCACGGGAGTGAGAACCATGAAGGCATTAACTATTTTAGTGGTAATGCCGTCCATTTGCTAATCAGATAAAAAAAAAGCTATTCCGATTAGAACTTTTTGTTGTACATTAATTGAATAAAACCAATGACATTTTAAGAAAGCTGAGGCACCATCCACAAGCGTGGTACAGCAGTGGTGTGCTCTCAAAATACACTGTGATTGAATTTGACTGATGCAATGACAGTCCTACTTGTGAATAAGTCGATGTCTCTTACGTTGGCTGCTGGGAGCTGCATGACATGGCGAACTGATTACCTGTTCAGCGGTTCTTAATAAAGTGTTTACATAATGTTAGAACTCTTTAGGGCTTAATACATGAGCCAATATTCAAAATATTGTGCTCAAAGAGAACTGCCACATCCGACCAATACATCTCATTTAAGAGCAACTCTGCTATTCTGTGCAAATAAAAGGCCAAGAAATTTTAAGATAATCTGGGGGGGCTTTCTTTCGTTAAGAACACACACACACACACACAAAAAAAAAAGACCTGTTCAAATAACACTATGTTGTAACTAACTGACATGTTGTCTTCGAATGTGCTCTGGATGAAAGTACAACAGTATTCATTCTACTATATGGAATCTCAAGGGAGCAGAGAAATGGCGTTGGACACGACTACAATAAAATTTACATATCACCAAAAATAATTTTTGATTCCTTGTCGTGCAGCACCTACACGTGGTGCAGCAGACCACTGCACCAATGCGCCGCTATTGTTGGGAGTAGTGAATTGCACCCACTGGCACACTACGAATAGTCATCTCTTCGTCAGTTACTCTCGTGTTGTATGCAAGTATGTGTGCGCGAGGATGATGAGTTTAGTAAAACGGGTAGGCTTTCATAAAGGTAACGATGCATGACTTTTTTCGGGCCCCAAACAAAACGAAAGAACATAAATTCACAGAACCAATTGTGTTTACGATTTGAGCAGCACTGACGCGCGACAATGTTTTTAAAGGGCGATTTATGTGGCTGGATGGTGTAAAGCTCGAAGCATAGCTAGGCAGTTACCAGCGAAGTTTGTAAACGCAATCTTATTTTGCCTGCTTATTGTTGAGTAAATGATGGAATTCGTGTCTGACATGTGTTGGATAACCTCTAGCAATATGCGCAGGTAATGCGTATAGCTGCTGAGCTGCATTTCCACGTAGTTTTCTGTGCTGTAGTTCAGCTACCTTATGTATTCAAATTTAGGCCGATAGTCTTGTTAAAATTTCTTTGCACCAAACTCCAGGGTCAGCTTAGATTAAAGGATATCAAAAACGTGCCATTTTTCATTGAGAAAAGTGGTGCACAAATAATACCACTGAGACGGCATTATAGCCGTTAGTAGCCAAACCAACACGTGGTTTAAGTACACACGAGAGGCTGCCATGTTTATCTTTGTGGCCAGTGTTGAGGCGAGCCGTTAATTATTTCAAGCCGCTTCAAGTAGTCTGTGTGTGGTGTAGCTCAATGGCGCCAAACAGGCGGTGTCATTATAGCAAAGCTTATAAAAAGAAAGTTGTCCTAGCCGCAGAGTCATTGTCTAACATTCGCCGGGCGAGACTTTGGAGTAGACGAAAAAAATGTGCGTCGCTGGAGGGGCTGCAGCGTGGGACGACATCCCATGAACTTTGTGCGCTTTTTTAAGAATTGCAGCATATCCAATACTTTTGATGGCACCTAGGATCGCGCCCCGTCTGAAGACAATGACAAAGAAGTCGGCGACGAGGAAAGCTGCAATGACAACTCGGAATGAGCGCGGCATCAGCAAGCGTGTCATCTTTATGATGCAAATAACTAGAAGCTGCGCGAAAAAAATGACAAAAACACACACAACAGGACTAGCGGCTCTATGTTTCTCGAGTTATTTGTATCATGAACCAACTGCATTATGTCATCTTGATGATCAATAAATGTTTTTTCTTTGTGAATGCTATCTTCGTTGTTTGTTCGACCATTTGAGGCAAGTTTTTTTTCCGGGTTTTAGATTTTTGGGGGTCGGTCTAGATTCGAGTAAATACAGTACATTTGTACTCGCTGCTCGAACTGCATGAGTCCTTGAATAATTGTGTCACATGCCAGTTTTGTAAGCGTTATTTCAGCTGTCACATACCGCAACAGAACAACGTGGCGTGGCTTCACTTGCACGGACAGTGCTGTTGTGGGCTATGGCAGTACACAGGAAATAAATTTTCAAATTCTCCCGGTTTGTGATGCATTTTTCCTGGCATGCGGGACTTGTTTACTGACTACAAAATGCGATATGGCGGAAAAACAAGAGCAGCGTACAAGAAAAACTTTTATTTGTCGATTGCTTTTGGCTAAAGAAATGCAGACTGTAGACTCGAGGTCACTTTTCAGTCTGCCCTTCGATTCCTTACACAGTAACAATATCAGTTAAAAGGCTAGTAAACAAGCTCCCAACTTTTTTTGTACACTCACCCAAACAAGCTCGCCAATTCCTAATACAATGCTGCGTGCCATGCAGACAATTCCCATGCCTGACCAATCAATCCCCCTTGAACATGCAGTGACGCAAGCATTTCCATGGCCTACCCTTGGGCAGCTTGTTAATTGAGCTAGTTAATTAGTCCTTTGCCCTACAAAACAGCGATTTGGCCATGCAGTGATGCACTTTTGGTCACAGTCTGCGTTTTCACTTTCCTGTGCTGCCGCCCTCTGCTGTTTTGCAGAGCTCGAGACCACAGGGAAAAGCGGTATTGCCGGAACGAAAGCTTCCGAGATAAAGAGGCGCCTCGCTGCTTCACCACTAGGGAAGGGTGCTCTTCACACTGCGCTTCCTTTTCGCAACGCTACGACACGGGCTCATGTGTGGAAGCTTTGCTCAGTTGTTGGCTGCGTGCCGATGACGTATCATGTCACATTGCCGAAGAGGACGGAATCACGACAGGCAACACTCCCCCTCTCTATGGCAAATAAGGTGATTGATATGTGGGGTTTAACGTCCCAAAACCACCATATGATTATGAGAGACGCCATAGTGGAGGGCTCCAAAAATTTCAACCACCTGGGGTTCTTTAACGTGCACCCAAATATGAGCACACGGGCCTACATTTCCACCTCCATCGGAAATGCAGCCGCCGCAGCTGGGATTCGATCCCGCGACCTGTGGGTCAGCAGCTGAGTACCTTAGCCACTAGACCACCACAGCGGGGCGTGGCGCTTCACCTTGTGTGGAGAGTTAATTCACAGTGAACTAGCTACAGCATGTCCTTCATAAACATGCTCACGGGGTCACTTGCTTCACGCAACGTACACTAATCCAGTGTTCCCACCTGTTCCTGAAGCATGGTCATGTCAAAAAAATGAAAATCTTTGTGCCAGGTGCATAGTTCCTACAGTTATTGGCACAGTTTACGACAAAGCAATTCACACGTGACACTGCGAAACACCACTAACACGGCTACGCTTATGGGTGGGCTGCTGCACGGAGCATGCCAATTCGCTTTGTTCACTCCCGCACAGCAGCGCCACTGGTTCAGTGTGCATTTCCTACAGAAATTCATAGTAAAAAGTACCTTTGCAACAGAAATTGCAGAACATATTTTCATTTATTTTTTTTTTAAGTTTTTGCCATATGACACGACTGGGAGAGAACACCTGCCCAGAACTACCCTGTAAGTATGAAAGCTCAACAATTTTGCAACGGCTCTCAACTTCCTTCATACCACAGCTGCTGTGGATACTGCGTGTCTTCATTAGAAACTCACTGAGCGAGTTTAATGGTGACAAATCAGTAAACCATCACAAAGCTGCCAATAGAATTGATGCTAAAATGCAACTGCTTCTCATTGTCAACACCTTACAGCTTGTGCCCAGCGTTATAAACACACTACAACAAGCCGAAATAAGCAGTTTAAAACAACAGTTCTGGATGTGATATATTCATTACAATTAACAAAAACAGCATAATTAGCATATGACTGATTAGACACAGATGAAGCAAGAGAAGTGGTGCAGCTGGTGGCCCGGTGTGTCTGATCAAACAGCCGGCCTTGCAAGTGTTTGAAATGCAATAAAAGACACTTTGCAATAAGAAGTCATTTTACATGTTACCCAAATACAAAACCGACGAATTTACGGCTGTTGTTCCGTTTATGTGATTTCCATTCACTGAGACTTTGTAGGTTTACTTATTATAAATTTGGTTCTTCAAATTAGTTACTGTATAAGAAAGAAAGCAACACTGAAAGAGGAAACGAAGTCCCATGAAACTAGCTCACGGAGCCATCCAGAAATTTGGCAGACAAGCATAAGGACAACCGAAAATGCAGAGGTAAACCTACATCTCGTCAATAACTTTATTGTGTTAGAGACGGCCTTCAAAAAGTGCTAAATTTTCAAGAACACCTCCCCACAGGGGCCCCCCTTCTTTTGTATGAACAAGCCAGGGCATGATGCAATGAATTTTAATAACATGTTAAAAACGTGGGCTTTAGTGTGAAAAAAAAAACAAGAAAAAAAGGCCTAATAGCTGCACAAACAAAAGCTGCAGTAACGAACCACCACCAATAAGCCAACTGATTGATGAACTTTGCAATGCAAGGACTATGGTTCCACAGTTTCGTGCTGTTGTTGCAACATTCACAACAAAAGCATGAAGAAATTGGACACATAAAAGTCAATATGAACCTCTTTGCTGCTGCGTGATGCTGCTGAAACGTCGCCACTCTCAGCCGACCTCAGCTTCTCATCCCCATTCACTGGTGCGTCACCTGCAATGACAACGAGGAATGAAACCAATACTACATAGAACTTGCAGACACCACTTGCAAGACTGAGGACCAGAGTTTTTCATGCTCTTTTTTAAGTGCGGTAGTCACAAAAAATATGGGAAAGAGAAAAGTGGAATAGGTCAGCTTATGATACAGCAGCACATTGGAATTTTCATATGCACAAAAGGGACACCACCGTGAAAGAAATAGCACAGAACATACAGAAACTAGCAAGGAACTAAAACAGAAAAAAAAAAAGACACAGCAGCACCATATGCAATAAAAGTGCTCTGGTGTTTCACGATTTAAATTTTGCATATTAAATTTACTGCAGAACACTATACATATGTTTGTGAACCAAGCCTTTTTTTTCGTAAAAATGATTGTGGGGTTTTACATCCTAAAACCATATGATTACAAGAGGCCATAGTGGAGGGCTCCAAAAATTTTGACCACATGAGTTTGCCTAACTGCCAAGAACACGCACCTCTAGCATTATGCTTCCAGCGAAATGCCGACATCAGAAATGGAATTCGATATTGCGACCTTTGGGTCAGCAGTTGAGCACAACCAGTAAGCCATCGTGGAGGGTACGCCTTCATTTTGGCAAAAAGCTGTATACATTAATAATGCAGGTGACAGAATTATCAATGACTGTGAAATATTAAACAGAGAAGAAACTTAAGTATAATCCTAGTGTCCCAAGCAGAGCTATGAGGATCATTGCAAACAGCTTTTATTACCTTTCCATAGTACCACAATTGCTGTAAATGAAGTGACTAACGATCTTTGGACACCACAGGCCAAGTAAAAGTCAATGCTTCAAAACAGTTAAAGTGTCAATAGTACACACATCACTGCTTTAGTTTAGTAATTGAGAAATTACTGTAAATTTAGGACACCATTTACGCCACCAGTGGGGCATTTCGTAACACAGGCTCAATGACGTAGTAAAGCCTTGGATCAATTAATTACAAGTACTCAAGCTACTCACGACAAAAAATTTAGTGCATTGCAAGATGTATAGAATGCAACACGCACGTGACTTTGCGTTTGTTGCAAACAAGAACTTACAGGAATCCAAACTTTATTAATATATATTAATAGAGAGAGGTCCAAATCAATTGCGAGAAGCGTAATGACATCGTTACTCTGAACCACATGCCTTGGCAGTGTTCTGTGGCTTTTCATAGACTGTGACGAGGAAAAAGACTGGTGGCAAAGAGCCCTTCACAGTGTAGATCTTTCACATCAAATACAGTCCACCCAGAAGACCCACGGAAGTAAGGTTGAACTTTACTGTCCCAATGTGGGAGCGGCCTGCGTCAACCTAAGCATTGATCCTCAGAACCTAAATAAAGTTTACCATGCCATACATACATATCAGACTGATTCATAAAAACTAACATTACTCTTGAGAATGAAGTAAGTTCAGTTTTCACCAGGCTGCCTTCAGTTTGGCTCCCCAAAGCTCCTTGCCCCATAGAGTTTCCTAAAATTAAGTAGAGGGGACTCTGGCACTGCGATCGTTTAGCGACCATGGAAATTATGGGTATGACATAGATTTGCCTAGTCTTCTTGCTTGCGGATGGCAAACGCACTTGTGGCTTCGCTTATCGCTGCATTTTAGTTTTGTTTCGAAGAAAAGACCAAACCGTTTTTTACTTCGTGAACCGATTTGAAGTGGTAAGCCTAAAAGATTAAGGTGGTGAAGCAATACTGCCAAACATTTGCCCACTGTTGTTTCGTGACAAAGCATCTTCAAGCCATGCAAAGCCAGAACGAATGTAAAGTACGAAGACTAGGCAAATCCATGTCATACCCATAATTTCCATGCTCACTGAAGTGCCATGCAATGCAGCTCCCATAGAAACTAGCCCCAGAGTTCCCTCTAACGTATATTTAGGAAACTAATTGCCTTGCCCTGCTCCGCCCTAGGCCTTTGGGCGAGACAGGCATGGCGAATGCAATGTCAGAAGGCCTTTCTCAGAATTGGGCAGTTTGAATTGCAACAAATGTATCCAACCACAAAATACAATTTTATTTTCACCTAAGCATTTCCTGTGTACAAAACAAGCGCTACAAAGTTTCTGGAATGCTATTTCATCAATGCATATAGACTTTGGCCCGTATTCACGAGCACTCCGAGTCAAAACTCCACCTCAACGGATCACAGAGGACTGGTTCACTGTGATTTCTGCAACGTAGAAAGTCTCAAGGATCCCTTGATGTGGAGTTTCGTGTTGAGGAGCGTTTGCGCATACAGGCCTTAATATTTGCTTTGGTGTCACTTCAAGCAAACTTTCACGAGGCATGATACAGTTGTCATATCCCACAATAATGAAAAGTACTTCTCAGATCTCCCTGGCACTCTTGTCCACTGCATGAGACTCGAGTCATCACAGAATATCTGCGCGGATGAGTCTCGCATGCAACGCACAAGATGGCCTGTGCCTTGCGAGTGTTAGCACACATGTTGGTGGTTCATGGAGATGTTTGATGATGCAGAATCTTGTCTAATTGATGTATTACACGACAAAAGTTAGGGGGACAAGACTGAAAACCCCCTCAGTAGACTGGCCGAATGAGTCCTAGTGCTTTATCTTACATTGTGTATTCTCTGCCTGGTTATCACGTCACGTATCAGTAGGAACGATCCTTATTACTACTTCTTGCTCTCCCTTCCAGTACAAAAGATGTTACTTACACGATGTTACAAAGATGTTAAAGATATGTCAGGACAAATAGTATGTTCACACAGACTATAATAAAAAAAGAAAAACAGCTTATGTCATTGTTTACATTATTATATGAGCTGCTTGAAGAGACTTTAAAACTGATATACAAAATCAGTCTAAATTATATTTTTTAAAGAGTCGATTGTCATAAAAATGATAATCAAGAGATAATAAATTTTTCTTGTATTAGTACATTATTCTTTCACAATAACAAAATCACCATCCTTAATGACACTTGTTAAGTGAAAAAATACCTAAAAAGAAATGCAAAAGGCGACAACACCTTGATGTTCCCATGATGCAATTTTTGAGATCTACTAAGACTGACATCGCTCCTAATCAGTAATAGTGAACTACATTGTCCTCCGAGGTGACCAGACACCCAAATTTCAAGAAATTTCATTCAATCAATAACATCAAAATACGAAAACTGCACTCCGAAATTAGCGAAGTCGTGTGAAGATAAGGCTTAAAATTTAAAAACGAGACTTTGACCTTGATTTTTTATTCCTATATTAATGAACACACGATGGTGAAATTAGAGACATAAAAGTTCTCCAAGTACAATTTGTCAACCTAAAACGACTCATTGTTTCGCTTCAGTGCCCACTTGAAGTCTTTTCTGTACTTTGGCTATATTGTAGCTGAAACTGGAAAAAAATCATTGCTCCCTAATGACACAATGCAATTCACTTTCGCCAAGAAATCATAATGCAGGTACCAGCAGATGCCTTTAAAATGTGAAAAATGGTTGAGAGCTGAGTGTGGGTCGCTCAAGATGGTATTGCCACTTGTAGTTTCCCTTCATGCCTTTTCTTACTTGAGTGTCCTCTTTCACGCAAGCTTTTGAAATTGTGAAAGATAATGTATCAAGACGAGAAAAACTTTTTTCTTTTCAATTACTAATTGCAGGAATTTTATGTGCCAAAAACAACGTAATTATGAGGCAAGTCAAAATGCAAAACTGCAGATAATTTTTCACTTGGGATGCCTCAACATGCACCAACGCTACACAGCACAAGGGCTTCTAGTATTTTGCCTCTATCAAAATGAAACTGTTGCAGCTGGGATCAAGCTAGTGTCTTTTGGGTCAGCAGCCATGCACCATGACAATTAAAAGCCACAATGGCAGTTGTTTTCTATTTAGTGCCCTTGCTGTTTCAAACAGTGCCATGACAATGTTACTGCTGTTTAAATGTCATCCTCACGCAGATGCCTGCAGTGAAGGCAGTTTCATCAATAGAAAAACGTCCTTAAGACTGCAGCATGAAGCTACAAAAGAACTACTAATACCCGTGCCACACGGGCCGAGAAAATGGCATTTACCTTTGAATTCCTTCAGATTGAAGTTCATTCGCGCGGTGCCACACACATGAACGAAATGGCATTCGCCAAAATGCCATTCATCACCAAATGCCATCGCCAGAACTAATGCGACTGAGAAATGCGTACTCTCGACGCCATAGCTGATGAAGTAATTGTATAAAACGACGTTTGATTCGACTGGAAGGAAACTTTTTGCGTGTTTTATTTACACTAATCACTGTAAAAAACTGCTTAAAAACTTCTCTTCATCTGGTAGGCGCTGTAAAATAAATGCGCCAGGTGCCATTTTCTTTCTACACTGCGGATCTGACTAGCTTTGGCTCAAGTTGCGGTCGGTTCCAACGTCATGAAACAAAGTAACGAACGAAATCTAACGGCAGCGTAATATGCTTATTTATACTTTTATATATTATCGGATGTGTATGAAGCTTGTAAACGCTTGTTTATTTTTTCATTGCTACTCATTCGATGGTCACGAGGAAGGTGCTGCGATCGACCATAGAGTTTCTCAAAATTAACTAGAGGGCACTCTGGCGTTGCGATCGTTCAGCAACCATGGGAATGATGGGTAGTACACACATTTGCCTAGTCTTCGTGCTTGCGGGCAGCGAATCGTACTTGCGGCTTTGTTTATTGCTGTGTTTTGGTTTTGTTTTGAAAGAAAGAATGAAACCTTTTGAACTTAGGGACTTGATTCGAAATAGTAAGCTTAAAAGAATAAGGTTGTGAAGCACAAACAGTGAACATTTGCTAATTTATGTTTTCGTGAAAAAACAGCTCCAAGCCACACGAACACACACGGAGCCAGAAGCAGGCCAGAAGTACGAAAATTAGACAAATGTGTGTACTACCCATCATTCCCATGCTCGTTGAAGTGCCGTGCTTTGCAGCTCCCATAGACACTAGCGCCAGAGTTCCCTCTAGTTAGTATTGTGGGAAACTATGCGATTGACATCATCAAGTCAAATGTCATTCACTTTGGATGTGTAGCAGCGCCGCCGGAAAAAATGTCATTGGGGAACTGAATGCCTTCGCTACCGAATGCCATTTTCTATGCCCGTGTGGCACAAGTATAAGACTTTCTTAGGAACAAAAGCTTTGCAGGCAAAAAATTTGGTCCAGGTAAAATGTTTAAAACTACTACAAAGCTTCTGTTTAAAGAAACCCGTGTAGTTTTTCATGGTAGCTTGGTGCTGTTACATTGGGGTGAATTACTTCTTCCCTTTTTACGAGGGGTTCACAAACTGTGCATTTCATATTTTTTTCCAAGTTGTAGGTGACATTTCCTGGGACACAATGAGATAATGAAAAGAGTAAACATTCGTCATTCAGTTTCTTGCCAGCTTTGTTATTTTAGTCCCTCTTGTCATGGGTGACAGAGGCAGGAAACATGCTCACACTATTACTCGCAAGATGAATTGCAAAAACTAACCAAGATACACTGCTGACGCAAAACAAAAGTTCCATGACTAAATTTAATGTATTCACACAAATAGAGACACAAAATACATATTGCACAACCTGCAAAAGGATCAATAGTAGCAGAGTACAAGCAGTTCTGAAGAATATAGTCATGTTTTCTGTGTTCAGAAAAAAAATATATACCTTACTGCTTGTATCAAGTGGTACTTACGAACTCTGGTTTCTTCTCAGCTGTCACAATGAATGATGGCACTTAATTTACATTAGTAGCAACGTCAACGGCTATTCTATGAGACCACTTTGTTTTCTTGACAGAACGTTGAGTGCTTCTCGGTACATTCCAGGCACTGCAAGGGTTCCTTATGCCAGTTTTAGAGCTTGCTGGCATTATTTCATAATAATCGGCTACAAGAATGCATGCGCTTTTCAGAGGATGTCCCTGCACCTGCATACCTACATTGCTGCTTGGGCATAACGAAAGGTAGCAAACGTATCTTCTATACAGCCCTCATAAAGGTGCTCACTGCAAAACTAGAAATATGAAACTACCACCAATACACCACAAAATCAAGACTATCCAGGCAACTAGGGGAGCAAAAATAAAATAAACCACCTACTCCCCACACCAGACTTGGTTGCACACACATATGACAATGAGCTTTATGGCCAAATTTCTACCAGAGTAGAAATACTTTGCTAAATGCTTCTGGAGAAACAATGCAATGCTCAACGACAACAACAAAAACATAAAAAAGAAAGCTAAAATGGAGCCAGACTCCATACATGCCATGCCATAAGCTCCAAGTACACACACTTACTCTGGCGCTTGGGCTTGCGCTCTGACTGAGCTCGCCGCCCAAACTGTTGTGGCACGATACGCTCTTCCTCTGCACAGCGAAATTCATGCAGTGCCATGCACAGGGCATGCAGAGGGTGCACAAGCAGCATGGTCACAGGTGCAATAAAAACAGGGAACAGGAAAGAGGGGAGAAAAACAAAAGCAGCAGAAAATAAGTACACAACGAAATTGAAACAAGCAAACAGCTCAGGAAGTGCACACGTAAAGAAAGGAGCAAACAATGTTGACCTGAACTCAAACACCTGACTAATCTTACAGTTGAAAAAAAAAAGTCAAAGTGAAACCATTTTGGGAGCTACAAGATTAAAGAGACACCAAAGAGAAAAACGATGTTTTTCCGTATTCGTGAAGTTCAATTCCACAATCCTGAAAATGCCACTCTTACTGCGACACGACACTTAGTAAGAGGAAATGCGCAAAAAGAAAATGCGGGTGGCGACGCAACCTTTAGATTCACACACCAAACACCGTGACGTAAGAAATTTTGAAGGCATCACCCATGCAGCTTCCAATCGATAAAAATGAAGTACACTGCAACCTGTGGGTGCCATAGAATTAGCATATGAAGTTTCAGAAAATTTCGTCGAGCCAATGACCGAAAATACATTTTGAAATTTGCTACGTCACGAGCAGAAATTTTGGCACCAAATTTAAAACTGAAACTTTAACCTTCATTTTATCTGCTAGTAATGAACGTATGATAGTGAAACATATGGCACTAGAGTTCTCGGAGTGCAGTTTGTCAATCTAAACCAAGTCAATGTTCCTCTTTAGTGTCCCTTAAGGTGCAAGTGGCTTGCTTAATAAGCTACTTTCGTACTAGAACTCAGGGGTGTAGCCAGAAATTTTCATCGAGAAAGGGGGCACCCCCTTTAAATGGCCCTTTTACTTTTTGTATGCAATGGTGCAAAAAATTTCGGGAGGGGGGGGGGGGGGGGCACAGGCCTGGTGTGCCACCCACTGGCTATGCCACAGCCAGAACCCAGTCAAAAAATAAGTTTTCTTTAAAAGCAAAAAATTCATTTCTTGAGGATGGAGGCCTTTGTTACGTCAGCATTTTCGTTCTCCAGGCCACTGCTCAACATGAAGTAGAAAGCTAAAGCCATATTTCTCAAGTTAATACTTCTGCAATGTTAATCCCCTAAACCATAAGTTAATATATATGCACTTATTTATAGGTAGTGGTAGAACCTCCATCCATGTACACGTTGTCTGGATGCCCCAAGGCAATTGTCTTCATGCTACTAAGGGCTTTAACAGACAAGTTCATGAACAGAAATAAGCCAAGGTTGCTAAAAAAATGTATCTACAAGGCCCATTGTAACAAAGCCTAGAAAAAAAGCACAAGGAGACACAAATATGCATATACATACACACACACAAACACAGACACAATATGACAGAAAATTTTGTCATCTAGAGCAGCCCAAGTGTGCAAATATGCAATGCTTTAGTGCTTTAAAAACGACTGGCCAGAAATTCAGGTTCATGATGACAAACTGCATCTTTTAAAACGGTGTGTTCTGCTATCCAGGCTAAATCTCGTGCCACCCGATCAGGAGAAGCAATCATCAAAGTGGTAGATACATATTAGCACAAAGTGCATTCACACACACACACACAAAAAAAAAAGAGAATGCCACGAAAATACAAACATTAGGCTTTTGCAAACAGTCAATTTTAGATTCGATGTTAATAGTGATTTTGATCAAATAATTTCCTACCGTATTCGAATAATGTGTGTGTGTGTGTGTGTGTGTATATATATATATATATATAAAGAAAAATGAGCATATTTTTCATAACTTAACTTGGACAATATTTTTTTAATTGAAAAAAAAAAAAAAGCCTGTGGAAACGCCATTTTTTGCATCAAAGGAAGTGGAAACAACTTTTAATAGTAGCCGGATTTGACTTTCGGCAGAATGCAAGTGACAGCCTGTAAAATTCGGTAAGTTTTAAAATTTGCAATACTTAGAGCATATAAGTCGGTATAACGAGCTTTTAAGGTTAAAGAAATGAATCTATGAGAGAGCAATATCTTCACTTAACCTTGAAGCGGCATTTTGCGACAGCACAAATTTTCCTTGGACACGTGTTTTCATGGCTTAGCACCACTTCACTGCAGTGAAATCACTTTTACAGGAGATTACACTAAAGTATACTTGGATTAGGCCTTCCATGGCTTAGCACTCCACTGCAGCAAAATCACTTTTACAGGATGTCACATGCAAGGAATCACGTAAATCTGAGTAATAAAGCATTTTAGAACAGCAAAAGAACATCGAAGCATGACACAATGCGAATGGCGTAAGGAGTGGTCATCCAATGCTCCAACCCATTACAAAAGCTTGTTTTTGATCACCTACTAACTGTGGCACATACCCACTTCAGGCATAATTTCTCATCGTCGTCAGCCACTGCATGAAGGATTGGCACAAAATTCTTCACAAGTGTTAAGCGGATACAACACTTCACCGACGAATGACGAAAAATAGCATAGCGAATGCTGGTCTACTACCCAGAAATTATTTTTATTAATGCCATAGAGAGTACCCAGAAAGTGTGCTTATAGCAGTTACCTAATGAGTATTTAGAAAAGGCTCTGAAGGGCCGCTCTTTTAGCTTTCGCTGTGACTATGCAGCGCTTTCCGCGCAGGCCTGGCGTTTTTATTTGTTCATTCTAAATAATTCAGCTTTTTCAACAATTTAAATTCGATTCAAAGCAAATTCAAATACTCCCTTGATCGAATATTCGAAGCATACAAATATTTGGGCAAGTCTAACAAAAATGCTTCCTTGACGTAGCTTGCTTAACAACTGCACTCTGTGCCAGCTCGGCCCAATGACAACCGCAGCTCGGCCCAATGACAACCCTCTTGAGAGTTAAATGGCTGGCCAACACACCTATGCTAATTAATTGAAAATCATTTTTGAGTGAAACCTTTCTGTGGAAGTGGCCATCTGATAAAATGACACACCCACCATAGTCTGTTGTTAACTTGTACACAAGCTACCGCATGCTACTTTTGTTTGTTCACAATTTCTTTTGGCCGATTTGCTATCAGTAACTTTTTACAAGGGTAGAACAGGGTACGTGGGTTTGGGGGCCGCCCTGAAAGCACCCAGAAAGGTCTTCTCGACAAATTAGGAGCAGTCAGAACATTCAGAGTAGATGTCACCCCGTTTCACAGCCCAAGTGAAGTAACATTTCCCCTACGCTGCATTTTTTTTTCAAACAAGAAGGTAAATTGCAAGAAAGTGTAAATTCAAGGGCTCATTTTTTTTTTTGTTAGGCAACACATTATTGAGAACTAGCAAACAATAATGCTAGAAAGAGTATAGGGGATGTTATAAGTAATTGTAATGTAAAACATTACAATTACACATTACAATTACTTATAACATCCCCTATACTTTCTCTAGCATTATTGTTCTCTAGTTTACATTAAGCTAAATTGTGCGAAAGCAATATGGGCACTCTCAACGGGTTTTTGCTGTTGTCATTGCCTTCACGTTGCGCATAAAGTGCAAATTGATTAAATGCACTCGCCCATTGAATACTTTCCACGTGGGTAAATGCGGACGAGCGGGGGAGACGAATGTGCTGAAAAAGAGGTATAACCAGCCAAGCCATTTCCGTCTTTTGGAGGGCGCACCCGCTCGGGATGCTTGCCATAGAAGCAGAGAAGTAACCCACCCATCTTGAACAAGCACAAAAAGAAGGGATGTTGTGATGGAAAGTTTGGGGGGGGGGGGGGGGGTTGTTAGGGCAACAACTGTGAATTTTGCTTCTAAAGGTGTTTGCACGCGTGCTAGCTTGGCAGTCATCAGCATGCGAATTGCATATGTTTCAACGTGCTGCGCCCTCATTGCAGAAAAAACGGGCAAAAAGTCTTGGTTTCCCTGGCTCGGCTGTATCCTCTTACAGCAGCGTTTTGTAGAGTTACGTGAAATAGGACCTAAAAGAGTTAGCCACTGGCCTCACTTCATATAAAATTACAATTTTTATTGCTATCCCATTCATTTCTTACCTCTCGCGATGCACCTGTTACTTCTTTTAGCTATCTATGTGCAGTCCCCTACCCCCCCCCTCATAACCCGAATGCTCAAACATGGACCACTGAGTCAATAAGCGCTATATAATGAAGCAGAGCGGCGAAATTAATGAGAATACTGTGTGCACTCGATGAGCGATCCTGTGCTCTCTCCTTTCTGGGCTGTTCTTCCGGGAACCGGACACCATCCTCCTTTTGAACACAGTTACTGTAATCCTTTTCGCTTTTGTGAATGCTGCCACCAAGTTACAAAAAAATCGCACTAACGTTATACAGTCGAACCTCGATAATTCGAACTCGAAGGGACCCGAAAATTTGTTCGAATCAAAAGAAGTTCAAATAATTGAAAGCTAAATAAACGGAGGGCCCATGCAGTGGCGCATGTGCATTGAGCTAACACACGAGGAGGAAGTTTAAGAAGACTTACATTTATTCACAAATCACAGGACATCCATTAATAATTGAAGTAATCGGTGATACGTGTCTGCACACTTTTGCCTTGCAGCAAGTCAATCAATTTCGCACGCAGCTTGCAAACCATTTTTACTTCGGCTTCAGCATTCTCCTGGCAAGAGAAGTTGTGCTCGAAAATGTCCAGCGCGAACACTTTTTAAGATGAAGGCAACGGCGACTGCTGCGTAGCAGAGCCTCCCGCTCTCCGCTACACAGCCCTCTGCTACGCAGCCCTCTGCTACGCATCCGCAGCATGGCCAGTACGTAACGAGGAGGAGCGCCTCCATGCGGAGAAAACCATCACTCCATGGAGCCTTTTTTTCTTTGCTCTCTTCGCACGTGTTGTTAAAGTAGAAGGGTTACGTGGCAGAGAAGAGAAAAGAGAAAGTGTGGCACTAGCACATAAGAGACCCCCCCCGCCCCTCAAGGCACAGAGCCCTGCTCCTGCAAGGGGCAAGGGTTGCAGAAGATAGTGCATTTTTCCTTTCCTTCAACCACACACATTCAACATAGCACCGGCTTTCTTTTTTCTCTCTCTCTCTCTCTCTCGTCGCACGCGGCGTTGGAAGGAGGAGGGTCTTTACGTGGCAGGGACGGAAAAGGGAGAAGCGTGACACAGGCGCGTCGCAGATCGGCAATTGAGAGAGAGCGAACATTGCATCACAGCCTTTTCTTTCCTTTTCATTTCCTTCGCGGGCAGCGTTGAGGTGTCGCAGGTGTCGCGGTGGGATTGGGCAGAGTGCCGAGAGCATTTTCGCCCATTGGAATACACAGCTTTGACGGGACCTCATCTTGAGTTCGAATTAACCGGAAGTTTGAATTAAGCGTGCTCGAAATGAGATTTCACTGTACGAAGTAATGCTGGCAGCTATTGCTCTTGGATCCAATATAGCGTAACTCTACAAAACCCTCGTGTAAAAGAATACTGGTGGGCCAGAGAAACAGGCTCTTTTCGCACAGTCTCTTCATGATGAGAGGAGCCATACGTGCTGACACCTGCAGAGCTAGCGCATGCGCCAGCAATCACTACTGAGCCATTATGATCAAAGTTAATAGCTACTGCTCGAGTGATCACTACATTGACGAAATTGAAACAACAATTTTGATAAAACTGAGAACACATGTTTCAGTTGCGTTTTCGGGCACAGGGCTTGATGGCCGTGGCGCCTTGTGGCTAAATTCCGCTGCTAGGGCGTAGTACTGTGCTGATAGAAGAGTTAGGCGCAACATAGGTGGTTCGGCGCAGGATGGCAGAGGTAAACAGATTTAGCACACAATGGCGCAGCTGTTCCACCCCAGCTTTTTATTGTAGTTTTGAAACCTAATGTATACCCCCTCCCTATACAATGCCTTAATGAGTAATAAATGAAATTAATTAGCAAAGAAGTGAAGAATGACTAAAAAGCTATTAAGAAACAAGGTTAGAAACAAGTGCGTTTTCAATGTTTAGGTGTATTACCGAAGGCGGCCTGAAAGTGTGCGAGTGTGCAGATCTATAATTCATCAAGAAAATTGCCTGAATGGCGAACATACCCCAGCATGCTTTGCAGAACTGAGAAGTATACGAGTACCTATGTAAATTTAATGAGTGAGAGAGGGAAAAAATAAAGAAGCAATTTCACCAGAGTAGTGAATAAACTTCCTGTGCTTCTTCTAAAAAAAGACATCTTGAGAGCAGGGTAAAGACAAACTTCAGCAATTCTTTGACCATGTCAGGGTAATTGTGCTTTTATGTTGCTGAGCCACTTTTGTCAAGTGCCCGATAATTAAAATGCTCAACAAATTTATAAATTCAAATTCATAAATAATTTTGACATTGATATACATACAGCTATCTAAATGAATGGCAGGAAGGGGAAGATGTAGGCTTGTAATGAGAAATTTGTTAACAGGAGGTGTGTGCTGAAGCCAGCGCACATCCCCTGTTTACAAATTTCTTATCTACAGTCGAACTCCGCTACAACAAACACCGCTTCAACGAAAAATTTACGATTCCCTGTCAGCAGTCCATAGGAGTCAATGTATAAATATTGTCGCCACAACAAACACTTTCTTTGCTTGTCCCACTTCAAAATTTTATGATGCAGTTCCAGGCTCAGATATTTCTATGCAGTAAATCCAATCTTTAACATTTCGATGCATTTTCAGAGCCTGACGGGTACAAGAACCTGAAAATGCATCAGAGCCTGAAAATGCATCAACGAAGTCTAAAACATACGTTGTCACCACCAGAAACCACCGCTATACTACAGCTGTTCAGCAAGCATGGGCGCCGCCATTGCTCGATAGCGATGGCAATGAGACTGCCCAGCTTTTGCCACTGGCTTGCTTTGAGCCGCAGATGATCCGAAGCTGAAGCTCAGTCGCTCAGTTCATGGTTTCCATCCCGCAGCTGCTGGGTGCAACTGCAGAACGATGCCTTTTCCGATTCCAGTGCTAATCATTATGTTAGCACTTGGCCAGTGTTGTAATTAATTAGAGCGGCTGTTTGTCCGCATTATCAACAAAATCAGCTAACCGCGAGCGATGGATGATAAGAACGGCATAGAATAATGCAAAAGTCGCCGCTCCACGTCACCATGCCTCCATCTCGGCATTGTCGGATTCTTTTGACGGCGCACAGCTACTGGTGTTAATGTGTTAATGCAACTGTTTGGTTCATTCACGAAGGCAGTTTTAGGCATTGTTTCAGCATGCTTTTCACCATGGCGTCGCTATGCATGGGTGAGAACCACATCGTGACGCTGCTGGGAAAGAATAGAAAGCAGCGGACATTTTTTGAATTTTGAGAATAAACATTTCTTTGTTTTCCTAGCTCAGATCAGCTATATTTTTTTTTTTTCGATTTCACTACAACAAAATTTTTCCCGCACCCCGTCAGTTTCGTTGTAGCGGGGTTCGACTGTACAGACATCCAGTAATAGAAAGGGGTAGGGGCAAATATTCCTGCCAAACTACAACATACATTTCATTAAGTGAAATTTCTCCTACCTAGAAAGTATTCATAGGCGAGAAGTGATTCCATCACATTCATTAGGCACTGCCACATTAGTTTCTGCATGATGCACAGGTATTTCAATTGCCTAAGTAAATATGTCAAACAGAAATAGCATGCCAGGTATGCTATTTATATATGACATTATTCCGTGCCTACATGTGGAACAAGACCTGCTCGTGCATATCGGTCAACTTGGAAACGGAGTGAAAATTCCCTATACAATATTGCAATAAAGGAGGGAAAGGTGGAACAACACACAAAAAAAGTTCAGCATGAGCACGAACAGCTGATACCTATACGCAACATACGGTTCTTTTATCACAGCGAGTTTGTTGATTTTGCTTATTTTATAAATATGTATGATTGAACTTATTCCAGGAAAGAACTGCTTCAAAGTGAAGCACATGAAGCAAAATTTGCTGCATTGCTCTTTAACGAAATGTGTCATTTTCTATCTCTCCAAGGTATATTGGGAATGATGCGAACTTCTTTCAGCTCACTATTACTGGGTTTAACAGTTTAGATTCCAAGCACTGATCTGCATTAGAGGTGACTGTGCAGTTGAGTGCTTGAAAGAAGACTAAAGAATACTTATCTACAAAACTAATTGAAACAGCATGCTTGATATCATGAAGCATTCAAGCATAGCTGTTCAAGCACTCACCCTCAGTGGCCAACCTTGATGACAGTGACCTCTTCACTCGAGCACTGGATTTCGAATCTGCATGCAGTTAGGAAAGAAGCAGAACACTCCATGCAGACATGCACACTAAGACTAAGGCAAACCAGTATGCCATCCCAGGATCTACTCCAGGGAAGGTAGCAAGTGCAGGCACACACAGTAATCATCCACAATGTACAATGGATACAAGGATTTGTTTAACCTTTTCGGCCCAGCCATATGCCCCCCATGGACTCTTGGTACCAAGACTTCTAGACTCCTGTCCACATTCCAGTAAAAATTCAGAATGGTGCTAGCTTTTCCTGATGAGCAACAAAGCACCACTAAAATGATTACTAACCTTGTAGTGCTCCCACTAAATTCGAAACAGCAACTCTACACTCGGTAACTCAAGGGCCGAAAGAGTTAAGCAGGAAAACAAGATCCTAATGGCATGGACAGGGACGGGAGTGCTTTTTGAACATGCTGCTGGGATACTATGTAACAATGGTTTTGCACAACACACCCATTGTTTTGTACGTGGTCATGCAAACGCTGCTGTGCAGCGATGCTGTTAGTGGCCTCTCTAGTCAATCTGGAAGAGATGCTGAAAGCGCAAAAAAAAAAAAAGCCAAACATTGGTAAGTTGCACCACACAAAAACTAACCGTCTGTGATGATAATCTGTGGTTCTGTCATGTTTGGTTGAAGGTAGCGCACCGCCGTTACAACAGCTGTCTTCACTATTTTGAAAAAGGGAAGGTGCAAGCAGAATGCAGGCATAAGCGGACATAATATGCCTCAATCATACTACTATGTCATGGCAGCTAATGTAGCGACCTAAACTCCATCTGCTTACATACCTATGTAAAAAGAAAGACTGCGATTGTAATAGTTGTGATCAATGTACTAAGCATTTATACTCGGAACATTATCATCAAGTGACTGTAGCCAGTCTTATGACACCGCGAATGCATGCATCAAAGCTTCACATGAGGCATAAGGTGCCACAGTCCCCTCTGCCACACTCATATGTATTCGGCCAAAATGCTTTGTGCCTTTTTACATCTTTTTTTAGCTTCAATTTACTGCTGAATCAGCCGCGCACCTTCAGAGCACGTACATGTTATCGATCACATTGATCTTAAACACTGTTTCATGCATGGGAGTTGCAGCAAACAGTACGGTTTCCAATTTATGTTCAGTGGCCTCGCATGTGCCTTCTAAACTACGTTGCTCATTGCTATTTCGCAGTGTTTCTAGAAAGCAGTGTTTGCTTTGACTCGGTGAGTATGTTGGAAGCGTGCACACTATCAGAGTTCCATCGTATCCTTACATGACCGGATCAACAGCAACTGTGGTTTTGTGTGCTGTAGTTGTGGCAAACGATAGCTCTGTTTTCAATCTGTGAGCACAAGCCTCACATGTACCTTCAAAACTATGTCGTTGCTAGCTATGATCGTGCCTTAAGCAGTTTTGTCAGCTGCAGCAAGCAGCATTGCTTAGAATCTATGAACGTTGTATGAACATGTATTTCTGAATTTTTGTCCTTGCTACATATGACAGCACTGATAGCGACCGCGGTTTCATCCACAGTGGTTGTGGCAAATAAAAAGCTCAACTCTGACTGTGGGTGCACCAGTCGCGTGCATACTTCTGAAGCATCTAGTCAATGCTGTTGCTCGAATGGTTTCAGTACTCAAGTTCATAATACCCATTGTGACACAGAAAAGCGTTTGAAACATCCAAATTATGGCCCAATAGACGCGATGGAATCGGCCTGGGAATTATACAATTTTGTATCAGTTGGGTTTAAATCACCGAGATTCTAATTTATTTAAAATGTTTAAAGCTGCACGTTTTACTATGTAGCATCTGTACATTTAAAATTCCCATGTACAACATGAAATGTGACTCCCACATGTAGTGTAAAGAATCGACAACAAGGCAAGATGGTTGAAACAAAGGGTTTAAAATTAATTAAGTACACCTCAAAAGAAGACAAAAAAGGAGACAATAATTCAAAGTGCTTACTCTGAATCAAAGCATTGATACAAAAAAGGAAGAATATTAATACAGAAAATGAGTCGACACAAGTGTGTCAAGAAAAGCTGAAGCATGTAACGCCAAAACATCGAAAACGTGAACTATGAAAACAAATGGTCAAGAAAAAAAATCCTTGAGCTGTAGCAAAGCTGGGTAATGAACTGGTCTCCACTTTTTTTCTTTTTTTTTAAATGGTAGGCTTCCTTCATTTCACAGGTTAGCTGCTTGTTACTTCTAAAGATTATTTCTGCGACAGCAGTCGCATTACTTATATTAAACTGCCAGATGTGATGTCTTCGGTGATACAACTGATGTCCGATGTACTCGTAGATGCACGTTGATGCAGCATCCCGACTGGTAAACATATGCTCTTCCGCACTGAAAACAGTATCATGTCCACCATGCCCACCACACAATCTACATACTACATTCTGGCGAGAGAAACACTACATTGAGGTGGTTTCCTGTCAATGTGTGAAGAAACTGTTCGATGCTTGTTTCTTTCAGAAAAAGAAGAACAAGAGCCTACAGGACGGTCAACGCTGCTGCTGTCCCTGTTGGTTTCGATTTTTTTCAGCAATGTTGGTACACACAGATTTTATGATGTATTGGGGATACTCTGGTCATTCCAGCTTGTTTGTCTCTCAAAGCTCATATTTATGCTGTGTTCATAAGACTTCTGTAAAGCAAAACCCAAAATAGTCCTTAATGGTTAATGACTGTGCTTGCAAAAAGGACTACCATAAAAACTACTTTGGGCTTAGCTTTGCACAAGTTTTGAAACACAGAAAATAAATGAGTATATAATAAAATTTCTGTGTGCTAACACTGTTAAAAATAAAAAAAAAATAAACAAGCACACATATTGCCCATTGCAAAGGGAAAAAAAAGGCTGTTGTTTCTGATCTCCATAAAACTGCATGAATAAAGCACATAGACAGTAGGTTTAATGTAGACATTCCCCTGCCCCCAAAGAAACAGACAATTTGCTCATGCATTGCCAGAAAATCACCACAATGTATGTTAATCACATAATTATTGTTGGAGTTTAACATCCCAAACCCCCAATACGACAATGAGAGACGCCACAGCGAAGCACTCCTGAAATTTCGGCCACCTGGGGTTCTATAACATGCACCTAAATCTAAGTACACAGGCCCTAGCATTTTCACCTTCATCGAAAACGCAGCCACCCGGTCGGCATTCGATCCCACCACCTGCTTGATTAGCTATCAAGCGCTTTAACCACAACACCATAATGACGAATGTAGTGTGAACCCCAAAAGAAAATATATAGATTGTGCAATTGGTGTGATATATACATTCTTCAGTTTCTGTTGCGGAAGAGTATACATTGGTCAATCGCAAGGCTGCTTCAACGTGTGCCTACGAGAACATCAGGCATCAGAGAAGTCATCAGATATGGGGCTGCTATATTGTCTTGTGTGAAATTGAAATGACCTTTAGAAGTAACAACCAACTAATTCGTGAAATGATGGAGATTTACCACATGAGAACCAGTGCATTAGCCCTTTGGTTTTGCTGCATGACAAGAATTTTTTTTTTATAAACAGTTAAACTCCTTTATAAAAGACATGCACTGGGGAGCAATTCTTGTCTTTTACATGAGGTGTCTCCGAGTACCAAATATGCATTTTCTTATGAGCCTCTATTTCAGTGTATGCACACTGCTGTCTTTTATGACCATTTGTCTGTTACATCAGCATTACTTAGACAAAGTTTCAACTTCATAGTTCCATCTATGTTTCGCTGTTGCTTGCTTATGTGTTTCTCTTGACATGCATGTATTTGCCTATTTTCAGTATTCATCTACTTTGTTTTTGAATAAATGTTTCAGTTGCAAGTAAGCACTTTGTACTGTTGTCTCCCTTTCTGCCTTTGAAGTGCCCTTAATTCCTTTTACACCATGGCACATTAACATGATTGTAACAGCACCCACACCTTTTTTGCCACAATGGAGCAAACATTAGCAAGAGGCCCATTTTTTCCATCAAGATGCATCTACAACTCTCACTGGCCCAACCTCGACACACCCACCTTCTTCGTCAGATGCTGGTGATGTTGGTGACTGAGCAGGTGACTGCAGCGGACTCGACGTCCGCTGAGGGCCCTGGCTAGGGACAGCAACTGGTTCAACAAGCAATGGCTTTAAGCTGTCTGGCACATCATCATCAACTGCAAAGAAGCATAACAGGCTGCACATTGGCAGGCTGCTTTCGTGACGCCACATTTTGCAGAGCTGGAATGAATAACAAGACTACAGCAACAAGTGGTTGCACAACGAATTTGTCATAAAGCGCCCAAAGCCCTTAAGAGCAGTAACTTTGTCTTATTTAGAACCTCAAGACCACCTGCCCGGCAAATTCCAGGAACATTCAGAACATTGATGCAATAACTTTGCTCTGTTGTTTGAACTGCTCTGTGCTGCTAGTGGCTGCCAGGTAAGACACACCAATGTTATTACAGTCATCTTTATTTTGAACTTAAGTTACATGAACAATACTCATAGATTCAAGTGAGACATCAACTTCTGTAGTGTAACAAGTGGTACTCGCAACTTCTAAAGATGCGTCATATCACGATGCATTTGATCTCATGTTGGCTCTGATTTATGCCTTCAAGTGCAAATGCCTAACCTAACCTAACCTAACCTAACTGAAGACCATGGAAATTACACCACTTAGCCCTAAATTGCCCTGTTTCAATCCATGAGTATTGTATCCATAATTTCTCCTGATGCATTTTATATACACATGAAATGATACATGTTTATTTGAGTAATCCTGCCAAGCATGGCATGCTTATACATTAATACAAATAATTTAGACACCAACGACAGTGACCTAGCACTTTTGTCTGTGAAATTGTGTCGCAGTATGCTTGAAACCACAAATTTATAAGAGATTTGAGGTCAAGTACACTGATACGATGGTATTGTCATCAGCACTGACTTGAGAGAGGCAGGTGCTCTGTTAACAATGTCCATTTCACTCATTATCTAGGTAGCTGCAGTTGCCGCAAGCCTACACAAATGCATATATAGAATAAAAAATGTTGTGAGGAAGGAAACCTGGTATGCTTACAAGCTACACCATCATTGGCTTCCCGGAAAACTGTAGGAAAGGAGAGTTGTTTTACAGGTCATTTAAAAAAATCTATCTACAAACAGGAATTGCGATGTAGCTTGCTCCCTTCGGCACTACTTTTTCTGTGGTGGTAAACATCCTTAGATGACTAGAAACATCAGTTACAGCAGCAATTAGAGAAATTAAGATAATGAACCCTTTAATTAGAGAAGGTAGGCAGTCAGGTCAAATGGAAGAATATAAGTCCTTTCTGCAAAAATTACGTAGGTGCTTCGAGATTCCCAAAAAGCTGCCGCTGATAATTTTTGCAGATTGATAAAACTTTACCCGCTTCCCCGGCGAAACAATAACGCCAAAGAGTGCAACTTTCACACTCTTCCAAGACATCTAAAATGAGTGAGTAGTTATATCAACCATTAACCTACTTTGTTTCTTGGGTTTGCTGGCTGCACTTACCATGATAACACGCATGGCACATGTAAGTTAAAGGAACTGATAAGGCCATGAATTATAGTGACAGATTCAAGCATCCTTTTCTTGATATGAGAAGAATTATATTATTAAATTGACTTTAAGAGTAATAAAAAAAGTGGCAAGATGTGCAGCCTAGCAGAAGGTCCTTGATGCTGCACTAAGGAATTGTTCTGTATCCTGCATGTACAGTAGACTCCTGTTAAAACCTTAAGAGACTAGGAAAATGTTTTGTTCAACAAGAGTTTCATTTACTGAGAGATGAACACGGGTACAGAAGTCAAGTACAAAACCAATCATATTAGAGGCAGTTTTTCTAGTCAAGCAGCAATTTTGTTTAAGAAAGTTTTCTTTAATTGGAAATCTACTGTAGTTTGATGCTTTTATGTGCACAATAATTAGCATTCAAAATTAGAGCATGTATATTGTTACTCATCCCTACCCTATTCTTTGCTACTTATGAGGTAAAACTGATGAGCGGCCCTGCCTTTGCGGCAACTAATGGAACCCGCCGAGCTGCCGCACATGTGCGTGGAGTGCAAGCAAGCACAGCAAACCGCAGTGCACAAACTGCTGTTACGCTCATTCCCAACTGTTTGCAACATATGTTGTGCATACACATGTAGCTGCAGAGCATTGCACAGCGTTGTACAATATACTGCAGCAAGAGGGTGGGAAAGGAAAGTGAGGGTCGAGAGGAGGGCGAATGAGCACAGAGAGCGAGAGAGGAAGAAAAGAGAAATAGAAAGAAAGAAAAAAAGATGAGAGAACGACTACAGAGAGCAAGTAAGACATAAAAAGAAAGAAAAGGAAGAAAGGAAAGAAAGATGCAGAAATATATATAGAGTGAAAGGATAGAAACGCACGCACGCACACACACACACAAAAGGTGAGAAATCAAGAGAGTAAGCATAGCTGCCTATTGTTTAGTATAGCAAGAGATGGGAAAGACAGAGGTGAGACTGTAAAAACCCAGCCAAGCCAGAACCAGCTAAGTGCCTACCAGCTCGGCTGTGACACAGCCTTGTGAGACTGTGCAAGTTTCACAAATTTTCTATCCCCCCCCCCCCCCCCCCCATTAACGCTATAATAGGAGTCTGTCCGATTTTCAAGGAATGTCTTTAAAACACGGTTAGAAAGTGAATTGCATTCTATGATGTACCTTAACGTGCAGTAATTTTGACATTAAGCTTCGAGCTCAACAGTACAACGAAGTACGTACTGTTGTTACGGAGCAACTATGATCCTGGCTATTACATTTATGGCAAGCGTAAACAGCAACTTGCCACACTTTCCAGCTACACTTTGCCCAAACCCCCTAATGTATCTACAACACCATGGAATATCTCATTTTTGAGCCACAAGCTTTCCACAAAATCTGCATGCACACATACAAATAAACCACTCACTTGATTCTCCACGTTGCTTTCTTTCCACAAGTCGCTTGTAATCTTCAAGCTCAGAGTCTGTTATGTTGTCAAAGGGGTTCTTACTGTAGGCAGTTTTGTAGACCATAGCATTGTGTTGATAGTCACGCTGGATTATCCCCTTGGATGCAGCCCCCACAAGCACAACTTGGTCGCCTGTTGCACTTGCCACGGCATCCTATAGGAGAGTCAATGCTCAAAAGTTATTTGCTTGCATTCAGATATTTCTCACTTGCCCCTTGGCAGGTGTTTAAGGGGGGACACGGGTCTTTGGGACCAAAAAATCGCGAAAAAAATAGAGTTTTGGAAAATGGCATTTTCGAAATCTAGAGGTCTTATTACACGGCTACACAAAGTTTCTCAGCTCTTGCATTAATATTTTAGCTGTAGCATAACTCTAAACAATACTGGCAGAATTGCAGCCGAAGTTATTGCTAAAAAGGTCCTTTTTTCGCAAAACGCAGCGGCCGTTTCACGAGTTGTAGCGTGGCTATCTTGGTCTCGTTTGAAAGAGCTATTTTTCTTTATTTTCCCGCCAACTCCTATTCTAGGCTGTCATTGGCTTTCTCAAAAAAGCGCGCAAAAAAAAGAGTCCCAGCGCAAGCTCATTCGTTGCCTAGCGCACGTGACCTCAGTTCGGCATACGATTGGCAGAATTCCTTTCTTGTCAGCACAGCGCTCATCCGCGCTGTTGGCCATGCGCGATGTTATCAGTGTGTGTGACCAACGCCTGTGTGGTTGGAGTGAAGAACGATGGCTCGGAAGAAGCCGCACACGAAAAAAGCATTTGGGGCGAAGAAAGTGAGACGCCACTTATTGAGAACATCAGGAAGAGGAGTGTAACGCAGCCGAACCTCGAAAGCATCGCGGCTGCCGCCGATACCGACCTAGGCCTAACAAGCCCGTCGTCGTGCGGAGGGGCCGATGGTCGCGTGCGTTGCGATACGAAGTTTCTGCAGCCCGCAGAATTGGAAGAGGGCAGAAAAAGAGCCCAAGATAAACTGCTGCAGCTGTCATCCACCCCCGCAACGGAAAGGAAACGAGATCAGCTGACAGACAACGCCGATGGCGCATGTGAAACGCCTGACACGAGTGTGTTTACAATTGTAAGCTTAGATTTGGTGAACACTCTGCTTGTGCATGCGAAATGTAAATTATGCGGTGCTGGTGACCTAAATATCCTCAGAGACAATCGTGAATACGGACTCGCGGTCAAGCTGCATCTCGTGTGCACGAACAGCAGTGACGTGACGTGGACTTGGAGCTCGCCACGCGTCCGTGGTGAACCGAAAACAAACCCATTCTGTGTGAATGTTCTCACAGCTCGCGCCATACAAGCTACAGGAAACCGACAAACAGCTTTTAATGATATTTTCTCGCTGATGAAGATTAGCCGTCGCCGCCTCCACACAAAGACGTGGCAAAGCTACCTCAAAGGTAAGCTGGTTCCCGCAGCGGATCATGCGGCCAAAAATGTGACAAGCGAGTGCGCGCACTCGGTTCGCGAGCTCTATCAAGATTTGTGCCTCAGCAACCCCGGAAACATCACGGTGTCGTTCGATGAGTCGTGGATGACTCGCGGACATTCCTTGCACATCGGCATCGGCACCGTGATAGAACTGTTTATGGGGCTTTGTTTGGACTACGTTGTCCTGAGCAGTTTCTGCGCGGGATGCGAGACTGGCCCAAAGGAAGGCGATCCGTCTTTTGAAAGCTGGAAGAAAGGCCACAAGTGTCAAAAGAACACAAACAAAAAGTCAGGAGAAATGGAAGTGGAGGAAGCTCTTATTTTATGGAAGCGGTCCCTCGAGCGGCACGGTCTTCTGTACACTACAGTGCTTAGTGATGGAGACAGCCGTACGTATCTCGCACTTCAAGAGGAGAAACTTTACGGTTACATAGCAGTGGAAAAGGAGGACTGCGTGAACCAGGCACAAAAACGTATGGGCACGGCACTACGCAACCTCGTCTCAAGAAGTAAAGCTTCTTGCCTTCAGGGCCCTGGCGGAAAAGGTCGGCTCACAGCTGACCTAATTACGCGGCTAAGCTCCTATTACGGATGGGCACTAAAAACGCACAAAGGAGATGTGGATGCCATGCACAAGGCAGTGATGGCAACCTACCATCACATAATGTCTACTGACACTGCGTCGAACCATTCCTTCTGCTCAACAGGTCCCAATTCGTGGTGCTGCCAAAATGCCGCATAGGCTAGGGGTGAGCCAGCACCAAAACACCTTCGCAACCTGCCTCCTCATGTTTGTCAGGCTTTGTTGCCTATATACGAACGCCTGAGAAACAGAAAACTGCTTGAGAGGTGCCTGCGAGGGAAGACTCAAAACAGCAATGAGAGCCTCCACTCGGTCATATGGTCGCTTGCACCAAAAGAGCGCCATGCCTCCCTTTTTACCGTAAAAGCAGCTGTGGTGGAGGCAGTGCTAAGGTTTAATGCAGGAAATGTGAGACCAACTGCATCAATACTAAAGGAGCCGAGTCTAAGCCCCAGCACATTGTGCAGCAATCGTATGGCTGAAAAATATCAGCGGCGCCTGGAAGCTTCAACTCGAAAATGTGCATCAGCAGAAAATATGCACAGAGCCCTGAAAAAACGCCACACAGGCAACTATGTGCAGACAGACTATGTGCCAGGGAGCTACTGATCATTTACAACTGGTAACTTGTAAATATTTTATGATATTCTGGAATAAATTGAGCTGTTTAAGTTTTTCGCGATTTTCTCAGAACAAGATTTTTACTCATTTTGCTTGTTTGGTACAGTGATATCTAAATTCCTGGGACAGCTACAGCTGTAATTTTTTTTGCTGAATGCCTAAAGCTTGAACTGCTGCAAGCAGATTATTTGTTTTCTCTCTCTATAATTTTTTATTTGCTTTGGTTCAAGTTCATTAGTGGCTGTGACATAAACATCTAAGATTTGATGAGCTCCTAAATTGCCAATTGTTTGCAGCAGTGCAATTGTTTGCAGCAGTGCAATTGTTTGCAGCTTGCAGCAGTGCAACCCTTATGTATTCTACTTTGCATTCATGCACTAAATTTAACTTTCTCCTCAGTAGATTTTCATCTATTGTATCACCAATTATTAGTAATTAATATCTAATTATTTCGGTAACTAACTGAGTCACAGAAAAAATAACTACATTTTTGAAATCAGCACAACAAAATGCATATACCTGTGCTTTTAAATTGAATTTGGTTCATAAATAAAAAAAAATAGCTCCAGGTACCATGTCCCCCCTTAAGGGGGGGCGCGGGTCTTAGAAAAGTAAAAAATGGCCAAAAAATCGATTTTGAGAAAAACGCAATTTTCGAATCTTTGAACCTATAAGCACCTCTCCTCAAATTATTAACGCTAAATTCGATAAAAAAATAGGTTAAATTCTATTTTCAAACCATCATGGGAGTCGCAAAACAACCCGCAAAACAGAAAATTTGTTCGAACTTCCCGCGCGCGCCGCCAGCGAAGCAGCCGGCGGATCGGCGCCATCATGGGCTTGTTTTGAAGCTGGTTCTTTTGTGCGCGTTTTGCGGGCTCTCAAAATGGCGTAGCTCCAACACAACGACTGCCCTCCCCCGTTTTGCGAAGCCGTCTGCCGGACCGCTGATTGGCTAGAGCGCGCGTGCGCCGGCGAGCCCCCCCCCCCGTCTCGCGCTTACCATTGGCTGGCGCGGCCACGGTTGCTCGCTCTTTTTTTTTGTTTGTTTGGTTTTGCTCCGTCGGCGCCTGCTCTCGTGCGTGTTATCTCGTCTGCTACCCGCTCGTGTACCCACGTCGCCGACGTATACGTCTTTCTGCATTTCGCCGGCATGGCTTGGGAAGCTCGCCTGAAGAAGAACACTCGTCAAGCTTTCGGCAGGAAACGAAAGCGAGCGTGGAATGCGCGGCAGAAGGGAGCGGCCTGCGCGCCGCTGAGAACGCCGGAGATGGCCGAGGCAGCGCATTCTGACGACAACGGGCTGTCGGAAATGCCTGTTATTGCGGAGGCAGCACATTCAGACGACGACTCGCTGGCGCAAGTGCCTGTTATTGCCCAGGCAGCACATTCAGACGACGATTCGCTGGCGCGAATGCCTGCGGAAGCGGTGCACTCTATTCGGCTCAGCTGCAGCACTTCGTCGGATCATCACGTCAGCGGATCGTCATCCGGCACTACTGGAACCATTCAAGGTCGTGTCGACACGACGTTTTACTCTGCGGACGAGTTTGCCGAGTGCTCCATACGTGCGGGAATTTAAAAGAGTCCCTGACATCGCAGTGCGCGACAGCACGAAAGTTTGAGCTGCTGGACGTTCGGCTGGAGGGCGACGACAAAGAAAACGGCACGCAATTTGCCATTGTTGAGATAGAAGCATTTTTATATGTTTTTATATATGTGTATATGTTTATATATAATGTTTTTATATATAACATGTGTCTTCCTTTGGTTTTCAGTGCACTAGAACAGCCACAAAGTTGTACACTGGGTTCCTTATACTGATTCAACGGCCAGTAGACAGTTTTTAAATGAGCTGTGGCAAATATTTTGGGAAGGCGCATTGACACATTTGGTACAGCCATACTCACATAATGTAGAGCTATACAACGGTGCCATTTTTATTGCTCTAGCTTCACTTTAGCAAAAGTTACAGTTATTAGAAACTTTAAATGCGTTTTTCTCAGTTCGATGTTTTTGTGCACCACACTAAACCTTAGGGGTTTTTCTTATATGTTACTGTTGATTGAGAATGACAAACTTGGTATCATTTTATTTGTAATAACATTACCTATGGGGTGATGCTATTTTGATTACTCTAGAAGCATACTGTTAATTACAATTATGGATAGTAATGAGCGAAAATTGAACAGAATATGCATTGTTAGTGCTGGTCTGTTTTCTTATTCATATAATGCCTAAAAATTAATAAAAATAGCATCACCCCATACAGAAAGCCCTCAGCATTGGGGCTATGCATTTATTTTTTGGATCTGGCTTGATTAAGTTGCCGAAAAGCACCCAATGAAATGCATAATTAATTAAATTACGGATGTTAATATCTTTTTATCCACTGAAGCTATTTCAGAAACAATTACATATTTGAAATCAGCATGAAAAACTGTCCAAGATGGTGAGGTTTGGTCAAGATTGAGCCAAAAACAGAAAAAAAATTTTAAAGACCCATGTCCCCCCTTAAAAAAAAAGGGAAAAGGTAGCTCAAGCCTTTCACACTTTGTACACATTTGCATACACAACTTGTTTTTGCTAGTTGTGTTGACTAGTCTCTAAGAAAAAGGAAGATACATTCAACTTTGATCGACTTTAACCTCCTGCGTAATCAATTGGCATCTTCGGTTGGTGGCACTAGTGGAGTTTTCTATTCACTCGTGCAGTCCCGTACGTTCATCTGAGCACCACGCGAGCGGTGCTGCATGTCTGAATGGGTCTGCCAAGACACGTGTGCATGCCATCATGACACTGTGGAGATCCGACAGTGGAGCGCAGTGCGCTATATATGTATGTATGTATGTATATATATATATATATATATATATATATATAACAAGATTATATATATATAAATAACAAGATTAACAACAAAATACAGCCGCCACCTCACTTCCATAACAGAAGTTCTTGTATGCGCGGAGAACAAGCGAAGCGAGAATCGGGGGCGCTACCATGTTGCGGAAATTGTCGCAATCTTTTCTGGGCGGCAAGCGATGTTTCTTGGTTTTCCCGAAACCTGCGACACGACAGCAACGAATGACCCTTTGCAACAACAAATCCTGTCATCGTCACCTTGAAAATTGTGTACACTTGGTTGGGCCTTAAAATTTCGTATTTGCAGGATGCGACCGTCTGTTGGCGCGGGCAGCAATCATATGCCCACTAAGCCCTGAAAAAGTGCTTTAAGGCATATTTCTACTCACCTGCATTTTCTTAACTTCTTCCCAAGTAACTCCGTCAAGGAGGTTTGATTGTGGCCCTGCATTTATTTTCGAATTGAGGCGGTTTTCCTTCAGCTGTGGGAAAAAAAAATCGGGCCACATGATATGATACTGCACCAGTTTACACTTTCTAAAACTATCATTGTCAGGATCATCCTTCTCAGTGCATGCCAGCTAGCTATATTTCAAAAAAAAAAAAAAAAAAAAAAAGAAAGAAAATTAATCCCTCCACATATTTGTTGTCACGGTCATTTTCATTCCGACATAGCAAGTACATTGACAGCACAGGCAGCAGAAACACTGAGCGAACTGTCATTTGCTATAATTTTGGCTTCACATTAGATACTTCCTCAAGCAAAAGGTCAAGCAGTGGCGAAAGTAACCCTTTGGAACAGCAAAATATTGTTTTTGTTTTTTATTTCGGAAGTCCCTTGCAAAATTGCATATCAGGACTTGTGCAGCTGCTACCTAGCTGTGAAAGTTTAGTGCAAAGGGCGAATGCCCCTTGAGTGATGCCAGAATATACTAGTAAAAGCTTTTGAGAGAGAGAGAGAGAGAGAAATACGGTGGACAACTGTTTGCAATAAAGTATTGAAGGCTTCACTTTGGTACAAATATCAAAGAGTATCAGAAGTTTACCTTAGGGGCGCAGATTCCACATGCAACTAAACTAAAGGTACCAAGCTTCTGATTATCCCAGAATTCTGCTTGATGACTTCATATCAAGTACACCACTTAACCTTTATCGCTTAAAAACACAAACATTCTGACCATTTAAATGCACCTGTAGAGCATCCTTGTCCCCACAAGAGTAAACGAATAAAAAGAGTTGTCAGCCATTACACTCTAAGAAGGTGGATGACCAGCGAAGCTGTTTAGCACACAACACAGAGGTGATACAGAATTTTGAACCATAAATGCTCATGCCTTTCGCAACTAAATCCAAAATGTTGGTCCAAAGAGTCTTATTTGAATTTAGCATACACTCTTTAAAGTTTTTCATTTAAGCATCAGGGTATGTGCATCTTTTTATCACATCTTTTTACCTCATTTTTTTACTGCATCAACCTTGTTTGGCTTGGCATATGTATTTGGTGTTACATACATGATCTAAATTGGAATTTCCTGCCCTTCTTATGGATATGCTTCCTCTATTGTGACTGTCATACAAAGTGAAGATTTGCTTATATGGCTAAATTCATAGCACGCAAATCGCCAAATTATAAAATTTAAATGCAATGTGACCCCATTAAACACGTCAAACCAACAGATGGGTATAGTGAGAGGCCTTTAACTACAAGTTACTTGGGTGTATCTATCGTACTGGCTGGTGAAAGCTAGATACGTTCTGGCTAGAGCTTCTTTCATCGACTTTCAGTACCAATTCTGTGCAGAAAACTAATTATTGCTCATGCATACTTCAATCCTGACGACATGCTAACTCAACTGTAAAAGTTGCGAGGACTCCTGAAACTCTTACCACATTGTAACACTCCAGAATGCACCCATGGTGTCCACTTGCCTTCTATACTTCCACAGCGCATATTGCGCAGCTTGAGACTTCAGCAGACATGAATATGTGCATTTAGTTCCACTTATGATGACCTTTCATTATTTTTTTCAATGTCTCACTAACGTCTCATGAAGAAGCATCACTATACCTGTACCCAATAATACACAAGCATGCAGTACCTAGCGGCACAAGTTTTAGCAGCGCCAGAACCAAGACATTAGTGCTGAAACTTGCAAGTAAGCATTAGTACCTGAACATTCTTCCTCCGATGTGCAACTGATTGTAACAAGCTAAAAGCAAAGTTACTTTTCCAAGCAGATTACAAAGTTTGATTACAGTGTATGCCACAGGTTGGATAATGCTGAAAGAACTTATGCAACTTTGCACGGTGAGTAAGAATTATAGTGTTGAAGCAACTAGTGTAACCACCCTTGCATATCAATAAATATTCTAGGTTAAGATATTCCAATTCTCCATGGCAAGCATGTGGATAAAACTGACAAATCAGGAGCAGATGGCAGAGTTTGCTGCTGTTTATTCAGAAAGCAAGCTTTACAATCAATGAACACATCTGCCACACAGAAAAATATACTTTTTTTATGCACATAACGGCTCAGCTCATAGCAAGTAAGAGCTGACCTAGAGGTATCAACTACAACAATAAGCTGAATGCCACTTCAGTTGTGATACATGTTTCTCCACTATCTCTGCATTAACGCACCAATACAATTTTGCAGCAAGAGACAACAAGAGAGCAGCCAAGAAAGCCCAAGCCAAAACACACTTTCCTACATAAAAAAGCCTGCAAGCACAAAATGAACGAGAAACGCTTAAATCGTAGCTTTGCTCCACACAGAATCCTCATGCATAAGCAAACATGCAAAAAAGTCGCATACATTTGATCTATTCATGTATGTCAAGTTCCAATTCCGTTAAAAATAGAAATGAATACAGCGAAACAAACTCTTGCATATTTAACACTAGCTGCAATAAGAATGAAAATGGGCTTAGACACCTGAAATAGCTGCTAAACTTCTGCTGCATCCACTGAGACTAACAAGCACGAGCTTTCAAAGTTTTATGTTTTTTTAGTGTCTCCAAAGGTGCCATGACTGAATAGAACAAGGGGTTAAAAAAAAAAAAAAAAAACTCTCAATGGGAAAGGCATGAACACTCAGCAGGGAAATGCTTCAAAGAAAAAAAAAAAAAAAGCAACTACATGTGTGTACTTTCCAGAATGACTGCAAGATGGCTCTCTCTCTCTCTCTCTCTCCTTAACATAAAATGAAATTTTAGCCAGAATGCCCATCCCAGGCTGTCCCTTAATAATACAAAGAAAAACAAACAAACAAACAAACAAATGAAGACTGACCTCTTTTTGCTTGCGCTTAAACTCAGCAGGGTCAGTGCCTTTGGGAACAAACTGATGGGATGTGTCTATTTTAACGGAGGTCGAGTGGGAGGGGGAACCTTCTTGCACCCACTGCGGGGGAAAACAACAGGCAGTCAGTGCTCATGCACTCAGCATAGGAAAAAAAAGGAGAGCAGTACTAAGATTCCTTACAGAGAAAGCAGGCAGAGGAAAAAAAGACACTTTCCAAGCACGATCACCTTTATGGCAAGGCCAGACAAACAAACAAAAAAAAAAAAAGGAAAAGAAGAAAGACTGCTTGCAATACAATGGTCAATATAATGCATAACAAAAAAGTAACAGCAATCATGCAAGCAGGGCAAAAACACAAGCTTTTCCAGGTTTATTTTCACAGCTGCTCTTTCAGAGCACAAACACTACAGCCAAAAGTGTACCAAGTCAAACTACCCTTAGAACAGTTACTGTAGCTCCTTAAATACTAAACATGAACTAAACTTATATGTTCAGGCATGAGCCCCAAACAACACATGAAGGGTTATTAACTTTTCTTGGCACACAGCTGGGATGTAAATTACACAAACTGCAACCAAATCTTACGAGACTTATTGATGAACTTAACACTGGAGCATACATGAATCAACAAAATAGCTGGCGGTTAAAATATTCTATTATTTATCTTGTGTGGTAGACTACACAAACAGATCCATCCATCCCATAACTGTTCATAAAGCTGAAAAGCTTATAAAATTCGAGATTTAGAGCGAATTCCCTTTGGTAAAGGACTCTGGGAAAGCAAGTGCAAATGCAAAACTAACTAAGACCAACGAAAATAAGCAACAAGAAAAAAAAATGCAGAATACGAGGACAAGCTTTTCAAAACAAAACAAATAAGCATGCCAGTGATGAGAAAAATGAAAGAAGGAAAAATCCTTCAAAGAGGAGCAAGCATAAGTATGCAATTAGGAGAAGCAAGCTTACTGAATCAGCTTCCCCACTCCCTCCAACTTCTACCCACTATAAAACAGAAACAAAAGAAAAAAATTAGTTGAAAATTCCACACAGGATATAAATCACACATGTAATATTTCAAACCATCCTTCATGAAGTGCAGGAAAGTGCAGGTCAGTCAATTATCAAAACAAAAAATTTCAAGAAAGGGAAGGGACAAGTCAAAGCAATGAAACAGTCAATGCACAATTAACCACAATAAAGCATATCATACAGTATATTATAATGGCATGGGAGAAAGAAAAGTATGCTCAGGCAAAGACACTCTTTCAAAGCAACATTTTTGGAATTCAAGTCAAGTGTGATAAAATAAAATAGCAGCCAACCTTGTGTCATGTACTAATGCTCACCTACAAAACTTTAGGGCACATGAAACTTAAGTGCAAATGAAAAATAGATGGCTAGACAGGCTACACAGTACACAACACTAAAATATGCACATAGTTCCACACTTGGAGCAAAGAGTAAATGCACTACAGCAATTAATGAGACGTCTAAGGTTTATAATGTGCAAATGAAAGGCGATTAGGTAACCTTAGCTTAGACTGCTAGAAGTGTAAAGGACCCAAAACTAAGAGCAGACAAAGAGTAAAAGACTGCACTTGAATTTAAAACTTAATGGCTTTCTACACTACATGAATACTTTTGTCGCATACAGTCAGTGTTACACAAATTGCCATTTAGGCCTTTTCACAATGCTTCCTATATTTATAAGCCCTAAGAACATCCCAACATGGATAATAGCAAGTTGATCACAAGCCAGAACTTCAGGCTCAGTGGCTGTAAACAGTGGCCATAAAACAAATGGCAAGCATCACATATGCAGTTATGAGGGAATGTGGATAAGGCAGTTTATCACAAGAACAATCTTAAATAAGTAAAAAAAGAAAAAATAAAGCACCCTTTAACCAAAGCAAATAATGAGGTATTTGAAACAACACTAACAAATTTGCTTTAGCCCCCACTGTTGCTTTTTTTTTTTTTATGAGTTCAACAGTTTATGGCAGTACAAGAAGAAGCAGAAGGGCTTCCCTAACAGTGGCCCATCACAAAACAAGCACTTTCCATTTATCCCCCAGCATGTGCTTACACTACAGACAATTAAATTTTCAAGTGGAACAAAGCCCAAATGATACAGAAATTGCAAAATTTCTCTACTCCGTTATATGACCCTGACCGAGCACCGTATAATTGATATCAGATACATTGAAAAGTATCAATATGATGCAATCTTAAAATTTTCTTCCCTGCACTTAAGCAATATATGCCAGAAATATGAGACATGTTATAATAACTTGCAATGTTTTACACAGAAAAACCATGATACGTATCATAAAGCACGCTCTAATGAGGAACTTCGAATTTATATAGACTACCTGAGGCTCATTAATGTACACCTAAAGCTAAGTCCATGAGTGCTCCTTGCATTTCACTTTCATCAAAATGCGGCTGCCATGGCCAGGAATAAAATCTGTGTCCTCGAGCTTAGCAGTACAACACTATACGTGCTATGCTACCACAGCAGGTCACACAAAGCATGTTAAAAAGCAAACCTGAAAAGGTAGGCCAAAGCTGTGAATGGTAAAAGAAAATCCCACTAACTGCCATAATTAATCCCAGAGCCTATCATAATGCTGAAATACCAAGCAACAAGAAGGTTGGGTAGGGCGACAACTCCTAGAAATCCCCTTCCAGGCTAAAGTTGCCTATAAAAACCCTTTAAAGAGCTCCATCACTGAAGCTTCAAAGCGCTGAAAGGGCAAAGATGATCACTGCAAAAAATGCACCCTTTCCAACTGCTCAAGCAAGAGCTAAATGTTTGCCGAGGACTAAGTGGTTTGCAAATATGGAAATGATCCCATGTGTACTATTTGAGCAAGTGAATATAGATTCTATATAAGATGAAGGAAATTAAATCCTGACACGACACATTTTACACGCACTTGATCTCCAAAGGAATTACTACAAAAAAAGCTGCTCACACTCAAGACGTTACCGTTGCGATTAAAAAAAATCCCTTTTCTACTTTCCTATTACCTATGTTATCCAAAAAGAACTGCATAAAAAGTTACGAAATATTTTTTTACGCCCTTATGTGGCACTGACTGGAGCAAACACTGTAGACTGTAGTAAACGTTTCCCGCAAACGTTTGGATTTGAAGTCTTAGAGCAAAAGCTCTGCTGTGGTAACTGGCAGTGCTAAGTGAAGGTGGAAGCAAATCATACAGACTATTTTTACCAAACCTCGCATCGGGAGCTCTGGTGTTGCCAGCTGCACTAGAGCTTGAAAACACAAGACAGCATCAGCATATAGCTGTCCCAAATATTTGTTATTGCATTTTCTTTTAACATCCTTGCTATGTCCTTTACAAGGTTGGAAAGGTGCTTGAGAAATGTCAAACAAGATTTCATTTTCTACCCGAGATGGAATGAGCGCAAGGACTTGCTGAAAACAAGCCAATAATTAAAAAAAAAAGGACTGGGGGGGGGGGGGGGGAGGGGCCAACAACTGCTCAATGCACAAACAGCACAAGCAAGTCTTACTTTCTTTACCAAGCTGAAACATTCCCATGCAAAGCAACCCTCTCTTTTACCTATGTAAGGATGATAATGTAAGTAGGGAGCAGAGTAAAGCATCAAATTACATATATAAATTTCTAGCACATAAATAACAAAACTTCTAGAGTGAGCTGACAACCACACTTTCAAGCGAGTATATATCCTGGCAAATGTGGTCTGAAAAAAGTACACGCACTGACACTAAAAGATGGAAAAGCAATTATATATATGATGAGTCTATCTTCAAATGGTTACAATAAAAGGATACATGTAAGTTCTGGGTAATACTGTCTATAATCCTCTTGTAGATTTCAAAACATTTTGATTACCACCACACATTCGGATTACTATTTGCCTATGTCAGTTTGAACAGTTGTAAAAGGAAACAGGTTTGTAGGCATCATGTTCATGCTTGTAATGCACTATAAGGTATGAAAAAGGAGAGACAACGCAGAATGTTGTTGTTTTTAGTCTTTCATACTTTTCACCGCATTACAAGCATGAAGACGTACCAACTAGCCCCCATGGCCACCTTACTACCCTACAATGGCTGCCAAAATAGTTTGATAGAGTGCATTTTTCTCGCAGAGACACCTTGCATATAATTACCAAACTTGTGAACACCTCTTACAAATGTGTTTCAAGGTTGTATTCGAATGAATGTGTTCGTTGAGCAAGGTCTGACAGCTCTGCAACGCCCAATAGCAACAAAGTTGCAAGTGGAACTTTCACAGATTTAGAAAAATTGCCAATGAAAGGGAAGTGCCACAAAGAGATGCCACAAAGTGCCAACGTAACCATACAAAGAAGGCTATATGAGCATAAAAATGTACCCTTCCAAACTGAGGCAACAACCAGCTAGAGGAGCCAGAGTATGGGTAAGTTGATTGTGCACAGCTGACACGACACTGCTTGCACACAAAAATGAGGAAAAAAAAAAAAAAACAAACACGACACTGCTTGCACACAAAAATGAGGAAAAAAAAAAAAAAAAACAAACTAGTACACAACATAAGCGTGAACTAAGAACTGTTCATTTGAAGAAAAGAAAAATGACAAAAGTAACATGACGTGCGACAACGACGATTTGAGGTTGGTGCACCATTGATATATTCTACCGATGATTAAGTGTTTTTTATAGAGAAATTTAGATATAAGAGATGGACAGATTTATTGGCATACTGCGGATGGTTATTCTCTTGATGTGCAATATGCACATGTACCATGATACCGATGTCCTTTCTGTTGTTCAGTTATACTAGTGATATATTCATCAAATAAATAGCTGTTCATTCGCACTTGTGTGTAAGCTTTTTTTTGTTTTTTTTTATGTTCAAACAGCGCATCGCAAGTGTTAACAACCAGATTGAAAAGGTTGTTAAATGTAGTTATAGAACTCATTATAGATCTATTCAGAGCAAAGATTTGTGCTTCTTTTTAAGAATTAACAGCAGAGAGGGCATGCTGATGATGGTACGGATCAGATTTGACAAAACAAAAACTTCACAAAATGCTGATAATATTAATAACACATGGGTCACATGCAATTTCTCGTTGACTAAAATATAGAAAACTGATAAGTAAACTAAGGAAGTTGACTCCAGGGGGGTGCCCTATAGCGAAGTAATTGTCAATAGCAGATGACTGTGGCAAAAAAACCCTGGTTCTCATTAATATCATTAGAGCAAGGCTGACAGTCAAGAGTTTCATAAACCATTCGGTTAAACAGCTGACACTTGTGAACATAGTCAATGGGCACTCTCAATTACCCATCTTGAATAACTACGACAAAAGCCATCAATGCCCCGATTCGGTGACAACTTCACCCTGAAAATAGAAAGTGCAGAAGACGAAAAACTACAAGACAAACCTGAAGCCTGACTTCTTCCACAGCAACAAGCCCCTTCTTTTCCCATACAAAAAGAAAATAATTACCAAGCTAATCAGCTTAAGGTGCCCTGGCAAGCACATGACAATACTCTTCCAAAGATATGATGCCACTTAAGCAAATGCATTTTTATGCAAATAAGCTAATCACTGGCCATTATTGCATTACATGCTACAAGTCAATATACTTCATTAGCACTACTAAGAGAGAAGCTGGTTTGCAATTTCCATTTAACTACACTTGCCACACTGATGTCTGCAATAATAGAGTAGACTTATGGCGACTTGAGCTCCAATATTTCAAAGTTCAAAATTTTGGTCGGCGCAGTATGTTTTCAATGTATTTTAAAGCCACCGAGTTCAAACCACTCCACTGCACTAATTTGATCAATTCACACCGTTTGCTTCTCCCCAATGCAAAATATATGCACTAAAAATGCTGCATTGATCAAAAAAGCGAAAAGAACAGAAACAGTCCGGCATTCTACCTATCGTGTGCAGAACGCTTAAGTCAGTTTTGCTGCCACACAGAGTTGTCAAATGGAAAAGCATACCAATATTGGATAGGGGCTACTAGGTGTCGTGGGACACATTTTGCCACCTAATTACACACGCTTTTCTACAAACAATAATGGCAATGCTGTCTATGACGTTGAGAGTTACATTTCTCCTAATGTCCATAACATTAGGATAAAAAAAAACGCATGCTTCCCCCCCCCCCCCCCATAAACATCGAGAAGTTGGTAGAGGAGGGGGACAAAAAAAAGCATGAGCTTCCTTTTGGTACATAACCCCCCCCCCCCTCTCCAATTCTACTCTCGGTTTAAAGTTCTCCGAATTTATAAAGTGCCCAAGTTGGCACATATAATTCTTTCTTTACATAGAACACAATATATACAGCAAATTGAGATCTAAAGCCAGGGTGTGGGTTATAGGAAAGTTTCGATGCACATATTCACTTCATGGCACTCTTTCCCGGTTATGCAAGAAAAGAATGCTGCTTCGCGGCAATGTATAAGGATTTTTTTCTCAATTGTATTTTTCAGCTACAGCAAAACCCTTTTAATTCCAACTCTTATTTCAAAATCCTGCTGCATTTAAAGTATATCTGTGGTCCCGTATTTGGCAATGAAAGTTCAAGCGGATAATTTGAAGCAGCGGTGAGCACCATTCTGGTCAATCTGATAACTTTGGGTGCAGTGTGCCAATTTACAATCCCGATTTTGCCACGAATCCGCGGAGACAATGGTCATATGAAACAACGATTCTGTGATCACCTAAAATGTGTGCTCATAAAAGGAAAACAAAACATGCTTCACTGCAACACAGCAGTGATGTGCAGGAAGCATGTTGCATGCTTCTCTCAGGACGTCAGCACTTCATGATTTACCCAATCTTTCTGGGAATATAAAAAAAATTAAGGACAGTCTGGCAGAATTCGTAATGTATGCAAACCTTTGAGTACATGTTGCTCCATCAATTTGCGCACTTTCACTCTTAGCGAAAGTCTTGCTTGCAACGCCTACTTCAAAAACGGTTCGAAAGCTTCTATGATCATGTTTTTCCGAGCCAAAACACATAACAAATTTCGTCACACTCTCTATTATTAAATTCTTCATTTCATAAGAATAGACGAATGGTTGCAACGTGACGTGCTGACGCAGCGAGAAGCAGACAACATGCTGCCCCGCGTGTCACTCCTGTGCAGCAGTGAAGATGTCGTTTTTCGAAGGAGCACATTGCAGTTAATCGCGAGTTTTTTTCCCCCTTTTTCTCTTTTTTTTTCGGTCGCAGCAGTGAGGCCTGGCGTTTCCCCTTGTTTGTGCCAAAATTGTGACCAGGTATTGCTGAAAAACAACCCCTGGAGCTGCAAACTAGCCAGCACAGCAAACGACCGACTCGCCCTGACTACTTTGAATAATTTATTTCCAACTTTTTTGCATCCAACTTTATGTATATTCTGTTCATTCGAAAACCTGCTTAATTAGAAGATTTCTCATGGGCCCAGTGAATTGAATTAATGAGGTTTTACTGTATTTCTGTAGTTTCAGCTGAGGCTAATACGCGAGAAAATATAGTAAACATGTATTTATGAATGTTTTATCACAAGATGTTTTTTTGTACGTTGCCCCATCTCCATATTTATGAAAGTTCTGATAATTTAAACAAAAGACCGAGAGCCTACTGTAAGAATAACACTAATAAAAATCTGAACAAAGCAGAATCACCATGGCAGAGAAAATGCTAATTGTTAGAATTCTTTCACTTCACTTCATGTACACAAATGTCATTGATATCTTTCATAGGCATTCAGTATTAAGTGGACTCATTGCAATGCCAATAGCTTAGCAATGCGGTATTGGCAGATGGGCAGCGATGTATAGCAGAAATGAAGCACAAGCAAGCGTCAGTGATGTCATGTTTCAAAAAAGTTACAAATGAAATACCTATGCCACACCCCACACTTCTTTGAACTACTCTTAAAGCGTAGAGAGATGCGTTCCATGTCATATGGCCTTTCTTATGCCTAGGAAGTTGAAGAGAAATTCCTGTGAACAGAACTCAGTGATTTTCATTGCGGTAGAATTGAGTACCGTTGTCTAGTAATCTGTAGTTAAAAAAATGAACACTACACTGCATCAACCAACAGAATAATAGACTTTAGCAACATTACATGCATATTTATTGACTGGAACATTCATAATGTACGTTTGTTAAAAAGCTATCCATGCCTGCCAGGGTGCATACCCTCCTTGCAAAACACCACTGTGTTGACATTTTGATGAAGTATCTCGATGCGTGGGGAAAGTTATTAAAAAAATTATACTTTACCATGATCTGAGCAAACTTCAGCAAAAAGCGTTAGTCATAAGTATCTAAATTACTCTCCCCAGCACTTTCTGTACATGAACATAAAACAGCTATGGCCTGTTACATGCACTGGCCAGCTTTCGATAAATATTACTCAGACTGTTAACAGCAGACCCATTTCCTGCACAGCTATAGAAGTAGGCTGTTTCAAATGACTTTTTGCTGCGCTTGCCTGCCAGGGTTTATTACCTAATAAAATGAAAGCCGATCAAAAGTCTTCGCACACCGACAAACTAGCCAGTAGCAGAAAGGGCCACACTGCATAAGCTGCCAAAGCTGGAAAGAAGTCAGACTCCAGAAGCCCCAGGGTAGCCCATATGAGAAGCCAGGCTTCCACTTGCGTGGCTGTTGCTGCCACCACCATTACCACCACCCACTGAGCTTTATGTGGCTTGAGGGGGCAGGCATCAGGAGCTGAGACAGCTCAAGGGGGCCATTACTGGGCTACCTTTGTGATCTTCTTGGGGTCAGCAGTGCCTGTCTCAAGCACTTCCACCCGCTGGTAAGTGTTTGGCGAATTCACCCAGCGCAGCTTGTCCTGAGTCTTCCGCCCATCTAACAGTTTCTTCAAGGGGCTACAAAGACAAAAGAATGCGCACAGCATGAAATTTGCAAGGTGCACTCAACTGCCATTCAACTACTGGCACCAGCAAGTACTAGCCTCAATTCAGTGCTACACACTTGCCGCACAGCAGCAACGAAACTTCCTTACATTGCAATCTCAGATATACATGCTTTGTAATTGAGGTTACAAATAAGTGACATTTTCAAATTACATAAAAGTGAAATACTTCACTAACTAAAAAAGTACTATACACTTGCACATAAACGATCCAAGGTCGGCAAAATTGACAGTTTATTATATCCAAACTCAACCTTTTATAAACAGGCATGTACAATAAACAAGAAAAAAGAGCCACTTTCAATACCAAAAGAGAGGGAAAGAAAGCTGAAAAAAAAAAAAAAGGCCCCCCAATCATGACATATGCTGAGCTGGCAAAACCCACTCCATAGGGTCAATGCTTATTATCATTATTATGCAAACTTGAAAGAGACAGGTCAACAACAATGTGAAAGCGAAGCTACAGTGACATAAAATGAGTATCCATGCCTTTTCTGCAACAGCATTTTGCAATCAAAACCTTGAGAGTTGCCTAGAGTGGTGTGTGTTGCCAATGTTATTGCGCTCACTCCATTGAACACTTGCTCTTCTCCCGACTCGAATGAACAGCAACGAAAACTACACCACGTTGTAAACACTAAACAGCACTAACAGCTTCAATTTGTGGCCTTTTTCATTCTACAAAAAAAAAGCATTGGTATTATTTACAAATAATTGAGCTAGGCCCAGCATGAAATGATGAATTTCAGTTGCTGCTTTTTGCGAGTCGGCCTTAGGGAAGAACACACACATAATACTAATGTCATAATGCAAGTTATGTTGACATTTTCCAAACAAAGCATGTGCTTTCGGTAAAAGCTTTATGCAATCACAAGATATCAATTTCAGTTAACAGCATATGTGCACCAACTTTCCCATTCCTCATAATGTATCTTCCTTTCCAACACACAGTGTGAGACATGCTCTAAAAGGCGAGCTGAATTAAACTAAGTGTTATAATGTATACGACAAAAGACTAATTAAATTCAGAGGAACTAAAATTTGGAATATTTTACTCATAGAGGTTAAAACTGCACGCAACTTTAAGCAGTTCAGTAAATACTTTATTATGTATCAGGATATCTAACAAACTTATAATGACTATTTATGTGTACTTTATAACAATCTAGTGCATTCGAATGTAATATGCCCACATTTTACACAAGAAAATTATGACATGCCCCTAGGCTGACGATAGCAGGAAAAAAAAAAGAGAAAATAGAATATTATTGGGAAAGATAAATTGTCCAATAGATAGATACCAAAACACCTCGCCTCAGAATTTAATTCCTCATGAATTCTCCAGACTTTTGCCACTCATGAACACATTTCGACCCTCAGTGAAGATGTGGCTCTGTATGTGCCACTGAAATGATCTTTCATAAACCACTGGGGACAGATATGATCCCTGCAGGTAATGGTTGAGAAAAAGCTACTCCTGACCCCTGCAACTATAGGCGTCTGCTAATGTCGAAGTTGTTTTATTTTTTTTTCATATTAAGACACACAGGCAATTTTTAATTCATTTTCTTGAAGGAGTACTGATGTGCTAAAAAAATTTTCGGATTCTTGCTTGAAATAAAAGTACTGGTGTTGAGAAACCTAAAACAAGTATTGTGGTGGTTAGAAAGGCATCAAATATATTTTTGACACCGCTGTCTGAAAAAGACACTTTCGGTTTTTATTTCAAGAGTGTGGCTTCTCAGTGATGTTGAAAAGCAGTGCGACCTCATGGGAAGACAGTAACTGGGGATGTACTAGCACCAAATCGTTGATTTGCTTGTGGTTCACGTAAACAACGATGCGTGAACTGTAGTCCAGTGACCCTGGCAATGATTCTGTCATGCTGCCTGTGTGCAGGACACAGAGCTCCCGAATTCAGGAACTGTCTTCGCTCGTCGGAATACTGTCTCATTGCAGTGTAGTATGTATTATGCTCAGCAACGAAAACTTCAAAAATCAAAATAAAATGTTCTATACGTGTTGTCTGACTCCGGTGTGTGGAGAATGTTGACACTGCATACCAAGGAAATGAAGTACGTCCCTTTTGCAATGTCTTAAAATCGTGTCAGTACTCCTTTAAAGAGAAAGGAAGGATAGGGATTTGTGTAAATTTGGTATATGTACAGTAAAACCTCGTTAATATGCACCTGCTAAAAACCGCGGCATAACTACGCACTAAAAACACTATGCATTAACCACGACCTACGAATTCGCATCTTTTGACAAGCGCCATCACCGCCAACAAAGAAATAAATACAGAGCCACAGCAAATATGGCCTAATGTACCAACCAAAAAGCCATCCTTCTCTATTTGCCAAAGTGCGGAAGAGATTCTGTCACTGCCATAAGAACGCCCATTAGCACCCCATCGCAATGCTAACGAACATTTAAAACCTACTGTGGGGTCCGAGATATGCAGCAACGGACATAATAGCCGGTCCACGATAGGCTAACACTGACGGTTTTTTCTTAAACGCGGTAGGGTACCAGACAGCGAAATACTCTACTGGCTAGTTGCGTGCAGTGCTTCACCTACTCTGCACACGCTGTGGCTGCCAATTTGCTTGCTGTAGATGTCACCACTCCGCTTCAGACCATGCACAGATGCCACGAGCACCCCGGTGTGTTAACGTAGTGATTACGAGCATCCTACAAGCGATACTCCAAGATGTTCTAGCAGCCCTGGAAGCAGACGGACACGCTTTTGGGCTGCCCAAAAAAGTGTGCAGTAAGGTTACAACAACGCTTGCTGTATCGTGGGTGTGCCGGTGTTAGCAAGGTTTTTCGGTACATGCAACACTAAACTACGCAACCACGAGCTGTTTGCGTTTCTGCTAAAGTGGTGAACGCTTGAACACTGTTCTGCGAAATGAGGCGGCAGTGATCGGCGGCCCAGCAGCGCGGTCAGGTAGTCACCTATCATAAAAGCGTACAGTAGGCTAGAAGTGGCACTCCGCCACACGCGTGCCCGAGCAAAGGATGTTTATTGTGATAAGGCTTTTTGTCGGCGATAAATTATGCTGGCGCGTTTGTTGGTTGTCACCACCATACCTTAGTTTTCTTCCCAATGATTACCTGCAAAGGTATCGCCAAAATCGCTTGATAGTCAAAATAATTTATCTGCTGATCTTCAGAGTTTTGAAAATGACTGAAAACCGTTTGCAGTAGGCTGTGGTGTCTGCAAGTTCAGCAGCCCGGTAAACATTGTGGCGCAAATTGTTATCGCTGTAGGCAGTTGGTACGCTTGGACCGTTAGGCATAAGACGAACCCCTACGGCTTAAACAGACTGCGAATGTGTTAGGCTCTACGAGACTTGGTCAAGGATTTGTCGTAACTACGTTTTAATAATTAGTACATTTAAAATGCATACATGCTAACGAGGTTTGACTACATACAAATAGGTAGTTGCTGATAGACGCACACACATAGGCATTGATTGATATGTGGGGTTAAACGTCCCAAAATCACCATATGATTATGAGAGACGCCGTAGTGGAGGGCTCCAGAAATTTTGACCACCTGGGGTTCTTTAACATTCACCCAAATCTGAGCACACGAGCCTACAGCATTTTTCCCTCCATTAAAAATGCAGCCAAGATTCGATCCCGCGACCTGCAGGTCAACAGCAGAGTACCTTAGCCACTAGACCACTGCTGTGGGGCTACACATAGACATGAAAGAGATAAGAGTAGCAGAGGAATGATGACACAAAAATAATACTGCAGCAGGGAGTATTATGAAGGCAACAACGTTCCTACCTGAGCCATTTATCTTCTTCCAAAAACTGAGCGATGGAGCTAGCTGATGGGGGCACCTCCACATCTGTCTTGAGGCGTGGCTGCTCATTACGCAGCAAAGGTTGCCGATAAATATATCCTGTTCTGTGACCCTGAAAAAAAAAAAAAAAAAAAAAACAGCACAGAGCTATAACATTGAATGCAGCAGAATACCATGTACCGACAATTTTGGTCCCTCACACAGATGAGAAGGCGGCACAAAGAACCAAATAACACTTCCGAGTATTATTAGCCCCTATATTTCCAGAGGACCTCCCTGCCTTTCCTCGACTAACGCCAGCCAAGCAGCGAGCCAGAGCTAACTTTGCATGCCCTGCTATACAAAAGTACCTTTTTAAATAAAACAAAGCTTCTTTCAATTGAGAGGCATCAAGACGAACTGATGCTTTAGAGAGATGCCAACTGCTGTGATGTGCAGTGTTGCTTATGGATTGTGCCGGTTAGCTACCGTATTTGCTCACACAATCCTCTCTCTTTTTTTTTTTCTTCAGAAAACCGATGAAAAAGTTGGGGGTATGAAAATTACGGTATTTACGGAGGAAAAACTTCCCGTGAAAACATACAGAGCAGACTCGTGCGAATATTCGAATGCTTGGAATATTCTAACGCACATAACAGTATTCTAATACACTCCATTCCATTCAAATTAAAATTATTGAAAATTTTGCAGTATCGAAATAAGCGAACAGGTATGTATTAGTCCACATGTAACTTTATGTAAGCGTGGTTTCACTGCAGAGAAGAGGGTGCAAAGCCATGAAAACACCTATTAAGGAGAAATCCACACTGCCGCAATGCCTCAGCTCAAGGTTAAATGAAGATATTACCATAGCTAAAGTTTTAAAGCTTGTTATACAACTTGTATGCTTTGAGTAAAGCAAATTTCAAAAGATGACATATTTTACAGCTTACCACTTGCGTTTTACGGAAACTAAAATTCTGCTACTATTCAGTCGTTCTCGATTTCTTAAAAAAAAAAAAAAAGCAGGGGTGGGGGGTGGGGGCATTTGCACAGGCCTTGTTTAAAGTTTGCATATATACAGGGCGTTTCAGCTAAAAAGCACCAAGCAATAAACAATTAAAAATGAGTGCTACGCATCTTCAACTAGCACAGTATTGTTCTTAGCTGTATGTAGCACGTCAGAATATCTTTTTTATCTGCCAAGCACGGTAATTAACAAAGATGGCTTAATGAACAAGTTAAATACCGACTCTAGAGAAAAATTTGATTAAATAGAAAACTTGTAGCTCTTATCCAGAATTGACAAAATTTTCAAGTTATGGTAAGATAACATAGCTGGTTAATTTTTTTCTAGACCACATTTTCGTGCATTTATAATTTTTCTAACTTACCCATTGAAACTGTGCCCACACATAGCGAACATTCTTCAAGACCTCCTACCATTACGACAAACACTTTTGACTCGGACGTGGTCAAAATATGGCGCTTATGAAGCTTTAGAAAAGAAGAGAGTTAGAACAGGCTTTCTAAACAATGAGGGAGAAAGGCGCGCACTTGGACATGCCCCACCAGTTTACTTGTCACAAAGATACTTGAGATTGGCGAGTGCTGTACGCTACCATTAGACACTGCCCCTGAGGTCGCTCACTTTTTAGGAGTTTCTTCCGTGGCAGTGAGGGGGGGAAAAAATGAGAGAAAGAAGAGAGCGAGTGCGTAACAAAGAAGAGGTAACATGAAGCTTTTGCACAGCAACCTTTTCTGGCAACAGACGTCAGACTCTGCCCAGGCAGCGCTGCGAAAAACCCTGCCATCAGCACCCCCATCGCCGCGCGGCCATAAATGGGTAGTGCACAGAAAGCTGTCCGCAAGCGAACGTGCATAGGCCCTCCTCTTTTGTTGGTCTTTAGGTGAGGTTTCCTGAAAATCAAAGACCTGGCAAGCTTCTTCCTTCAATAGAACCTCGCTTCATAAAAGTAGGAAGCTCACCAAAACGAAAAGCGGGCACAATGTAAAAGATGTTTCACTTATTTTGGTGTGCTGCAACCGGCAGTTTAAGCGCAAGCCAGCACTGCATAACAGAGTTTGAGGCAAGCACTCCGACGTGCGTTCTTTAACGCCTAAATGCATTAAAACTGGGCTTACACATGATGCCTAAGTGATTAAGTACATACATGAGCAATCTATTTTATGATCAGTGGTACGAAACTTGCTTTATCCGGCCCTAATGGCTCTGACAAATTTCGTCTGCAGTTGCATCCTCCGTCAATTTCTCGCTTCCTGTGCATTCAACTGTTTTATTATGCATGCTTGAATGCTCTGTTGACGGTTGTTTTCCGTTTGTATATACTGCAAACGGCGATACATGCGCGCCCACTTTCTCAGTGTACAACCGAAGGCAAAATCGATGCCCCCAAGATAATCGCGGAGAGCAACGAAAAGAAAAATGTGATTGTGGTCACGATCGTTTTGCGATTTACTTGTATGACGCACGCGTTCGCATTTCTCAGTTAAAGCCGGTATTTAGAGCCTTCAAAGCCCTACGTACGTAATGCTGTGTTGTGGCGACAACTTCAGATAATTGGTGGTAGCGGCGTGTGCGATGTTTATCGCGAGCGTCACTACTCTACAGTTGCACTTCGCGCACCGCGGTCAGAAAGTATGTTACGCTTCATAATCAAAGTTACTACGGTTCTATGTCAAGTTTACACAAAACAATAACAGGAGACCTACGTTATCGCACTTATTCAAGCGAACATCTGCGGAGAACGCGAGTAATATTGCTTACTTAACACGTTCGCAACAGCCTGTATCAAGCGCTCTCGCCATTCTGCTTTGCGAAAGCTGCGGAAATCAGTAATACTGAAGTCATTTACATCCGTGGCAATTCACAATGCAACAGTAGCGCAGACTGGGGTCTTTTTTCGTAATACGCGAAGCTGTTGCGTTTGCTCTTGTTTTCACTGTTGTTCAGGTGAGTGAACCAGCAAGCACTTCCCGGCGGTTCGTTGACGCGCCAGACTAGCAGAGAGAAATTCGTAGCTCTTTTTTCCGAGTGCTTGATGCGCAAATACACCTAATATTTAGCTCAATCGTTGTTTTGTATGCTGTAGTTGCACCTGGTTGTGCAGAAAACTGTGCAAGGGATTTGGGCTTTGCACAACTCAAAACTGCGTCGACAGGTAGCACTGCGTGTCCGCAAAACTCCAGAGTCTGACGTCCATGTTGTCTACAGCTATACGAACACCTACAATGAACCTATGCCTTGGAATAGAAGAAGCCATAAAATGCAGTAAGCGATGGCCGCGATAACTTTTCGTTGCATAAAAATTCTCTACGCTGATACCACAATGTGCTGCAAAATGTCATACATCTGTGCAACTTCTACGCGATTGCAGCAAGGCCTTTGCAGATGAGCATAAGAAAAGAGTGAAGGTGATGTGGCGGCTGCTGATGAAAGTGCAATTATGAATTTTCACCAGTACCCTTATGACAATCATCTGCAGCTGTTTGCTTGGCTGAACATGTGGAGCAAACTAGTTCTGATTGACAGCGATACCAGCAGTACAAGCATGCGATGCTGCCATTGGCAAGTTCACCACCCCCCCGCTGTGAGAGATAAAATGCACGTCACTTTTAAGAAACAATAGTAGCTCGCTGGTATTGAGCGTGACGGCCACCGAGAAATGTCAATGCACTGACAGTGTACACAATCCCCGACGGATTTTTCGGACCTCAGAAATGGACCATCAATGTTCCATAGCCCAAATGCATTTTCCCGAATGATTTTTTTCGAAAAATTTATTCTCTAAAGTTCGATTTTCTGGACTAAATTACTCGTTTTGATCAGTGTCACTCAATTTCGATGGTGCCATATTAGATTTTTTGTTGGCTTGGTCAGGTGTGACTTGTAGTGGCAAAAGTTAAACCTGCTTACAATGAACCCCTATTTAACAAATTGCTCGATATAATGAAGTTTTTCTAGTCTCCGCCATTGCTCCATAGAAGCACATGTATTTGTTATCGCGGTTAGCCGATTACTTCTGGCAAAAACACGATGGTGCGCTGAATTCAATGCAATTAACAAGATATCAAGAAATCGTAATGTTATACGAAGTAAGGCACCAACTCTTAGATCCGATATCGCGGAACTCCTAGAATACACTGATGTGAGCAAATACACTGGTGTGAGTAAATTTTTCAATATTACTAATAATAATTAAAAAAAAAAAAAAACTAGGAAGAGAAAAGCGGATTGATCGCTAAATGAGGGTCTATATACAATGACAACTTTTCAGGCACTTTCCAATTCGTTATAAACAGGTTCTACTATATAGGCTATAGAGTTGCATAGCTGCTATGATCATGTCAATAGACACAGCAGTTTGCTCTCAGTAATTATGGAAAACAACAGTTTTGTTGAGACTCTGTGCGCAATGACTACGAGCCTGATTCAGAATCTGGTTGGTCGTCATCTGCGCTAGAACTGATAGCAATGCATAGTGGTTTTGTTCGACCACATAGTGTGTGCAATCTCACAAGAATTGGTGTTGATGTCAGATCATGACTGTTGTCCCCATGCTTGCATCAATTTGAGCAGCAGAATAATGGTGACAGCTGCTGACAAGCTCACTGGCAAAAAAAAAAATTGATAAGATGTCTGTGGCAGTGCAAAATATGTCCCAGATGAAGCCATGGCACTGTATGGTGACCACACTGCAATAAAAGTTGCGAGCCGTCGCAAGGTTTTCGAACTACTATCCTGAATTTTGACAAAATCCCAAGCAGGCACGCCTTCGCTATATGGGTGCATTCACAAAACCTCACTAAGTGAAGGTATCTTTCTCATATTTGTTCTATAAGTAGCTGATAGAAAATAGAAACTACACTCAAACCTCTATATTACAAACCCGGATATACAGTCGCCGACCGATTTTTCGGACCTGGCGGGGACCGAAAAAAAGTACGAAAAATCGAACAGTCCGAAAAATTCGTTTTCGCCAAAAATTTGAAGTTTATTGCATCAGGCAGGTTTAAAAAAGTCCTTGATGCTGCTTTGCCTCAAACTACGCTTTAAGGCAATTTGGTTTGCCCGTATTTGCGCCAAGGTGACATCGTCGCCGTAAACGCTCGACAAAATTGTCACCGCGTTGGCGATCTCCGCCGCCGACCGTTATCCGGCGACATCTAGCTGCGAACGTCCACTCTCTATTAGCTTGATTATGGCAGCTTTCTTCTTCATCGTCAGGGTCGTATACTTCCCACGCTTCTTCACACCACCTGGCTCCCGCGATGGCACAGATAGCGGAGCCATGGCACCGAGAACACAAAATTCGATGCCGCAGATAGCCGCTGCGAAGCACACAACGTCTCGACGCTACGCGACATAACACGTGCAGAATGGCGACTGAAAAAAGCTGCAACGACAATAAAAGAATCCTTCTTTCGCCTCCTCCCCGTGCGATGTGATGACGATAGTGCTGACCGAAGACGAAAAAACGGCGTCCATCACCGCGTCTTTTAAAAAGCAAACACGGCCTCCGAAACTTAAAATATGGCGCGCGCATTCTAATCTCGGAGGCAGGAAAAGCATCTGAAGACTAAGCTTAGCCAAGCCGACAGAAAATCCAACATGGCGGCGTTCACAATGGCTTGGGGCGTGGCACAAAACGAGCGATTTAGTCCGAAAAATCGAACTTTCAGGGGCAAATTCGCCCGAAAAATCGGTCGAAACAATGCATTAGCTCTATGGGATTCCTGACGGTGCATTTATGAAGTCCGGAATATCCAACAAGTCCGAATTTTTGGAGTCCGGAAAATCGGTCGGCGACTGTACTGACATACTGGTTATAACAATGCAAATGAAGAATAGTCTTGTAATAAATATAATATTAGGGATTATACCTTTATAACAAATTTTTGGATACAACAGACTTATTCTCGTGTAATATGCAACCTTCTTATGATGAGGTTTGCGTGTAGTTCACTTTGATGGGGCTATAGCTGTGGTAGAGTTTGAATGTATTTCCCTACACAAAGTACACTCAAACCTCATAACAAAGTCACGTCTGCCACGAAGATACTTCGTTATATCCAAAATTTCGTTATAAACAATTATTTGTAACACTATCTATGGCAAAGCTTTTGGTCACTTACTTCGTTATAACCAACATTAATGAGAACTAATGGACAATTATGCCAAGAAAAGTATAGAGGTATAGAGTATAGAGGAAAGTAATTGTAATGTATATGCAAAGAAAAGTGGATGAAAAGATAACTTGCCATGGGCAGGAACCGAACCTTTGGCCTTCGAATAACATGTTCGATGCTCTACCAACTGAGCTACCACTGCGGCTATCCCCTCCCATCCACTTATTGGGTATGTATGTGCATTAAGCGTGCCAGCGTCAGTCAGTGCCACCCGTTTCCACTTTAGCGAGTGTGGTACACTCATTTTTTGCCTATTGGCGTCACATAGCACGTAGTGCGTTATTCGAAAGCCGCAGGTTCGGTTCCTGCCCAGAGCAAGTCATCTTTTCATCCATTTTTCTTTCTTCATATTTACACTACAATTACTTCAAGTAATATTACCTATACTTTCCTTGGCATAATTTTCTGTCAGTTTTCAGTAATATCGTTTCTAACAAAGAGAAACGAGCCCTCAAGTTTACCCTTTCTTCCTTCATTAGCTATAACCAATAATTCGTTATATTGAGGTTTGAAGGTGTCCTATTACTGTATTCTATCGTACAGACAAAGAAGAATATGAATGAAGACTACAACTGTTGGCAGACTCATAATATTTACCGTATTTACTTGTGTGATGAACCCAATTTTTTTTTTCCAGAAAAATTGGCACTAATTTGGGGAGATGGTTCATAGCGCGAGAAAAAAAGGTCACGCGAGTTATAACAGCAAAAATTTAGCATGAAGGTTTTGCTTGTTCAGGCTGGCAAAATGCATGACAAATCTTTTTGTAGCCCGAAGCTCTTGTTTTCTCCCGTAACGAGTGCCCACAGATAGACGCCGAAGTATCATCCAGCCGCTCTGTTCTCATGCTCCAGCACATACTTGACCAACTTTTTAAGTTTAAAACCAGCTGTGTAGCTGGCGTACCGGCCGAATGCACCCTGCGCAGCAGGTGTCCTCAACTAAGTTCACTATGAGAAAATGTTTTTTTTTTTTTTTGCTTGTGGGAATAGAGGCTAGCCCGCTGCCTTTGCGTAAGCTTTGCTGCTTCTTTCTGCGGTTCTCATGTCCCGACTTGACTCTCTTCTCCTCCGTGATCTGCAGCGCTGAGAGAGCGGGGAGTGACATTTAACCCCTCTCACCCGGTAGCGGATGTTGATTGTGGCGCCGTGCGCAAGGTCTCTCTGGACATTTCGCACGCGCGCATCGGGAGCGACAGAGAACCTCTCCGGGACGACAAGAGGTAAGCACGCATTTCTTTTCCGTCTGTTGGCTCCCTTTGTTTTGGGGTCGTTCGGTCTTCGCCAAAGGCGCCTTGCGCCCGCAGCGTACGCTTACCTTTTGTCGCGCCGTCCAAACGCTAAGCTGAACGGTGCAGTGTCCTAGTGCGTGGTCAAACTGCACTGACCTGTATCTCTACGAAGCCAACACGAGCGCCTTTTCCCTCCCTCGAGCAACCGGGCCCTTTGTCCCGGTGTCCCTGTGAATCACTTTTGCCCACAGAGACGTGCTCGTGGCACCCTGTGTAGTACTACTCGCCCGGGGCATGGATAAGCCCATTTGCTTTCCCGCCGAGCCCTTGCGACGGGCTATGTGCTGCGTTTTGGTGTGCCACAAACAAAAAAGTGTTGTGACCTTGAGCAGTACCGTGTTCTCACCACGGCGACGGTTAACGCGTGCCCTGTGGCTCGCTAAGACCGGACCCACGCTAGTGGCCGTAATCCTTTGGGACACGTTTACACTACATGCTTTATTCTCGGGCCGTTGTGCTTGCATGGTGCTATAAGCAAAGAGGTTTGTCCTGAATTCGACAGATGGTGCTTTGCCACAAAAGGCACGACTTTTAAATTTTGATTGACGTCGTCTGTGTTTGCGCTGCTCGCAACTGTTTAGCATAGTTGCGAAAATATGCGTAGACTTTTTTGAGTCCTTATTTTGTGATGTAATGGCTTGATGTATCGTTTCGATCATCAACGGCACTGGGTAGCACACCTGAATAAAATAAACAGATACATTACAAAATTTTTTTTTTTTTTTCATTTTTCAAGGACCAAGGCGTGGGGGGGGTTATTATGGGAGTGGGTTCATTACGCCAGTAAACACAGTATATGAAAGGTTCTGCAGGCTGCCAAAATGTATAACAGTGATTTGTTTTGTTTAACTGCTGACCCCAACATTATTATAAGCATTTCGAGCACTTCCCCAGAGGCTCCTTACCGAGTTGTCAAGGGTGCGCATATGGGCCTCGAAGACTATATCACAAGGGCGCCAGCGCTTGGGTTTCTCCTTTGGCTCAGCCTTCTCCTTGTCCTCATCTCCACCAGGCAAGGGTTCATCAACTCCCTTTTGGCGTGCGTGCTCCTCACGCATGCTGCGCTGTGCCTCTTCAGAGAGAAGGTGGACATTGTCGAAACCAATAGGTGCAAGCTTCATCTGGGCACAAGAAAAATCGGCAAAGATTACCAGAGCTAATCCTCCAAGGTACTGCCATGTTGCTTCAAGTACTACGATTCTGGTACAAACTGGTGCACAAAGCTCACGCCGAATCATCATTACCTCACTTTCCACATTCAGTAGAACCCCGATTATACGACTTTCAGGGAACCATGCAGAACAGTCGTATAATCGAAAAAGTGAGATTAGAGGCAGTGATACTCGGCCTTGCAAAAAAAAAAAAAAAAAAAAATACAGACCACCTGAGTAAGCCCATTACACCACCTTGTGCTTCTGCAAGGAATGTAGATTGAAATATTCTTGCCAATGGCAGCTAATAGCAGCATTACACAGTTGGAGATGTGAGCAAATTTTTTTTATTCTTTGGTTTGGTTTGCTTTATTCAAGGCAAAATTGAACAAGATTGCCTTGGGGGACACGACTAAAGGCTAAGTAAATGCATGACTTGGTCGTGCCACCCTGGCAGCAAAGCAGGAACATACCGCAAGTACATTACACAGAAAATTACATCACGTGTTATCTTACACGGGTACCATAGTCGAACAGGAACTGCCAGAAGTGTGAATAAAAGAATAGAAATATAAACAGGCTTTATTCCAGTGGTGGCAAATACAAACAAATGCATGTTTTCTATCAAATAAATTAACGAGAGACATCTTGACTAGGAAATCGAGTTGCTCTACAAGACAAATTAATAATAAACAACAGGCAAAGGGACAATAATGAACAAGGTGCAACGTACACAAAAACATCATTAACTACGAATTTCAAAAATCAAGAAAAGCATCGCTTCCATCCACTAGAAACTCTTTCGTTATTTTTTAAAATAATCTAGCTGAAATTCCGTCTTCCAGTAAATGTAATATAGTTGGGCGTTTGTTTAGAATGTTTGGAATTTGTGACGCCAGTCGTTGGTCACGGTAGTTTGTGCGTGATCTATATTTGTATATTAGGCTCTTTCTCAGCTCGTATGGTGTTTGTTTCACATATGTGTCCAAGAATAGTGATGTATTTAGTTTATACTGGTGTAATATCTCTAGACATAGCTTATGTCTGTAAAACAGTTTTATAGGCAATACTTTGTACATTTTAAAATATGGTCGAGCACTTTCGTAAAGGGGAGTGTTAGATATAGCACGTATAGCACGCTTTTGCAATATCAACAGAGAATTAAGGTTTGTGGTGGTCGTTGTTAGCCACACCAAGGAGCGGTATGTTAGTTAAAGAATGGTAAAGAATCAATCCAATGTGCTCCTTTTTACTAATAAACTGAGTCTGAAAATTGCGTGCAAAATACATAGTTTCTACGATAATTTTGTCGGGACCAAACCGATTCGTCGTAAAATGCGGGTCATCGCGAAACCGGGGGACATGCATGATCGAAGTTCCACTGTAATTTGCTGTCCCCTTTACCTCTTAAATGGAGCAACAGGCCTGCTAATGAGGCCAACATCTTTGCCTTTCTTTCATTCATAATCTGTCTCTTTGGTAAAACTGACTTTAGTAACCAACTGATGCTCTAGACATATTGTAATTGATGATTTGATTGATTTGATTGATATGTGGGGTTTAACGTCCCAAAACCACTATATGATTATGAGAGACGCCGTAGTGGAGGGCTCCGGAAATTTAGACCACTTGGGGTTCTTTAACGTGCACCCAAATCTGAGCACACAGGCCTACAACATTTCCGCCTCCATCGGAAATGCAGCCGCCGCAGCCGGGATTCGAACCCGCACCCTGCGGGTCAGCAGCCGAGTACCTTAGCCACTAGACCACCGCGGCGGGGCTCTAGACATATTGTAATGCAATATTTCATGAACCAAATTAATGAAGCTTGCTACATTCTAAATTTTCAATTCGTCTCCAAAGCAGCTCTTTACTTAACAAATGTAATCTAATGCAGCAACCTTGATAAAGTTGAATATACCAGAACCAGTTTAAATTGAAACAAGCACAAGAATGTAATATTGGTTTTGACTATAGCAGTATGCTACTGTAGCAACGATGAAAGTGACATTTTGATTTTTGGAGAAGATTCTGGAGCAGAAAAAAAATTTTGTTCAACCGAGAGAACAAATAAAAGAGCGGTTCATTATGGAGGAAATTTTAACACATTAGAGCCTATGGGATGCGGGTCGGAAATTGAAAAACATTCGTTGAAGCAGAAATTTCATAGTAGCGGAGTTCGTTGAGTTGGAGTTTGACTGTATATACACAATGTTAATACATGCAGTTTAATCTGCTAGTTTAAAGCCAATTTCTGTTTTCATTTAGGCTGACTGGAGGTCATGCGATTAAAGTTCACTGTTTAGCTTCCCAGCTTCATTTTGGAGCAGTTACTGACAAGAATCAGTTTGGAGACGCATTTCCCTTTTGGAACAGTTTGAAGCAAATGGAGCAGCACTTCTGTCACTTTGTAGTAGTCAAAACCCACAGAAACGAAATAGTGACAAGGAATTCCCAACAAAATATTTTCCTGCCTCTGGCAAACACCCATAGGACTCAATACATCTTGCATTCCTTGACAATGATATACTACTGAACTGCAGTTTTGCAACAACGAAAATTGATGGGGCATTTCCCCACATACGTGCTCATGCAAGGTTAGCATAATCCAAAATTTGATCAAATGTATTTGCTTCACACTCAGACTGTGAAAAGGACCACCACATTTTGCTTACATGGGTGCCACCATATCAGTTTAAAAAATTGGCCAGGTGCCAGAAGTAGTTGCATGCAATGGACATTTGTCATTGCCACCATGCTGCTTGTTTCACGGTGCCATGAAAAACGTTGCAGCAGGGAGGTTATACTGTCCCCTCCAAGATAAACACACATTCGGCACAAAATATCCATGTTTGAGGAGGAAGTTTTTCTTTTCCCCAAATTTCGAGATGGATACCTTTCACCTATGCAAACACATTCCAATACGTACTTGCGTCTCACAAGCTTCTATAGTTGAACACAGGTTAGAGAAGGCTTCTTCCACAGAGTCTCCACACACAAGCACCCCATGATTACGCAGGAACAGAACCTGTAATGTTAAAAATGCAGATAGCATATAACATATATTTATTTATAATAAATAAATAAATGAACCAGTTCTGAACAGCCTGTCTTGTGGTCCAAATGACAGTATGAACAAGCATAGGCATACATAGGCATGCATAAGGTTCCCCTTCAAATACTTCAGGGGGGGGAAGGGTTGGCCCCTCCCAAGTGACGAGGAGGGAGGGGCAAGCAACATATAGCCCAAAATTAGGTCAATGAATGTTCATCCTAGCAAACCATGCATGTTCCACATAATATATTTACATTTCGATGTAGCTCTGTAAATAACATTTTCTAGAATTGGCTACACTTGCGAGAGTTTTTAGTTTCAATAACCAAGCCAAACCAGAGCCACACTGAAATAAAGCCAGTTTTCATAAAGGCTACAGAGCTACAATTGCATATAACCATTTTGGATACTGCAAACTGAAGAAGCTACAGATGAACAAAGGGACATCTTGCTTTCAGCAAGAACTTCTTTATATGTTTAGGTCAGTGAAAAACATAAAGACCAGCAACAAAAAACCTACACAACCCAGGGCACAAGACACTATATCAGCATACCAAAGATGAAAAGAAAACCTAGCATCAAACCTTGCTGTTGGGTCCCAGGCTCCGCGCAATCTCATGTGTGTCGGCAGAGCTGCCTCTGTATTCATGGTAGGTGACCTCCCCAAGCAGGGCAGCATCAGGTGTGATGGGCAGAAGACCTTGCTTCAGTGATGATACCTAGAAGATACACATGTCAAGAGGCAAAAAATTGAGGCTCACACATTGTACCCAGATTCTGTTTCAAACAGCAATTAATTTCAAACAAGCACTTCAATATCTGATAGCTTTTACAGTGAAAACGTCATTAATATAATTCTTTACAATAACTTTTCTCAGCTGCTACACTCTGAAATTAACGTTCGACCCAAGTACCGATAGGGTCCCATTTTGCTTCCTGGATTTGATGCCCAAAAGCAGCCTCTCTACACTAACACTTTACAACTTGACAGTAATAGTGGTGAAAGCTCAACAAGTTGACGGCATCTCTCAAGGCATGATGAAACTGCCTGCTAAACTGCTGCTTGAAAGCTTACATGCAAACTTTCGAAAGCGTATGCCTCCTAATAAGCAGAGAAACTTCACTATTTCAGACTAGGGCAACACACAGCAGCTATTCTTGTGATGAGAAGTGACGCTTTACCGCATTGGAATTACGGTTTAGGCCATGCGTCTTCATTGGTTCGACATTACAAGTCGAGCACAATACTCGTGCGGAACGAGATAAGCTATCGTGTGCTAAAAATTGTAAGAGCACTATTTATATTGCATTAGATCCAAAAAGATTTCTGTACTTGAATATGAAAATGTGAAAACGATTACAAAACTACCACATGAGCGCTGCACAAGAGCTACCACGAGGAGAGTCTGGCGAGTCTCTGTAAAAGGTGCACAGTGATTGGAAACAGCCTCCAACGTCATTGGGAAAGTGAAATGCGAAAGAACATTTTTTTCTGGTCTTCTGAGGTTTTGAAGTTTAAAGGCCATTACCGTGCACAAGTTTAAAGGCATTCCATTACCGTGCACAAATTTCGATGATTCTTTCTGCTTTCATCTTAGTATTCGGTACTGCATGAACTCCAGCGCTGCAGCATACAGAAAGAAAAAAAAAAAATGCGTCGCCGGGCCCCTTCAATGGCATGCTCACTGCCACATCCTGCTGAAAATGAACTGTGGCAAAATTACATGGTGTGCAAACTCACCGCAACACAGGGTGGGTGCTGGAGATGGATTATACACTTTATGTCAGGTCGGTTTGCATGGATGGCAGCATGCACCATATAGGCTGGCCGATTGAAATGGAACGTGGTGGTCCCAGAGTCGATGACGTTACTCTGCATGTCCAGCTTCAGCAAACTGGAAGCAGTCACCTCGTGGTACAGAAGCCCAAATGGATTTACCAAGAAATGCTCCTGGTCTTGGCTTACACGCAGCTGCAAAGACAATAGAAACACACTGGCTATTTAAAGAACACCTGCACACAAAATAAATACAAACAGGGACTTTAAGTGCAAGAAAAAGCAGGCACTTCTTTCATAGGCAACATCAAAAACAGCAATTTCTCAATACTTACCAATGAGTGTCACGAGTCAAATTAAGCCCATACTACCGTAAAAAACAGTGTATAGTCCAGACCCACATATAGCCTGAGGTGTATTTCGAGAATAGAAAACAGGTAAAAAGTTCTCACCCTAATAAAGTCCAAGCAAAACAAACTAAAAACATTCATTCACATACTTATTGATCATAGTCTGATCCACTTTACTCTGAAACTCCAAGTTAGACATGTTCTCCAACAGCACCTCATCTTCAGAGCTATTAAGGGCATTCGAAATCAAGCACTTCTTGAAGGCATGACGAACGAGTGCCTCGCGATTGAAGGCACAAGCTTTGATTGATTGATTTGTGGTGTTTAACGTCCCAAAACCACCATATGATCATGAGATATGCTGTAGTGGAGGGCTCCGGATATTTCAACACCTCGGGTTCTTTAACGTGCACCCAAATCTGAGCACATGGAGGCACAAGCTTTGGTGATCCGCATGCACAGCATCGCTGGCGAGACCCGTTTCAGCTGTACGGCAGAGGCCACTACCGGCCCTCCACCCCTCATCCACTCCATATGTTTGCACTTTACGTGGTCCTTAAACAGTTTATTTAGGCACACATCAAGCGGCAGAGCCGGAATGCCCTCCCGGGCAACGACGGGCTCGGTGCGCAGGGGTCGCCCAGCAGTCGCTTCACAGAGATGACATAGCAACGCTTTATTGCTCCCGAACGAAGTCTCTCAATTCTCATTCAGCAACGAAAAACGCTCCATTTTTCGGCCTCTGGAAACTTCACAGGCCTCTGCACACAAAGAAGACTTCCTTCCGTTTTTCTTAAACACGAATTCGTCGCTCATCTGCGCCAAACTACCACCCCGCAGCGCAGTAGCCAATAGTTTTGGCAGCTGAAATAACTTTGCTCTTAAAAGCAGCCAAATCTACTGCTTTCGCAGACTTCACAAACGTATAACCTGGTGCAATCGTGGCCGCCAAGAAGTAGAAATAACACTAGAGCTACCTAGCGCGAAGCACTGATGACGATGATACAGTTGATCCTGGGTATATCAAGCTCTGATATACTAGAATTATTTTCTATATCAAACAGTATATATCAAACAGTATATAAATCCCCGTGAATTTCCCATACAAAAGTATGGGACTGTTGCACACGTACATCGAATTCCCGCAGAGCCGAAGCCCAGAAAGTGCATTTATTTTGACAAAGATTGCTCATTTTTTGGCCACACTATAAAAAAGTTTCAATACCATCTCGCGCGAAGGCGATGAAAAGGCGGTGTAATTCGTTGGTTAGCCAGCTTTTGTGAGTGCACCAGAACGTGATGCGCGATCTGTAGTAAATTGTAACGCATGGACACAGTGTTTCCAAAGAGGCCAATTGCCAAGGGCACCAAAATCACATGAATGCGAAGTGACTCGGCGCCCTCATTACTTTCCTTGTTTGTTCCCGCACAACGGAACGCAAGCCCGAAAAGCATAACCTACAAGATCCGCAACCTAGTGATTTTTTTTTTTTGCGTTTTCTGTTATTATTTATAGAACACACACCTTTGGAGGCTACGCCTTTTTTTTTTTGCTTTTCAATTTATGCTACAAAGGCACTAGTGCCATCACCAAGATATCAATGGCAAGGTACATGGTCATTCGTTGTTTCTGGACAGCCTTGTCACTTCCCGCTTGAGCACTTCAGTAGTTCTCACTTTTTTTCCTGCTGAATCTTCCACTGGCAGTCGAACTAAACATTGTGTCGCTTGTAGCGATAAAAATAATGACTGGTGCTTGAAACAACAACAAGCAAGACATCGTGCACAGTTTCCTCGTGGGCTTCTGCGACAGGCGATGACATAGTGTGCACCATTTTAGCTGACAACAGCGTACGGTGCCTCAGTGCATTTTGCTATTTATTAGTAGAGTCCACGGACTTATAACCATTTCCAGGCGCCACCTCAAACATGAGTACAGAAAGCGACTTTATCGGTGCAGATGACGACGTCGTTTTTTCTGACTGCGTGATGCTGATATCATGGTTGACGTTGCCGGTGCCCCGGAAGTGGACCCGTGCAGTTGTGAAGACGTCAACGCTGTCACTAAACAACACTTTACCGTGCTACAAAGTTTGCATCGGTGCTCACCGGCAATCACTGCTATTATGGCTAAAGGAGCGAAATTCACTTATTTTGAAAGCTTCAATGCTCTTTTAATGAGGATAACTCGATGAACATGACTATTTTCACAAAAATAAAGTGTGGCAACTTGCAAGCTGTCACCTCTTCTTGAGCATACAGCGAGCGATTATGATTTCCGAAAGCCGTTTCGAGAGTTGCAATGCATAATATAAGCCTAAAATATGCATATTTTTTATATGAAATGATCAATATATTGAACTATTTTGTGATGCCCTTTGTGTTCGATATATTCGGGATCGACTGTAGCGTCCGCAATGCCAAAACCGAAAGTATGAGTTCTCAGCTAAAAATTCTTGGGATCAGCATATAGTCTGGGGCCAAAATTTCGTATCACAGAAACAAACAAGCAAATCTTGGACTATATGCAGGTTTTCACAGTATATATCTAATAAGCAACAGCACCGATGCACAATGTACATTTCACATCTAGCTGTGTCTCCAGTCATGATTAGAACATTCTCAAAAAGCAGTATACTCATTTGAAGCATGCAGTGGTTTCAATAAACCTAAGCTACTGTGGGTGCAAGTGGTCAAATGGTTGAATTACACATGCTTGCAAATGCACCTTTCGATTCTCACTCCCCGAACAGTGGCCACTAATAGAGAGCCTCAATACCAAATCTCATCCTAGAAGTATACTTATTTATTTATTTGCTTGACAATACACCATTGCTGTGGTGCAAGAGACGAAAGACATATAGGTAAATGTCTTTCCACTGCTAGCAGTGAAGTTAAATGGCCACATATTGTGAGTGAAACAGATGTATGCATGGGAAGGGGGTAAGAGGGAATGATTAAAGTGACTAATGGGTGCAACCGTATGTCCTTTACCACTTGCCCAATTTGGTCTGAAATAGCATTATGCATCTCCCAGTGTGAGCCGACGAGTAGTGCCTCCCATTGCTCCTCGTTATGATCTATACCAATATTTCCTAAAAATATACTTATGGTCATCTAGCTTTGTTTCACACCCATGTGAGATGTAAAATAGTGTTGGCCTGTCACTGCTACACTTGAAAGGTTCGGAATAACATTAGTACATGGGTATTCTTGCACTACATTCTGATCGAATGCAGCTCCGATGTCTGAAAATGGAGCCAGTTCCCTTGAGATAAGCAGTTCAACACCTCAGCTGCTAAGCTACCCCAGAGGCAGTGCTCTTTACTACTATATTAGAAACATGTGTACTTCATTTTGAATAGACTTGGGTAAGTTGATATTAGCTGGCTTTTTTTAAATTCTAGCACAAGAGAAGAAGCACACATGTTTGTGTGCCTCTTTTCTCATATTAAATTTCTTGCACTAGAGTTTAAAAAGAATCCAATGATTACTGTAACTCTTGCAAAAGGAACAGGAACGGAAACCAAATTACATGAGAGTTTACACATACCGTGATGTGGTTGAAGGCTGTTGTGGTCCATCCATATGCATCTAACAGGCGACAGAGAGAAGCAAGCTTGCAGCGCAGCAGCTTTTCTCCTTTTGAATAGCGCAAGCCATCAATCCCACGGACGTCATTGATTGGAACCAAGCAGCGTCCACCTCGAATTGTTGACTGCTTTGTCGCATGTGGCAGCAAGAGTTCGGTCACCTGCTGCAATGCTGCCATATTGGACGGTGTGTAGCCCTCCGACAGTTGCGACTCAATGATGCGTTCGAGCTCCTCCCGGAACAGTTGGCTGCACACAGGCAAACAATACAAAATGAATGTAAATTACATGCTCCTCCACACATAAAGTTATGATGTCAGTTGAATAGAGAATCAGAAGACATGGGTGGCATAAATTCTAGACCAGCATGCTAAAACCATTGCAATTTAATAACAAAGAATGGATACCCCGCTGATTTGTGTTTTCTGGACTTCCAAGCATATATCACACTAGTGTTCCGGAAATGAATCCAGAATAATTCCACATTTACACGAACCCGGAATGGAATGGTGACAAAGCTTGGAGGATTGGAATGGAATTAAGCGCATTTTAATGGAAATAGAATTACTACCTTTTGCGAAAATAGAGCACATTTTTGTTGATGTGCTGTTTTTTCAAGCTTCATACATTAGTAAGCCAGAACCTCGAATTTACCAAAGAACAGTAGTTTAATAAGGCTTGGCTGCTTACAAGTACAATCATACGCAACGCACCTACTATAATTCTGTCCTTATATAGACTGTGTTGCTCCAAAGTTCTTTATTCTTCGCATCACCATGGCTCTATTCCAAGGTATCTGTCTTGCGGAACTATACATTGGCGGCATACCTCCTTTACACATTGCGATTTTTTTTTGCCCCTCGATGGCGCCTCAGTCGCCATCGGCAGCTTGGATGCATATACGAAAAAAGTGCTTCTCTAAGTTTTGGTGCATATCGACGCCGGTGTGATGGTTGTGTTTACTGCAAGCTTTCCTAAACGAGCTTGTCGGCCCCACATATTCTATATACGTGCGTGATCACTTAGCAATAAATTTTTATTCCAAAGTGATCGATAAAATTACGATTCGCCCGAAATTTTTTTGGAGCCTCTCAATTACTGCTATATTAATTATATATAATACATTAATTGTATATTATTAAGATATATTAATAGTAATAATTGTTATTGAGGTTTAACATCCCAAAACCACCTTATGATTATGAGAGATGCCACAGTGAAAGGCTCCAGGAATTTCGACCACCTAGGGGTTTTTCGACGTGCACCTAAATCTAAGCACAAGGACCTCAATTTTTGTCTCCATTAAAAACGCCGCCGCCGGAATTCGATCCCGCGACCTGCGGGTCAGCAGCTGAGTGCCTTAGCCACTAGACCGCAGTGACAGGTTGCTGCAAAATACACGATGGTGTTTACGAGAAATCTGGCAACGTATGTGGTTCATGGTAACCTAGTTAAAAAGACCAAGAAAGCATTCCCGGTTAATAATGGCAAATGTTTTAAGCTTTACTAGCTGCTGGCTATAGGAAAGAGATGCCGCGAAGGTAGTAAAATACGCTCAAAACAAGTAAATACATGTGTTCCCATATCACGTGATGTGAATAGACGATGAAGGTAAATGACACGTCCTAACATGATAATGACATGCGTGTCATGTAAAGCAGGGCTATATGCTACACTCATAGCGCACTCGCGGCCGTTTCGCTAGCTGCACATATACCAAATTTGGTATCCCGTGACGTGAATAGATGACGAAGGCAAATTACACGTCCAAACATGATAATCATGACATGGAAGTGATGTACGGTATAATTTACATCCACCTCATAACATTGTGCTGATTTTGAAGTGACATTTCAACCTTCCTTATTCGTGCTCCGCATATCATCGATTCCTACTGTACGTGGGATCTGCAATTTTTTTGTTTTCAGATTGTGCTAACCCTGCAAATACCATAGGTAGCGGGAAAACTGCCTGTATGAAATAGTAGTTTGGTTGTACACACACAACTTACCACATATTTTAAATCAATATAAACATGTGAAGTGCTTTTCTGCAAAGAAACTGAACGCACTTTGTAAACATGTAATTATTCAATGTAGTTCCTATTTTTTACAACTATTGTTTTCAACGTTGCACTTATCACAGCCAATTGTGCGCGATTTATAGTAACTCTTGCATATATTCCTGTCTTCTTATGCATTGACTGTTTTCAATATTCTTATATTTAGATCTTGTTTTGTACATTTGTGTGAATATTTAACTTATTTTTGAGTTGCTACCAATATTGCTTTTTTTTTTCATATAACCGTCACATATGCCTTGTAACAGACTATCGACTCAGTCAAGCTGTTTGACAACAGCCTTTAGCAGATAGATTCCTTCAGAACTGTTGTATTTCTGGAAATAAAATCTATTCTATTTCGCAGCACAAGATAAGTCACCAAGCTACTATCCCTCAACCGTGATAACATGTTTAGTGTAGTTTTGCAGTTCTTATGCATCTGATGACATCAGTTTTATATTGTTACAATCATTCTTAGCTCAATAAAGCTATCAAGATATACCTTTCCTATGTTGAGGAATTGTAGGAGTGGAATCGACTTGCCTGGTCATTCCCGGAATGGGCTAAGTATTTTCTTTCTGAGAAATCGAAAATAATGAAATTACGGCAACTTGTGATTCCCCGGAGTGGAGTTGGAATAGAATGGAGGTGCCCATTTCGTAATACTGTAGCACACACACACACACAGCAGCCTACTAGCACCATAAACAAGTAGCAGCTTGGTGTCAAGTTAAGTTCTGTTTCACTTTCTTAAAGCCAATCCTCAAACCTATTACTGCTCATTCAGACTATGAAGCCACAGATGCAACAATAAATGAACATCACATCTATGATTATCTAGGTTATGGCAAAAATATTTTAAATATTCTGATGGCTGGCATTTCCATAACCATAACCGTTACCACAACGTGAACATTGGGCTTCAGCTTCAACATGCCTAAATGCAGAAAAGCTTTACAGCATTAAATTCTAGGACTTATTTCTCGTGCTGCTAACAAGTGCACTGGAATAATGTGTTCTTGTGAAAAACCTAACAAGAGCAAATTTAACATGAGTGCTGTCCACCAGTCAATGAAAGTAGTTTTTTAATGAGAACCCACAGCTTCAGCTACAATTTTAGAACATGAGACTTCTAATTATTAATGCCAAATCTTGAAACCTGGTGTAATAAAGTGCACCTACTGTGACTACTACGATGCCACCTAGCCGGTGCAATTGCGTGCCACCTAGCCGGTGCAATCGCAGCAGTCGCAAGTTTTTGGGGTAACAACAACAACAAAAAAATACAGAAGACTACACAGCACACAGCGTTACTTCTAGTAGGAAAGCTGAAGTTCCAGTAGGTGCAATGAATCGGACATAAACAGTGATGTAGCTTATGAGCGGCAGCTCTGCCGAATGTTCTAGCCCGAGTACAGCAAAAGAAGCAGGGCTTGTGTTCCCAATAGTAATTGTTGGGGTTTAATGTTCCGAAACCACCATATGGTTATGAGAGACGCTGTAGTGGAGGGCTTCGAAAATTTCGACTACCTCGGGCTCTTCAACGTGCACCTTAATCTAGGCACACGGGCCTCAAGCACTTTCGCCTCCATAAAAAATGTGGCCGCCGCGGCCAGGATTCGATCCTGCGACCTGTGGGTCAGCATACGAGTGCCTCATCCCCTAGACCACCATGGCGGGCTAGGGCTTGTGTTCCTATCGCAGATTAGGAGTCGCTACTCTACAACAGACAAGTACTTGCTCATGAAGTCACTTAAGTGCTCCAAATCTGCCACTGAAACTCAACAGTAGTCAAGCACTTGTACTAATTTGCAGAAGCACATTGGACGACAGAATAACATGCATGCCAGAAATTAGAAGCAATACACATAACTGCAACTATTATTTAAAAATAGTCAAAAACGGCTATGCATAATAGTGTAGCTTACCTATTCATTATCATTTCCACACGCTTTCGGCGCTCCATCTCCTTCATATCTTGCTCTATGTCTGGCGGCCTCCACATTTGCCGCTGTGCCTCGGGGTCGTCAGGGTCGTACCTCTCAGCCTTGGCCTGGCCATCTGACAGGCCATTGGTCTGAGCCTTGGTCTCTGCCATCGTCTGTTAGTGTCCTCCTGTAAGAAGAGAGCAAAATTGCCCAAATTATAAAAAGTGATACATATGAGTGATAGACACATGGAAAGCTTTGCACACATGACAAACACATCAAGGTCAGTCATGTTCCTACAGCTCCGAATGTGTCCCCACATTGTTACAATATTAGAGTGCTTAGAATCACATTGTCAAACAGCACCTTCTAAAATCTGAATACTAACATCAGAAGACTTATGCAGGCACACAGTCTTGCTCCTCCAAAGCAATTTACATGCGCAGCACCAACATGCAGTTGTGTCAAATGCAGTATATGGTCAAACAGAGCCAGTTAAACCATAAGTGGATAAGCATGTCCAGATGTCCAATAGAGAGGCCATGTCCACATCAACACATCAAGTTTTTCACTGCATTTACATTCAGTTTACATAAAAAAATGAGCATATATAAAATCTCATATCGATGTACAAAGGCTGCGAGAGGCACCAGTTATTGAAGGAGTATGGTTAGGTGTGTGCCCTCTAGTTCACCCCCCCCCCCCCCCTTCCCTCCTGGCCAGAAACATCCAACATCTGAATTAACCCCCCCCCCCCCCCCCCGCCCACGAATCTCCCACTTAGCCGACGAATGGGAAAGCTATGCCTTACAGCGAGATTTCACCGTTCCATCCATGCAGCCGTGTTTCTGTGTGATACGAATAAAGACCGCTTATTTGTGCCGTGTGGGAATGAGAGAGTTTGAGGCCATCGAAACAGTGGATAACTTCTCGGGCGAGTTGGGCGTTTGCTAAATATCTTGTGTCATTGTGTCGTAGCACAAAACTCGAAAGAAAACAGAGGAAGGAGATAAAAGAGAGGCGCTGAATACGTGGAAACGATGGTACTGGCAAGGCAGAGGGGGCAGGCAGAGACAAGTAGGAAACGCGCCTCGCAGCGACGCATCATTGGCCCCCATCAAGTGAGACGCCGCCAACGGCGCAGTCTATGAAGAAGGGCTTGGCAGCGGGGCGAGCCGCCGACAAGTCGCAGCGCCGAGATGGGGGCCGCAAGCAGGGTGCGCTGGCGGCACGAAACCGCTGCAAATCGGAGACCCGCGCTTTGCGCGAGCCAAGCTCAGCGGGAGGCGCGCAGCTCGGGGCAGGCGGGTGTTCCCGATGCTGCTGCTACAGCAGGTTCGCATTTTACGCGGCGCTCAAGTGCGAGGCCACATAAATCTGGGCGGAAGACGACTCTTTAGACGTCTCTGAAGCGCCGAGTAAATGCCGAGATCAAATGAACGCCATAATCTAAGGCAGGGGTCTCCAACTCACCTCAGCCAGCGGGCCGCAGGCACGCAATTCAGTCCCGCAAGGGCCGGGGCAGTGAAAAACGCCAAACCGGAGGGGGGGGGGGGGCGCAACTTGTCAGCGTACTTTTTCATTGGAAAGAAAACCAGTACCCAATACGAGTCATTCCTCAAGGACATTTTGTGTCAGGATTCCAACATGTCAATATCGATCTCCAAAATGACCTGGACGCCACAAGAAAGAAAAAAATGAAAAGAAACCGTGCGGAGCCAAGACGGTCACTTGCGGGCCACGTGTTTGATACCCCCGATGTAGAGTGTCAGAAACAGCTTTGTTTTCGATCCCTCTTTGTAAAATTTCACAGGTTCGTATTCAATAGTGAAACATGCCTTATTTTATGTAGTTAACTCCGTCGCAACGTGTTTCACACACGATATGAACGGGTTCTCTCCGCAGGATCAGCTCGCCCCATTTCGCGGTGTAGAGGACATCGGTGTCACCAGATAATTTCCTAATATACAATAGAGGGAACTCTGGCGCTAGTGTCTATGGGAGCTGCAACGCACGGTGCTTCAGCGAGCATCGGTACACACATTTGTCTAATCATGGTACTTCTGGCCTGCTTTTGGCTCCGTGTGTTTTCGTGTGGCTTGGAGCTGTTTTGTCACGAAAAAAAAAAAAAAATCAGCAGATGTTCAGTGGTTGCGCTTTACCACCTTATTCTTTTAGACTTGCCTTTGCAAATCGGGTCACGAAGTTCAAAAGGGTTGAATCTTTCAAAACAAAACCAAAACAGAGCAATGAACGAAGCCACAAGTGCGATTCGCCGCCCGCAAGTCGAATACTAGGCAAATGCGCGTACTACCCATCATTCCCATGGTCGCTGACCGATCGCAGCGACAGAGTCCCTTCTAGTTAATTTTAGGAAACGCTTTGGGTGTCACTGCTTAGAGACGCGAAACAGCGACCCGTTCAAAACGACCACCATCACAGTTGCCGCGCTACGTTCGCAAGGAGGGCAGCCGACACGCCCTTTTCAATAATCCGAACGGCAGGCAGTCTGCTATGCCGAGACGAACGCGGCTTCACATCAAGTGCTCCAAGGGCGGATTCCGCTGCTACAGGAATTGGCCGCTCATAGGCACGCGTCGTTCGGCAACGGTCCGACCTCGTCGACCCCGAGCGGAGAAAGAAGAAAAAAACAGAAGAGGGAGCAGGTCGTAGGGCCGTGTGGAGCGCTGCAGAGAGAGGGGAATTTACGAGTCTAGCCACCCTTCTTTGCATTCGCCTTGGAAGCCCGACGACGCAAGTGCAGACGCACCTCTTCCTGTTTCTCTTCTGTTCCGGGATTCGGTTCACTGCAGACGACCCACGCCAGAAAGTGCTTCAAGTGTATGTATATTCCAAGGAAGATTAAAAAAAAACAGCGCTTATGTAATTAAGAGCTGAAATTCACGTTGCGTTGCTTTGAAATATCAAGTGTTAAAAACGCAGGTGGCTCATGAGGATCAGTCAGCGCACACATAAAAAAAAAACTTCACAAAAAGCCGAACACCTATCTCGTAGCTGGCAAAGTGGAGAGTCGCTACGGATGACTGGGATCGAACGTCTGCTGCAACCACCGACGCCGCGACGCGCAGAAATGCCAATATTTCGAGCATCCAAACCACTCTAACTCCTTCAGCTTCACAGAGTGCGGAAATAAAATACGCCTAGCCTGATAAACGCATTCAAAGCAAGAGTAAAAGGTCGAGGCAATTAAAGCCCGAGTCTGAGCATTCACGAAGTGTTGGTGTACGTGTATAGTACCACAATCCATGCCGACCAAGATGACGTAATACAGGCCCGCACCAAGTAGAGAAAGATCTCAAATGTCAGGGGTGTAGCCCTGTCGCTTGGGGGCTCTCACACTAACAATCAGCACGACGCCGCCTTGAGTCTGCGCCTGGAAAAACGTTGATCGCCAAACCACATAATGGGCGCTCCACCACAGTACACTCAATTGCAAGGCATGGCAGCAGAGATCGGCAACACGAAATGTGCTCTTTAGAAATAATAAGAGTGCACATTTCGTACTCCACTGCTATCATACGGCGTATATGGTCGCGACGCAGTTTGGGGCAGTGTATATTCTGCGAGGACGTCTTTCCTTTGGCACCTAAATGGGCAACAAAAAAGGTTCGCCTGCACAAACGCGACACGCGCAGGAGACTCCAGGGGCGCATCAGGCGATCGGTACGACAAATTAAACCACGACGCCAAGCGAGCGCGGTCGGCCACAAATGGGGCGCGCCCGAAGCGAGGCCGACATCTCGTTAAAAATATACGACGTCCGCTCCTCGCTCAGAAGCAGCGATCGATGCGCAAACTCTGTCTGTACAAACGCGTGGCCCAACGAGGACAGCCCAGAAGCGGGCCAGCTACTTTTTTTAAAGAAAGCACTGCTGTGCAAACACGGTGCCGTTTCGCTCGGCCTCACTCAAGCGTGCAGTTCTGCACCCATTTTCCTCGTACTGCCTGCCCACACAACCGCTATACACCAGCGGTAGAGGGTGCACGGCACCCTGGCGCAAATCCACACGCCGTAATCGGTCAGCTGTCAAACGGTATTCATTTGAACTAAGTGCAGGAGAGACGGGTTCAAAGCCTCTGCGAGCATCTTGCATGTGTGACGCAACAACAACAACAACAAAAAAAAAATGTCCGTGGCGAGTGCCGAATTATTCGTGAAGGGCAACGCAAGCAAGTGACGATATCACACGAGAGGCTCCCCAAGTTGGCGCAAGTTATCAACCAGCCGGCGCTATAGCGAAACACACCTAGCGTCGATCTATGCAGCTAAACTTCGTGCGCGACAGCTCACTCAACCACGCCCCGAAAAAGAGAAGCACACTCCATCGACAAGCAGGGCTGCTATCGCGGAGCGATGCCTTCTGTCTCATGCTATGCTGTTCTTATCATCCACCACTGGCGGCTGGTTGATAACGCGATAATAACGCTGGTTGATAACGCGATGATAACGTGGTTGATCGCTCTGACCCCGCGCGAAAAGCACGAAAAACATTAGCGTGAAAAAAAAAAAGCATTCTTCCGCGATTGTACCGAAGCGTATCGACTTCGCATCATGGTGTGCTGCACTGGCACATGAAGAAGCCCTTTCCACGGGCTCCAATGTGCGTGAAGATATCGCGAGCAATGCACGTCACCAAGCGCCTCTTGCGAGCACCGTCACTCGAAGCACGGTTCCACATGTTGGGTACGCTCCCTCACAGTCCGCGTTTTCGCATGACGCGAATCCAAAGCGGCTCGCAATGTAAAGTGCCCCATAAAATATTTTCAAGCACGAGGGTTGTGTAACAAAAAAGTAAGAAAAAACATTATGGCATACAGCGTAGCCCGTAATGCCACAGATGACGAACTCTTTTAGGTGCGGTCGACTTTGTGGGAGAAACTAACAAATGTGAGTGGAAAGGCAGGGAGGATAACCGGAAAAAAAAAAATTCCGCCATGCTACAATACACCACAGGGAGGCTGAAAGAGCTGGCGGGGAGAGTGGATTTCTCCTCGTCGAGGCCACATTCATATCACTAGTTACAGTGCGCACAACTGACTGAATTATTGATATGAGGGGTTTAACGTCCCAAAACCACCATATGATTATGAGAGACGCCATAGTGGAGGGCTCCGGAAATATCACCACATGGGCTTCTTTAACGTGCACTCAAGTATGGTGCATGC